AGTACCTATACTCCCTGTCACTCTGGAGCAGAGACTGGGCTAGTGTAGGCCTGCCACTACATGTCTGTCAGCTCTTCATTTTCAAGATCCTACTGTCAGTGCAAAGAAAGGGTTTTTATCCATACTTGCTAAGTGTACCTCCTTGTACCATTTTAAATATGTTTTCAACAGCCTCATTATTTATTTACTTTCAAAATGATGGGTTATAAATTCACTCAATCATCATGTTTTCAATCAACTTGATTTGGCCTGTCTGAATGTTCCTTCTGTGTTCTCTCTCATCCTTTAAAAATTGCCTGTAAATTCCATTTACATTGCCTATAGTGGGTATTATGGTGCCCATTATATAATGGGCATTTTAAGAGTGGCCTGATCAGAATTATACAAAAGCAGAGGTGTTGGCTTGTCCAGTGAAAAAACATGGTTTCCAAAGGTGGGGTTGTGTCATTGGAATTACTCAATTATCCCAGACACCTTCTTCTTGGACATTTTGAGATGCAGATACTGAGGAAATGTGGAATAATCCTAATGTAATCAGCAAGCCCTATAACTGATTCCCTGCAGCTTGGAGGAAAGATTACACAAGAACAGTGGTTATCTATGCATTTTAATCCTGCCTAGAATTAGCAAATAATCTCATAGTATTCTAACAAGGTTTCAATGTCGTATTCAGGTTGAACGTGCTGAAGAAGGTACCTTGTCCACTTCTTGTGACACCATAAATATTGAATATGAATATTAATTTTTTTTCTAAAATTAATTTTCATTTACATATCCTTCTGTGTTTTATCAGAAAGGGAAAAGTCAGAGCTGATAAAGATGTTAAGTAACACTATATTGTGATCCTCACATGGTTTCATTAGATACCTCTTTATCCAATCTCTCTACGTGACTGTGTATTTATCCTCTTTGGGTGTAGATAGTTGCCCCATTTTCACACCATGCAAATGTTTCACAGCACTCTGTGTAAATTATATAATTTTGTAAGTTATATCAAATGTGCTACCTGACCCCTGTTATACACATCTTTTTGAACTGTGTTAATACTGGCTTTCATTTTAAAGATTAAGAGAATAAAGAAAACAAATTTGCCTGGCATTTTTTCCCTTCTGCTCAACTTACAATCAAGTATGAACTATTAGTTTACACGTACTGTTTGGCAGTTCAATATGTGTTGAGCACCAGTGAGATTCCCCCATGCAGGTTAATACTTTTCCTTAGAGCCTGTCATATTTGATTACATTGATGTGGGTAGGTGTTAAATAACATGGATGAGGAGTTGGAAGGCCCTGCCATTCTAATGAATTATTCAGTTAGTCTCTGTGGACCAGGTATTAAAAATATCTGATAATATCTAAGGCATCTAACAATGGACTTTCCCTTCATGGAGTTTTTGTAGTGCTGAAATAAGGCTGGATAGTCAAATCTGGAGCCTAAACTGCACAAGTGAGGTAAAACACCCTGTTTTCCTCGTCAGACCTCTGTAACACTCTGAAGTCTCAAATATTGCCTTTCATATGCTGAACACACTGATGTTCATCAGAGTGATCCCTTTCCAGGTTTTCCTAGTAGTTGCTTTCATTACTTCATTATTTCTGGACTGTTTATATCAAAGGCAGATTTTTTTCAAAGTCAGCATCTTAGAGAAGTGTTTTGAATAGCTGTTTTTGTCATTAAATATCTTGTACAGGAACAAGGTTATGGTTTGTTTTTTTTTTTTTTAGATTTCTAAAAGCAGTCTGTTAAACAGTTTTTTCTGAAAGATGTATATTCCTCCCATGTATTCTTTTCCTTGTAATATCAAATACCAATAAAATTTGGATATCTTTTAACTTCTGAAAAAGCTCAATAGTCCTGATATGTTTGACTGAAGTAAAGGCATTTTCTTCATATTTATGTAAATGTTTTCACCATATATGTATGTATAATGCACTAAACACATTTAATGCCATCAGCGTTTCTTGCATTTCCTTTACAAAGGTTTGTCTTGTCACTTTTTATGTCCAGATACATACACATACACACACACACACATACACATACATGTATGTATGTGTGTATATATATAAAGTAATCTGACTGGGCTATGTTTTGTAACTATTTGATGTGTTAATCAACACTTCTGCCTATGTTTCTGCTGCCTTCATGTGTATATTCGTCTGTTACATAAGGAAGTAATTTCTCCTAAACTTGAATGAGCATTGCCTGATACCAAGATGGATTTTTGTGCTCCCCAAGTTAATCTGGATTCAGCTACATGGCTCTTATATAGGTGGTTGATGAAAGCTTGTATTCCCATATGTTTCCACAGACTTTTGGGCCCTATATGAATTAAGGGAATTTGGACTATTTGTGATTTGGTTTATGCTCAGCTAAAATATTTATGTCTGTTAAGAGGACTCAACAGCCCATTCCTGTTGGTCCCACTTGCAGAAACAGCATAAACAGAAGTGAGTAAAGATTAAGTAATTGTGTTAGTTATTTAGCATATATTAGCTTCATTATTGTGTTGAAGTGAATTCTGCCTTATTTCTTCCAGAACTACTATATTTGAAACATTATTTTGATGTGTATGCTTACCACTCTTACTGTGTTAGTTATCTCTGTGTGTTTATAAGAGAGAATATGAATGCTTGGCAAACTCCCGCTGTCTGTTGGCTAATGATTCTTCGCCTTGGTAACTCAAATAATACTGTTTGATGTAGCAAGACCATTGATACTTCACCCTGTCCTTGGTTATTGCAATAACTGTTTTATAGGTGCAATAAAATAATGTATCTCTTTCTGTAGAAAAATTCTTCTGTCTTTACATTTTTCTCTGTTCTGTAATGCCTAAAATCAGTGTTCATTCCATATAACTTCCATGTCAATTTTCTAAAATGTGTATCTAGTAAAAAAACAAAAACAGAAAAAAATTGACATGAAGTATAGTATGATAGACAGTACTGCACTGCACTGCTTGATGCATTAGCAGATAATAGCTACCAGAGCCAAAATCTCCTTTTTCATTTATAATGAGATGTGACTTGAAGCAATTATGCTGATAATTACTGTAACTGCCAATATGGGGTAGTTGGGAGACCTTTGAAAATGAACATTTTCCATCCTTTTCTGTGGCAAACATAGTTTGTCTGAATTGGGTTCAAGAGTGGAACAGCTGTGGCACCTGCCATTCTAGTGGATTGGCTGGATTTCCTGCAGTAGGATTTCCCATTTTTAGCACCCATTCATTTTCCAGTCTCATTTTCCGTCTAGTCCATTCAGCATTTGGAGAAGGCTATCATAATAAAGCAGTGTTCCCATCTGTTGGTCATGGCTGGTTTAATGAGCAGTTGATGTCAATTCAGCTATGCCTGCATCTGTTCCTCACTGCAGCTGTCTGGGGTTAAGGGCTCCCCAACAGCGGCCAGATTTAGCTTTTGTCTCTTGGTATGTCAAGACCATGTTACAGCTTGGCCAGAAACATTCTGTCTTCTCTCAGGGCTGCCTGCTCATGGAAAGAGGAAAGTGTGCTAAACTCTCCATCTCTTTCCCCAAAAAGAATGAAACATGAGACAGGCAAAGGGGGAAAAGTGTAGTTTCATTGATTTAGGAGGCATGTTTGGGGGTATCTGAGGGCAGAGATAGAGGACAGTTCAGTCCAGATCCTAAAGGCAAGACCAGAACGGGTTCTTTCAGCATCTTAGGAAGAAACATAGAGAGCCTGTGCACTGACTGAAGACAACAGATTGTGAATTGTGTCTGAGGGGGAACACTCATTTAATAGTGCAGCTTTCACTTTACTCAGGGAAGCAGTATGGCCACAATACCTTTCAGTATTTTAGTCTGACAGTGCTTTTGTACTGCAGACAGACAGGACACAGTCAAGAAATTTCCTGACCTTTACATGTGAACTCTAGATTTCTGTCTCTGAGGGTGCTGAAGAAGAATCAGAATGTTTCTTTGGTGTATGTAAGTGCTGATTGTGCATGTTTATTAGGCAATTTTCAAAGGCACACTTTTGATTTTTAAACTGCAGTTTCAGAGTTTCAGTGGTAGCTATGGATGACAATCACTCCTAAAACTAATCATAGTCAAATCTCGTACTCTGTATGTATTCAATCTCTGCTGTTGCTTCCCTAACCTGTACATCATATACTTATCCTTCTTTATTCTCCTGATTCCTTTCACAGTTTTGTTTTCTACTACACAAGTGGTTTTATATGATCATTGAAAACCAAAGTTTGAAGCAAAATAGAGTATATGCTTTTGTATACTTTGTTTCTTCTTATTTTATTCTCTTTCATTTTTCCTCCAGCTTCTGGTCTTTTATCATTCATTGTAATTGTTATTATTTTGTGCCAGGAGGGTACCTAGTAGTTGGTGGTCTCACTTGATAGCACTAAAAAGTGATTTTTCAGTGACCCTTCAAAAAGAAGGGTCATACCAAGGTCTATGTATCCTATTCCCTATCCCCAGCAGTTCCTGGAAGATAATTCCTGAGTAAGAATAAGATCAAAGATTGGCCTGTGAATACGTCTACAAGCTACAGTCTTATAAATTGAGAATGCTTAAAAATACCTGAAAAACAGACTGGTTTGAACTTGTGAGGAAAAAAGCAAAAAATCTTTATGCAGAACTACTGTTCTCTTAACATAGTCATTGAGTTATTTGTTTCATGATAAATTTCAAGGAGTGTTTGAACTGTGACATCAAAGCTCAGGGTGGGCCAGTGTGTTCTCCCTCTGAAGAGTCCTGGTTCTCTCCTAGCATAATCCCTCTCCATTTCATCATCCTGGTGTTCATTGAGGTGTCAAGCTGCAGTTGTTGAGAGCTTCACCTTCCAGCCCACGGAAGTCTCCCTGATGCTTGCACAGTCCAGCTGTAGTAAATTCTCCAGAGCCAGGTAAAAGCAGCATCCCCAGGGTTGTTGGAGTCAGCATGGAGCAGCGAGGGTGGACAGGACAGCCTCAGCACCACTGCACAGAGCAAAGGAAGCCACAGGAAGGGTGCAGGAGGAAAGAGCATGGGAAGAATGGATGAAGCTGCACATAAGAAAGGTTTTAACACCTGTAACAGTGAAATTTTAGTTCTTTAATAAAAAATAAATGTATGAATTAATATTAAATTAGTTATGAGTTTGCAGACTTACTTTGGAGATATGAAAGCAAAATAGTAGCAGACGGTCAGCTGTGCTGTTGAAGAATATCAATATCAGAAGATAAGTGAATGGACATTTAAAAAATTCTCAAGCTTGACTCTGCAATTTTCAGGTAGATGTGTGCATTTGTCTTTACATCTGAAGTAAAGTGGTGTTGAAAAGATACATTTAACCAAATAGAAATAGGTGGAAAATTTAAATATATACATGTATATATTGTAACCCAGTGGTATATTTATATTGGGTGTATTCCAGCTTTTGTAGTAGCCAGTTTGATCACAGATATTTTTTGTATTCCAGATGCATGATATGTTTATAACTGGGTCTGACTACTAGGATGTAACAATAATATCTCAGGTCTTCTATTTTCCTTTATTACCTCCTCTACGTTTTGATTCTTCTATTTTAAATGCCTTTATCAGATGAAGAATATTCTTAGATTAATATTACATTTGACGTTACATTCTGAGCAAATTAGCAAATATTAAATATTGCTGCATGATTAAACAATGAGGAATAGAGACAAAAATGAGAATAGTCTTGTGCAATCATCTAAGAGACAGTATATTAAAATATATTTCTATAGTCAATGGAGGCAGAGTTTTTGAGGATATATTTACATATCTCTTGAGTGCGTCCTTTAGGCATCTTTCAATTGCCTGCTTTAGGTAGCTAGTTCAGGTGTACACTTGGCCAGGAAAATCCTACACAGTGGCTGTTCAGATATTTCAGGAGAACTCTGATTTCACTGGAGATCAGTTTTGGGAAAATCTTGAGAGTTTCATATAGAGTTTGTGCAGCCAAAATAAACATGAAGCCAGGACAGTTCAGCAGGGATGGGAGAGAGAGTGTGGAAATTTTTGCCTGGCCTGAATTAGGGAAGACTCAAACCCAGGAGAAACTGAAATGGCCTATCCTGGAGGCTGCAGTTTGCATAGCTCATATTTCCTTCTGTTCTTTCCTTCATCATATCCTAGAGCTTTCTCTTGGAGAATGGAGCTGGCACTCACATGGAGCCCCTGCTTACAGGCTGTCACTGAGGGTCTTTTCTACACAATGAAGAGATATCACTATACCACAGCATTCATAATATTTTAGGACAGGGCATCTGGAAAAAAAATACTTTACTGTGGATATGAACATTTCATTTTGTGCAGGAAATGGCACTACCAATGGATGAGAAAGCCCCATACCTGATGGTAGAGAAGATATCCAAATTAAAAGTTTAGATGTCTATTTTATCCCCAAGAATAGCTTTCGGTCACACAGACTTTGGAATCTACCTGCTCACACTTTTTGAGGAAGAAGTGTCTCAATCAAATTAATCATTGACATGATCATCTCACCTATGTCTCTTGTGATTAATGTGTGTTTGAGGCTGAGCAGGTGCAATTCCAATGACATGAAGAAAATGGAGTGAGGGCCAATTTTATATGTAGATACTGTTAAGTATTTGCAGATGGATTATGTGCCATTCCACAGTGACAAAGACTTGGAACCCCTTTCAAAAAAATGGCTGAAGAAACTTAGCTTAGTATTACACTGGCTGCAATACAAACTTGTGAGAAATACAAACAAGGAATGTTAACCAAACACAGGACCAAAACTGTCAGTACAAGTAGTCTGAATGGCTAATTCTTCTGCATAAAGGGTGGCCATCAATCACTGTTGGTTATTTAAACAAGTTAAGTTTAAAATCTGATTCATTGTAGAAATACAGATGGTGATGGATGAGTTTCCTCTTCATTTGTTATTAAAGATCCATTGCACTGTTCCATTCTGGATGTGCAGTCTGACCTCAAGAAGCCCCTGTCATGGGATAACATTTATTAATTTTCCCTGCTGTGGCCACAAGACTTTTTCCTGCCCAAGTTTGGTTAAATGTTCTGTTGCAGCTTTGCAGTAAGCTTGGGAATTGTTAGGACAATTTATTCTTTTCATTCAAACATTCCTGTTAGTGCATTTGCACAAAGTGAGCTCTGTCCTGAGTTCCACACCCTGGTGTAGATGTATAGGAGGTTATGCTTTCATATGCTTGTGTCTTTCCACCATCTTTTTTAAAAAGAGCAGTAGTATTACAATGGTTTGCCAACAAGATGAATTTTCCAGATTTTTTTGATTTACCAGATAGCTGAGCCTGACCAGGAACGCCTAATTGCCTAATTTCAGATTCTGTCAAGGGAGCAATATACAGACCATCAAAAACCCAGGTTGCTGCTTCATCACACCGGCTCACACGAATGTGGCAGACATGGGGTTTGGGTTGCCAAGACTATGCTCAGACTACTTCTTTCTGATTCTTTCCCAGCTACTAACATGGCACTTCTACTTGCTAAAGAAACATAGCTGACACAGAAAAAAACCAACTAAACAAAAGCCCTCAAATAAACAAATATAAAATATTCACCTGCATATGTATTCATCATTCTGGATCAAGCCTTGGACCCAGGGGTTGGGACTCAGCCTCTGGCATTCAGCTCTGCCTGAAAGGCATAAGAGAGAACACCTGTTAGCTGTCCTGTTGGTACCAGCTGTTAGCATGGCAGGAAGCTGAAAAGTGTTTGAGCCTGAATTCCTTTAGAAAGTCACCAGTAACCTCCTACTCAGTTGTGAAAATGGGAAATTGTATCAATGTCCTATATTCTGAGAAAAAAGGGAAGCTTCATGGAAGTTCATATAACAAACTTTGACTCAATCTGCACAGCTATGCAATGGACCATTTCTTCTAGGGCTGCTTCCTTGCTTGCCTGGGGCTTGGCTGATGCATAAATACAGCAATGCTGTGAGAGAGCACATAGCTCCTCTTAATCACACATCCCCATGGCCTTGAGTGCTCCAGGGCCAGCTGTAATCCTCTCCTGTTGATAAAATGAGAGTGCTGGCATCAAAGCTGAGGTTTTCCTCCAGCTGGGAGATACTTCTCCTGGGAAGGGGGAGTGCTCAGCAGAAAAGGATGCAGGTTTATGTTGAGTGCCCTTGAAAACAGAGCAGTTAGTGATCCCAGTCCTCCCCACACTGGCTCTGGAGCCAGGCCAACAGCATTAAGCAAGTGCTGTCCCTGCCCAAGCTATTGAGATATGGTTTGCTGATGCAGCCTTGCTGCTTCTGCACAGACACATCTCAACCCGGTTCAGTGATGCCCAGGTTCCAATTTAACAGCAAACATGCTGAGGAGAAAACTCTGTGAGGGATGATTTCAGCACATTGCAAGCTCAGTCTTACAGGGCTGTAAGAAAAGGTGGGAAACAAACAAATACAAGTACATCTGTGGCCTAAAGTCAACACCAGCTCTTTTTGCCCAGTTCTTCCACTCCAAAAGCTATTAAGGTTGGGGTCTCAGCAATGGCAGTGTCATCCCTTCCTGTGAAAGTTGCCCTATCTCTCAGTCCATAGCAGGTTTAGAAGAGGTAATTGTCCATCTCCAGTGGCATTCTCTGCTCCAGACAGTTTCCCTGTCAGGTAACTCAGAGCTGAGCATTTCAGCCTCCAAGCAGATGCCTCCTTGCTTCTTTTCCACAAGATCTTTCATTGCTTGTGGGTTTTGAGGAGAGGACATTGGGAAATTTGTCACAGGCTTTGACATGTAATGACACCTACCTGCATGCATTGATCTTGAGCTCAGATTTGTGGCTGTAAGCTGAATTTTTGCTACATCAGACAGTGATGAGGAGAATGGAGATCCCTGCACATCTCACCTTTGTTTTATGTGCTATATATGCAGATTTTTTTTGCAAACAGCTCAGTCAGTCCCCTGAGTCAACCAGAAGCCACCTGACAGTGGCTGTTGCAGCACTGGTGCTGCATTGATCAGCCCAGACAGGAAGCCTGCACTGGTTTAAGACCCACTCTACAATACTGGTACTACACAGCTGCTCGTGGGCTCAGAGTTAATGTAGAGCTTGGGTGCTTGTGCTTGGAAACAGAATCTGGGACAGCAGTAAGTAATAAATATTTGGGGATGATGACTTTTCAAGCCCAGCATTCTCTCCAGACAGATCATTGACATGACACCTTCCTTGGAGTGTCCACAGCCGGTGTTGCTGCCCCTGCTGCGCTCTGGGCACTGCTGCAGCCTCTGGCTCTTCGAGCCTTGGAGCTCTGCTCCCCTGCTGCCTGGGACATGTGGGACTGTGCTGGGAACGTGACAGGGGGTCCTGGAGGGAGATGGTCTCCTCACATGCCAGAAATTCATAGAATCACCATCTCCCCATGCTCTTTCTAATACAACATGCTGTGAATCTACTCACTTTTCACAGATGAAATGGAAACCAAAGTCTTTAACCAAGAAATGCGTGAGTAAATTCAGGCAATGCAGTAAATGCAGATGACAAATATAGCAGAATTGATTTTTGTTTTCTTTCTACTATACTTCATGTTTTCAACCTTCTCCACCTGTCTGCAGAGCCTGGTTTTGTACTGAAAGTATTTTCATGCATAGCACATTTGTTTACCACCCACAGATGCTGCCTGTTTATTCTCTTCTGCTGTTTTCATTGATCTAACATGAAAGTCAGCTTGAACTGAAAGAGCTTTGCCCTTGGTAGGTGTGCAAAGTATTAAAAGATATAAATACAAGCATACAAAATACAAGGACTAAGCAAGTTCTTTAGGGATTATTGTTACGGGAAGTCATGGATACTGAATCTGAATTGTCCATAAAAAAGCAAGATGCTCTTGGATTTAACAGATAGCTCATAGAATGGTGGCAGGCTAGACACTAAGGCAGGGTGTGCTATATATGTTATACCTTTAATTATTTGTCTTGGTCCTTTTCTTCCTGAACAGAAGCATATTTTGATATACTGACCATTTTTTACTTACATCTTAATGGGTGACATGGGGTAATTTGCATGTAGATAAATTATAAGAGGTATAGCACCAGAGAAAATTTCTTTCACAAGAAAATTCATGCCAGGATTTACCATCAATCTTTATTTTATGCTTTACAGATGAAGGAAACTCAGACCCTTCCTCAATAAAAAACACTTCAGCCTAACAGCTTTGTATTGAATGCCTAAATATCTTTTGCATGTGAATTTAAGAATATGTTTCCAGACAATTACATTGTGAGTATGCCTGCAGGGCTAGCAGCTGAGTGTTGGCCTGCTTGTTCCCTTAATTAAATATATGGTTAAATGCATTCAGCCACGTTAGCTCTGGCTGGGATGAGCAATGCTGTGCTTGCTGATCCCTTCAGTTCTGCCAGCCCTTGTGGTCAGAGAGCAGCTACACTCTGGCACTGTTTTCAGCCCCAGCACAAAAGCTACACAGACTTCCTTTGTGTGCTAGATGACAAAAATTAATTTTCTGTGCCTCTTCTTTCTCATGATGGAATCTTTAGCTTAGTCCTGGCTGTAAGAAGAGCAGGATATTGTAGGTTTTAACTCCAGAGAGAAATAGGTTACACTGGAAAGTTTCAGGAGATGTGCTTTTTAATTGGCACAAAACAGCAAAGCCCCAATATTTTCCATGGTTGGTGGCAAGTTTGGGAATGCTTTCTCTCATAAATGTGTGCCATTTTGTGCAGGATGTCTGATCCACCAAGAGGAATTTTCCTAATGACAAACTGGCAGCTGACTAATAGCTTGTGGTCCTTTTTTCTCCCTTTTCCAAACCTACCCACTTTGTGTTGCTTTAAGAGATCAATACAATCAAATGACCAGTCTGACCAGTTCTGACCATTGCCTCTACAACTGGGCTGCAAAAGCCTTGAAGTTCACAGTATGCCAAAGCACTGCACACAAAATTCCTTACCTCCCACCAGTGACTAAACTCTTGTTCCTGTATAAATGTGACCTTGTGTGTACGTGGTTTGCAGGTGCTTTGCAGTGGCAAACACTTTTTAACTTCAAAGAAGTCAGGGAGAAGCTGAGAGGACAAGGCCATTCCTGCACAGAAACCAGCAAAGACAGAGCTCAGAATATTTATGCAGTGGCTCTTGCAAAATAGGTAATAATAAATAAAGTTTTATTTTACATTGTATCTACATGCACATCTATTGCTGTTTGGCTTTTTTTTTTTTTTTTTTTATTTTTATTTTTTTTTTTTTTTTTTTTTTTTTTTTTTTAATTAGACTATGAACACTTCTACAAGGGCTTTGGACTCCTTACGAGCTGTGTGATGCTGAGGTTGGTGGCACTGCCCTTTTGATCTTCCCAGCAGTGGCCCCAGAGAAGTGTGAGGGCTTGTTACAGGTACGCTGGCACCTATGCATGTGACTTCAGTTAATTCCCCATAATAGTTACCTGGTACTTACAACTGTACAATACTTTTAAAATGTGTCTAATTTGTGATGTTCATGCGGTTTTATGAACTAAAATGTACATCAAAATGTACAAAAAGAGAGTACATCTGAGAGTCAAAATCTAAATGCAAGCACCTGGTGTGTGTCCAGGACACAGATTTAGCATCTAAGTGAATAGAAAGGGAGGAAAGTCCCATGTTTCAGGATTTTACGTGTGATGCTCATAAATGCTGTAGCCACAAATATATTTTCTGAGGCCCTCTAAATAAATTAAGGAATTTTAAAAATCTCTCTATATATTCTTTCTCTTCAGACCCACAGAATTGAAACAAAGAGAAGGAAGTCCAGCTGCTTAAACATCAGTCTAGAGCTATCTGAGATGTCTAAGGGTGTCCAAGACATCTGGTTCAGGCTGGCATATATGACATAATACTTATTAAACACTCATTTTGTCTGGCTGCTAGATGCTGGAGAAAATAATCCACAGCACCTAAAATAGCACTGAGCCCTGTCAGTAAAGTCACTCCTTCTGGTGAGTAGTGCAGGAGAGGCTTAGGTTTGTCCATTAATATCTATTACCATTTATATCTGCCTAATTATGAGAAGGGTGGAAGAAATTGTTTTGACATTAGGAAACTGCAGAAAACAAAGGCAAATCTAGTGATACTGAGACATGCTATTAAAAAAAATAAAATTGAAAACATTTTCTGTGCTGCCATCCAGAAAGTCATCAAAAGAATAATTATCCAGTCTGCAAGCTACATTGAAACATCATTCAAGTCTACTAATTAGTCATGAATGACATAAAAATATGGGGGCAGTCTCTTCTGCCGGGTAACAAATTATAGAATGAGAGGAAATGGCCTCAAACTGTGCCAGGAGAGGTTCAGATTAGATATTAGGAAAAACATCTTCACTGAAAGGATGGTCAAGCACTGAAACAGGCTGCCCAGGTAATACCACCATCCCTGGAGGTATTTAAAAGATGTGTAGGTATGACATTTGGGGACATGGTTTAGTGGTGCCAGGTTAACAGCTGGACTCAATGATCTTAAAGGTCTTTTCTAACCTAAATAATTCTAAAATTCTATGATTTTAAGAGGGGTTTGTTTGTAATTTTTTTTTTTTTCCTTTCCTTTGCTCTTGGGGTGAGGTCATGGACAGGTTCTCTAGTGCCATTTACACCAAGACCCAAGGTACTTCCAAGCACCTCATTTTTTCTTGTTGTGAGTTGTATTAAACAGGACACAGTCCACAGAGTTAACTCAAGTTTTCCTTTAAGCTAACACCCTCTACTGTCCACTCCTGCATATTATCCATAAACAAAACATAGCCACAATTAAAGTGATTACTGACTTTGGTGTGGTAGAGTACTTTCTAGAGTATTATCCTAATTTTAGTTTTGTCATTCTTTGAAATGAGTGCAGCTGTGACTTAGTCATCTGGCCTCCCTACATCTTTTAGAAAAAGAAACATGCTGCAATGTTCCTTTTCAATAGTTTTGATGTAGTATACATCTTTATGATTTATTTTTTAAAATAACTGTTATTCCTGCAGTGCCAAGAACAGCCTGATCACAATTTGATGTTTTTGAATGCTGGGGCTTCACTTTAGCAACCAGAAGTTTCTGAAGTTGACTTCTCTCATTTTTATGCTGTATTTTTGACATAGTTATGAAAGTTGAATGGAGTTTCCTTGTGAATGATGATTGCTCACATTTCAAGGTTTTGATTTTTGGGGAAGACAGTCCTCTTCTGTATTTAGAGTCCATGTGAATGAGTTATCTGACTCAGAATTGCCATGCAAACCAGATATCTGCCTTGCTTACCTCTGAATTACAGCCACAGGCCAGTCATCAGCTGTTCCTATACTGATCAGTCCATGTTTTAGGGATAACTTAAATAAAATAGCCCAAGAACGAAATATTATTTGTCACTCAAAGAAGGGTGCTAATGCCAAAAGGACTCTTAGCTCTTCTCTAGAAAAGACAGCTGCATGGCAATGGAAGGGGCAGAAGAAACTGCAGAGCTCTCCTTTCCAGTCTCTCAGTAGCATGACACAAGTGTCTGAAGCTCAGTTATAATCTCCTTATTTCTGTATAAAACACCTAGCACATCATGCTTTCTAACAATTGCCACCTCCCTTGGCAAGAAAAGAGTTTAAGGATAAACTTTAGCAATGCTGCTAAGATCATGAAATTTGTCCTTCAGGGCTATTCTTTATATGTAAGGCAATAAATGGGAATCTAATCTTAATTAATATATTCTGTGAAATCATTCCTTCCCCTCTAACCATTACCAGCATCAAATCAGCCACTATTAGTTGTTCTGTGCATGGGAAGGTGCAAGCACTGTTAAGTCTTATTAGCCACTCAGGATTTTAGCAGTGTTAATCTCATAATTTCTTCTGTTTAATGGCCAGCGTCTGAAGCTTTTCCCAAAAACTCTCTAGGGTCTGTCTCCAGCCCTCAGGAAAACCACTCAGAGTTTCCTCTGTGCTGAAAAGAAGGCACCATTCTGAGAAATATCTTTTCCCAATGGCATCTGTGCTGCATTGTCTCATTTGTCTTTCAAGTGACATCAGAAGATTAGCTGCGATCTCTTTTTAGGCTGCTAATCCAGAGTGATGCATTACAGTTCCTTGATGTCCCTCTGAATACGATATTAATTTGACAAGAAACAGAATAGTGTTCATAGGTGCTACAGAGATACTGGCAAAGACAAAAAAAACCCACAGCTGTAACACCCCCAAGGCAATTCCACAGGTCTGCTTGGGCAAAGAGGCACAATTTGAGGCTGTTGAGGCTGTTTTGTCTTGTCCTGTCACTGGCTGCCTGGGAGGAGAGGCCAATCTCCACCTGGCTACACCATCCTCTCAAGTGGCTGTAGACACCAATAAAGTACTCTCCTGAGCCTCCTCTTCTCCAGGTTAAACATCCCCATCTCCCTCAACTCCTCCTCAAAAGTCCTCCTCCTCATTCCTCACACACAGGCAGCATCAACTATGAAAAACAGTACTTTCAGGTGTGTTGTTAGTTTGCTGAAATAAAACTCCTGTTGGTATGGACCTGGGAGAAGCTGGCTTGGAACCAAGATGATTTCACTGTCTGGGGGAATATCTGCATTCTGGTCAGCTCTGATGGGTTGTGCCAGGCCATGGTAAATTATCATGCTGCAGCCATGTGTGTGTGTGCAAGCCAAAAGGGCACAGATAGCCTGGCACTCACTCTACAAAAGAAGGCATCTCCCCAAAGAGACACAGGGGTCATCCAGCAGGATGTCACCTGTCTCTCCTGCCAGGATTACAGTGAGAGCCAGTAACCTGCTCAGATCAGGTACATCAGCAGAGCAGCACATCAGTCACTGACCCCAGCTCTCAGACAGCTTGTTTATTTAAGCAAAGCCTGTATGCAGAATGTTCCCATTGGCAAAGATTTCCTGAGTCTTTGCCCTTTGTTGTCTGTGGTTGTTTCCATTTCATAAGACAACAGTTCCCACCTGTCCCAGCCAGTGATATTTGTTCCTTAAAAGCATTTCCTTTTTCAGCATTTTGCCTTTGCCTTATCTAACTTGTATGAGCTGGACTGCTCCTGCCCTGCTTTAATCTCTGGTCCACAGAAACCCTAGAGAGACATTTAACAGTGCCAGACAAATGAAGATTCAGCAGAACTCAGCACTCTACTGAAATATTGAACTTTCTGTCACATTTTCAAATGCTTGCTTTTTATGACTACTGTAACATGAGTATTAGTGAGACATATCTTACGCCTTGAGCCTTGTATAAAGCAGATGGAAATAAAGGGTGTTGCTTAAAAAAACTCCAAGGCAAATCACAGAATCATGGAATGGCTCGGGTTGAAAGGGACCTTACAGACCATCTAGTTCCAATCCCTAAAACAAAGTGGATAGGATATTTTTTCTTCTCTTTCCTCAGTTGTTGAGGTAAGTCACTGCTGTCTGCTAAGAGGCATTTGACTACTCAAACTGCTGTTGAAATGAGGGTCAGAACAAGGACACTTGGAGCTGTTAGCAGCTCCCAGCAGCCTTCTTATACACATTTTTAGTTCTTTGATTTCTGTAGTTCCAAGTTTACAATTGGACACAGTGCTTACAGACAGCAGTCAGAGATCTACACTCATCATTTGTCTCCTGTATCTCAGAACAGTCCATCACAGAGCCTGTGCAGGCTGTTGTTAGATCCAAGTAAAGATATTTCTGAGTTTATGAGAGAGACATCTTTAATCTGTGATTACCAGCATTTGGCTGCAGACTTGTCAGCTGGCTTTCGTCAGACTCCTTAGTGAGGCCCAGCAATAGCAGTGACTGCCATCATATAGTGCAGTGGGAAAGGTTTTTAAGCCCTAATTTATATTTCACATAAGTGTCTCTCTTTCCTCTGCTTGCTGCTAATGGACCACCATTATGTGACTGGAAATGTCAATTCATGCTGTTTGCAGGAGCTGGGCTGTCTCCCAGTCAGTGCCTCAGGCCTGACTAGCATTTTGCTGAAATTCCCCTAAGACACGGCAGGATAGTTTTATTTTCATTAAGAGATAGGATTGTCCTGAGAACCATAATAACAAAATAAACACTATTGTGTATACTTATTATCTGCAGCTAGCCACCTGGGGAACACTAACAAGGCTGCATTTGCAAAAAGTGTTTGTTTAAATAGAGGAGCATGAAAATTCACGGGAGGATTGCACAGCTCCCTGCTCTGCAGCCTGCAGCGCTGGCTCACGGAGCCTGTGGCTCCAGGCAGCGTGACTCACACGGGATGCTACGGGAGCTCAGCCAGGCTCGCAGTCAGCAGGAACTTCCACCCCGCTCCCAGGCTGGAGCCAGTGTCCCTGCTTACCGTGTGCTCCGTGTCCCTCGGGGCTCTCTCCTGACAGAGCCCCGTGTGCTCCGTGTCCCTCGGGGCTCTCTCCTGACAGCGCCGGGGCTGGGGCACCCTGAAACGCCGTGTGACGAAACCGCTCCCGCTGAGCAGCGCTGCTGGCACAGCAGGCTCAGGCTCCTCACTGCCCGCGCCCTGCTCGGCTCTGCTGCAAATGCTGTGGCAGGAACACCAAACCAAGTCAGAGGGTTATCATTCATTCTTTGCACAGTTCAGCCTCTAGGGGCTTGCACTGTGATTTTGCTTGAAAAAATGACCGGCTTTAGGTGGATGCTAAGGCTTTTGTGTATGTAACAAGGACCCGACCCTGTTACACCAAAACCTGGGGGATGCTTTTAATTGATTTCAAAGGGACATAGCAGATACTGTACATTCATCATTCATTTTTACTCAATCCAGGTAAAAGCTCATTAATTTTGGTAAAAAAAAAAGAATGCCCCCTTACTGTACCTAACCCCAGTGGTGCAGAGTAAGGCAAAATAAATAGAACTTGTCCACTTATGCTTATGACAACATGGAGATTCCAGTGTAGATTCCTAAACAGGTATGTGTGACCTTTTGCTTTTATTTATCAGGACATCCTTGGCTCTGGTGGGGCTAGTTTATGAAAGCAGCTTGGCTGTGTTCAGTTTTCTAGAGTAATCAGTTCCTCACAGGATCAGGATGTTCAAAAACTGTGATGTGGATTTCACATGCCTCATTTGGATGTTTCTATTTATTCTGTCTTTTGAATCTTTTTCTCTTGCATTTGTGCATGTTAACTTCACAGTTTTGTTCAGTGGAGCTCCAATTCTGCAGGTCCTCTCCGAATCATAACTCACATTGTTCAAATAAGAATGGCTTTCTAAGGCAAATCTAATCAGTGCTTCTCTTGGGAACAAAAGTAAATGAGCTTTTCTAAGGTTGGCAATTCAGTCCAATTATTTCACAGATCTTTGTTCATTTAATTCCTCTGAAGTGGAACAATCAGAAGAAACAGGGCAGAACTACAATACAAACAGGAAATTATGGTTTCTCAATTTGAAGAAAATGAGATTTTATAATACATTCCCCTATTTATTTATTTATGTATTAAGCCTTACTCTTTTGTCATGCATCCCGGCAGCGCTTCACTGCAGAGCACAGAGGTCTTGAGAGAACCGTCAAGTCATGTTAGAGCTCCTCAAAATGGAGCTGTGTAGACAAAGTCACAGGTACTGTAAATAAGCTCAACTCCATTGATTACCTGGGACCTATATCAGTTTAGAGCAACTGAGAACTTGCAGTTTACTGCAGTGAAAGGATGGTTTTTTCACTCCTTGGATAACATAATTGTATAGAATCATAAAATATCCTGAGCTGGAAGGGATGCACAAGGATCACTGAAGTCCAACTGTGCTCGAACTCCAGAACTAAACTTGGAAAGTAAATTTCATGGAAATTATGGATACATTGAAATGAAGCAATATTTGCTCCCTGAATAAGCATAAACTCCCTGATTAAGTTTTAATTTATACTTAACAATTCAGAAAATGGAAAAGGAAACCAGAATTTTTATTCTTGTCATCTTCAATTCCTAGGCAACTGATTTAGAGGTACTGTGAAGATGTATTACAGCTTTAACACACAGTCTATTCGCCAGAATTTCTTGCAGCAGTACCACTGAATTCAATGACAGTGATGCCATTCATTTTTGTTGATTCAGCCTGATCCCCTTACTGTCCATATCTGGGACCTTCTGGAAGTCTCCACAGCTTTTTCCTGTGTGTCATTCACAGACTTCCTTCACATAGCAACCAGAACATAAGGGCAAGATGTACAACCAGACCTTGTCTAAGGAGGAAGCCAGGACCTGCAAGGGGCACGTATCTGCATGGAACACCTGGGAAGTGCAACAGTGCTTGAGCCTTTGGAGGGAGAACAGCAGCCTGGCATTTGGTGCACATATGGCTGGTGAGTTGCGGTCCCAGGGCTTCCAAAATGCTGCCTGGAGCATTCCTAAGGGGTCAGCCCAGCAGGAAAGGACGTGGAAAAGGATGCTCTTCAAATGCTTTCTGCCTTCTGCTTTTCTGCCTAGGGTTTCTACCTTGATCCTTAAAAACCCTGTTACTCTAATGTGACAGCTATAGGAGACAGACACCTTAAGATTCTGACGGGGTTTAAAGAGTTTTAGCCATGGTCTTTTCCTCTCCTCAGTCCTTTTTGCGTGATGTGGTTCATCTTTCTTGATAAGCATAATAATAAGCCGAGCACTTAGAATGCTTTTCTGATGTCCCGTTGTGTTCAATCTAGCTCAATTGACACGCAGCAAAGTGCTGCAGCCTTTCAGTCAGGAATGACATGGCTTCTGCTGACATTTCCCAACTGAAGAATAATTTTATGAATCATACACACTCTTTGTCTCCAGCTCTTCTGAACGCAGTGAAAATCAGAATCAGAACCGAACAGATGGAGTTTGGGGAAGTGTGAAAGCCTTGAGGGAGCATCAGCACAGGAAAATGAGGGTCAGCATCCTCAAGGAGGTCAGGGAGCGAGGGTCAGAGAGCTGAAGAAGAAACCTATTCACAGGTACCGCGAGGAGAGCGCCTCTCATGATGGAGAGGTGCGGGCCCCAGCAGCAGTGCTGGGAGCGGCTGTGGGGCTCCATCCATCCCCTCGAGGTTCCCCTCGGGCAGGACGCGCAGGGACGGCGGAGCCAGAGCCCCGGGAAATCCACTCTCCGACGGCTGCCGAGAGGGACGCGCTCGGAGCTGGCAGCGGCACGTCCCACCCGCCCCGCTGAGCATCCCCGCCGCCTCCGGCCCCTCCGCCGGCGGCAGATGAAGGAGCCGCGGGCGGAGTGTGCAGGGAGGGCGGCGGGGAGGCGGCTCTGCCTGCCGGCCCCGAGCCGTGCTGCCGGGAGCGCCGCCGAGCCCCCCGCTCCGCACGGCTCTGCCGGCGGCGCACCAGGCGGCGGATGGCCGGCGAGCAGGGGTGACGGCCGGCCCGGCACGGCACGGCCCGGCCCCGCCCGGGCACGGCGGCTGCCGCGGGCAGCGGGCCGTGCGGCCGCCCTCACGGCCCCGCCGCTCGTGGCGCCGCCGCCCGGGGCAGCGCATCCCCGCTCCGCCGGCGGCCCCGGGCCGGCCCTGCCCTGCCCGCGCCGCGCTCCCAACTTTCCTCGGCGTGGCACAAAATGTGCCGGGGCGCCGCCGAGCCCCTTTGACGTCCTGATCCTCTCCGAGAACTTAACAGGATCGCAAAGCCCTTCGAGCGGCTTTTCGCGGTGAGCCGGGCTTAGCGCTGGGCTGCGGCCGTAATCCGGGCGCGCCTGCGGAGGGGCGGCCCGGCGGGCCCGCCCTGCCCCGCCGCCCTGCCCCGCCGGGCCCGCCCTGCCCCGCCGCCCCCGCCGGGCCGCCCTGCCCCGCCGCCCCCGCCGGGCCCGCCCTGCCCCGCCGGGCCCGCCCTGCCCCGCCGGGCCCGCCCTGCCCCGCCGCCCTGCCCCGCCGCCCCCGCCGGGCCCGCCCTGCCCCGCCGGGCCCGCCCTGCCCCGCCGCCCCCGCCGGGCCCGCCCTGCCCCGCCGGGCCCGCCCTGCCCCGCCGCCCCCGCCGGGCCCGCCCTGCCCCGCCGCCCCCGCCCTGCCCCGCCGCCCTGCCCCACCGCCCTGCCCCGCCGCCCCCGCCGGGCCCGCCCTGCCCCGCCGGGCCCGCCCTGCCCCGCCGCCCCCGCCGGGCCGCGCCGGGCCGGGCCGGGCGGGCGGCGCTGCCGCGGCTCCCGGCGCGGCCGGAGCGCTGCGGGCCGGCCCACGGCGCGCTGCCCGCAGGGAGAGCGCCCGGGACCCGCATCCAGGCAGGCGGACCGACGGACGGACGGAGCTCCAGAGTTCGGATGCTGCGGAGGAGAGCGTGGGCAGGTGAGTCTGAAGCAGGAGGCAGTAATAAGCCTTCTGTCACGCCTGTGAGAGTGGCATCATGTCCTGCATCGGACTTCAGTTCCAAGCCTTAGCTCAAGCTCAAAAGCTTGAAATGAAACGTTTGTTTATTTATTTAATTTTAAAGAAAAGCGTTAATTTGATTAATTGATGCAGAGATCTGTGTACTTAAAATTAAATTGGATTCAGGGCACAAATCTGAGCAGACGTGGGGCTGAGGGGACTTAATTCTACTCCTCTTGACTGACAATTTTACTAGCTTGATCCATGTGTCTCTTAACTTTTACACTGTCTGGCGCCTGTGGTGTAAACTGAGGCTGTCAATCCCAGTATAAAAAACGCTAGCAAATACTACAAGCAGTGAAAAGGAGTAATTTTCCAGTGATTCCTGGTGCTTTCCATAAATTGACCTTGGTTCTAGAAATATGGCATCTTTTGCAAAAGTCCTGTACTGTAATCCAGACCGTAGTCTGCCTAAGAATGCAGAAGATACAGTAATAACTATAATCAGTGTCTGTCTGTAATGCAAGGTCCCCTCATATGCCAGGAGGAAAAGTCTAAAAAGATAAGGAAAAGTGACATGAACATTAGTTTCGATCTCTGAAGAAATGATGTTCAATGTAAATGTTGGTACCTGTTGATCTACCTGTTTTAACTATATTTTGTTTTCCAGATTCATAGTTGCTGCATTCAAAGCAAATAGATTGTCATATTTAAAATCTGTAATTTTCATTTTTCCATCTGAGTAAAACTACATCTGGACTTTCAGATGTTACAGATATTGAAATAGCGTAACTGTGTGTCTTCAGTAAGCACAGTCTAGTTTTTTCCTTCTGGTATTTTCATGTTGTTTTCTTTGAGTATGCATGCTAAAACCATCTGATTAGAAAAATACATGTTGCAAATGAAAACGGGACTGTCGGGGTGTTGAATCAGCAAGGGTAATCATTGTAAACAAGTGCTGAATGACTTGAGGGAAGAGCACATCAGCTTTGAAAAATTATACATCGTCCTTCCATATCAGCATGTCTCAGCTTTGCCTTCTGTGTATCCCAGCCTTTGTCATCCAATTTGCGCCCAAGCTCAGTCATTTCGGTTCAGCACGTTGTCCGGCAGCCTTCTCCAACGTTGCCATCTCTTTTCATTAGCATCTCTTAAATCCTCTTCGGTAGGATGCCTCCTTACGGTTTGTGAAACGTGACACGATTTACCCCTCGTGTTTCCCTCCCCCAGCCAAATGGGATGGCTCCGATGGCTCGAATAACGCGGGCAGGGAGTGAATTTAAATGGTAACAGTTACACGTATGCACACATGCAAACATACATGTTTATTTTACAGGCACACGTTCAGGACTGTAAACCTGCTGTTCTCATGCTATGTTCACTTTTAAGAGTTACCTTGATACATGAATGCACTGACAGGAGACTTTGGCAGAACCAGTGAATTTTAGGCAGTGGCTCCAGAAGCCTTGCACAGAGCTTATTTGCTGTATAGAAACATGAATACCTGCACCATATTAACCCATACTGGCAGCAGAAACATGATGTGACTTGCTTGTCCAGTCAGCTGTAATTTTTAATTTGCTGTGTTTAAATTTACAATATTAAATTCAATATTCACAGATAGTTTCTCCTGAAAAGTTTCCAATCTAAAAAAGAATTCATCTGCAGAAAATGGTCTGCAGAAAACTTCAGTAAATTTTAGAAAATTGAACTATATTGCTAATAGTTCATAGTTACAGAAGGGAAACTTGGTCCAAATAATTCAATTTATTTAAATGATTATTTTGGTACTAAAAGGTGCCAGAGACTCAGCCATCAAATAGATCAAAGGTAATCATGTGCATTTCATTGTAAAATTATAAATTATACATACATGAATAATGCAATGCTTTATGAAGTGCATGCACATCTAAAGTACCTGTGAAAGAAAGGTAGAGAGTATTTGACATCCTTGGTTGGTCCTGAGGCTACTGGGCTATGCATATAAATTATGTGCATTCTCAGGAGATGTCAGTGCTCATAGACTGTAGAAAATGTAATATGATGTAGCAGAGAGAAATAAATTGTGAGAAGTGTGCTTTTAAAAGAGGCCCTAGAATTTAAGAATTGTTGATTTAAACTGTAATGAATTTGTGAGGGTAAGTTGGTACTGCTGATTGTTTTTTCAACTCCCTTAGCTTGATCTCATAGCCTTCATGCAAAGCTGATTTCCATATGAGTGTACCAGAGTCCCATGTGCAGGTGAATTTGCAAACCTCCAAAACATTGAAGCAAAGATTATGCCTTGTCTTCAAACCATGTGTTTATTTAAAAGTTCCAGTGCCCAGTCTTTGATGTCTGCTTGTTGCCATTAGTGGTTGCATCATTGGAGCTGCAGCCTGTCACACAGAACACACACAAGATACAAAATGCACAGCTGAGCTACAACTATTAGCAAGTGATATAACAAGGATCATGTAGGCAGAGGTCAAATCCCAGAATAAATCCCAAAGATTTATCAGGGTTGAACCTGAGAGGCTGTGTGAGGATTTGGAACATGTCTTAACTAAAATGATGTTAGTGATCCTATGCAGCTTATCATTACTTCTATAGCAATAAATAAATTGCTGAAAGCTTCAAGAAAACAGCATTTTAAAAATTACAGAAACAGATAGGATGCATTATAAAATCATATGTAAAGTCATCTTTTACTTTGTGGTGGTGATACATATTTCTCCACAAAAAGCTCTTTTTTGAATTCTGCCCTATTTCTGTAGTCCTTCAAACAAATAAGCATTAACAATACTAAATGGTGGTATAAATAGCTCGGTCTGTCATTATTTTTTGATAAACAACTACTTTTACTTTGTATCAGGTGTATTAATTCTTGGTTGGTTAACAATATTGAATTAAGGTAGGTTGGGTTGGCAGATTCTGCCCCAAAAGGGAACTGCTAGAGTAGCCCAAACATGAATTCTCAGTGCTCTTGAGAGGGAGATGATGGTAATTCAAAGATCTTTCACAGATATTTGACAGGCTGCAGAGCTCATTTTGATGGCTTAGTGGATAGCTGTCAACTTCCAAAATTTGTTATAATTTGTTATAATTTGTTATAATTTGTAATATTAAAGTGTGTGTCTGTGTGTTGGGTTTTTTTTTCCTGCTGAGAAGGTGCAAAATTGTCTGAAACCCAGGCCACAAAGCTGCTCAGAAGCCTTGCCTGTGTCCAGATTGCAGTGGGTGGTGAAAACAGATACTCCTGCTGCCATAGGTGTTCTGGAGTGCTGAAAACCCATAAGAAAGCTATTTGTAGCCCATAATTTACTGCTAGCAGGCTCTGGAAAAAGGAAAATTGTTTTTTTCTCGCTTAATTTGAAGCAGGCTTGAAAAGGTTTCTCATTTTTGAGGTGCAGCTGCTCAGCACAATGCAATTTGCTGCAAACAGGTGAATCAATTCAAGAAAGAGGAGAGTTATGGCTGTGAATTGGGTACCACTCCTTTTGGCCTGGAGTTAGAAGTCCAGTTATTCACAATCCCAGTTTGGTTTCAGTCATTTCACATATGTAGCTTCCTTCTTAGTGCCTTGTTCCTACTTACCTGCATTTCTGCATTCCTACTTCAGGGAATCCACTGGATGGCAGAGCTCCTAAAATTTAGACACTGTAGCCTTTGTAGCTCTAGTTTTAGGTCTTTAATGATGTAGTTCTAAAGAGACAAGTAGAACCTGATTTTCAAAATTAGGAAATACTTATATGAATCTGAAATTTTCATATGTTCCTTGAACTCATATTTGTTGCCAAACAAGTGGCTGTTTGGCACAAAAGCTCAGTTGCTATTGAATCCAAAAGGAAGAGGATAAAAGAACCTGACCATTTACATTTCAAGTAGGGAGTGCTATCATAATGTATGTAATTTATTACATTTTTAATAGGTTAACTGCAACCTCCCGTTTCCCAGCCCCTGTGCTGCTGGGTAGGGTAGAGGAGGTGGAGGAGTTTGGAATGTAGGGGTAAAGTTGAATCTGGGGAAAATGAGTGGTAGAGTGTTTTGTTTCCCACCATCCAACTCTATTTTAATTTGCATTAAATTGAGTTTTCCCCAGTTTGAGCCCATTTTGCCTGTGATGACAATTGATATTCCAGTGTCCTTTTTCTTCCTGTTTTTTCTCTTGACCCATGATGAGCTTTCTCATCTTGCTTTCTCCCACTGGGCTGCTGAGGAGGGGAAGTGCAGTAGCCGCTGTCTGGGCATCTGGTAGCCAGCCAAGGCCAACCCACCACTGAGCTCTACTCACTTCTTAAAACTACCTTATGAGAACCAGTGTTTAGTGACATTTTTGGGATTGCAGGTCCCAGATGGCTGGAGCTGTCTGTGTGGCCCTGCAGAAGGTGTTTGTGGAGCCTTCTGACTCTTTAGGACTTTCCTGCTGGTTGACTCCTGTTAAGCTGCTCCATAGTTAATTACTTGCCATATTTTGGATCCAGTGCTGAAATGTCAATCTTCTCCTTAGACTATTAAAAACATTTATCATTAGGGTTCTTAGAGGCTTGGAAGGAACAAATATTTCATCTTCATCAGATAGTTAGTAATTTGTCAGAACTTTATGGACTTTATGCAGTGCCAAACCATTTTGCTTCAGGAGGTCTCAGCACCTGCACTGTACCCAAATTACCTCACTGTTTATTTCTATCAGTCCTGTGTTCAGTCCCTCTCTACCACAGCTGAGCACATGTAACACACTTTCATCCACTCTTCCTAGCTCCTTCCAAGAATATATTAATGTATTTTATTGCTAAATAGTAGAGTTGTATTTCTGTGAAAATGTTCTCCCTTCCTTTCCTCCAGTATAGTGCAGAGTAAGAGCTCAGACCACATTGTATATTAAATGTGAATTTTACAGCTGAAATGATTGTAAGGGATCTGAAATGAGCTGAAATTTTACTTACATACTTTTATTTTATAACTTTTTAGTCTTCACCTTTTAGGGTACGCAGACCTCATTTTCCTTTCTCTCCCTTTTCCAGGTCTTTAATCATTCTTGCCATGCTGTCATTTTGCTTTATCTTTCTGATTAAGAAAAAGACTTGGAGTATTCCAGATAAGTCTGCACTGTTGTTTCATGGAGCAGTTTTAGTGGGTTTTGTGTCATTAACCTGTTCTGTGTGTACATTGCCAGTTGTTGTATCAGCAAGCCTGCCCTGCAGTGAGCACGCTGTTTCACTGAGCTGTACCTATGTCCTAAGTTCATAAATTTGGTTTGGGTTGGAAGGGACCATAAGAACCATGTAGTTCCATCTCCTCTGCCAGCAGACCAGGTTGCTCAAAGCCTTGTCCAACTTGGCCTTGGGCACTTGCAGGGGTGAGGCATTCACACCTTCCCCAGGCAATGTGGTCCAGTGTTTCAACACCATCATAGTGAAGAATTTCTTCCTAATATTTAATCCAAATCTACCCTTTCAGGTTCCCTTTCTGGGGGAATATGGTTCATTTGGAAGCATGTAGGGCAGTATTTTACATGCTTTACACCTGTATTCTTGGGTTTCCATTTGCCTGTGTTGCACATCACTTATCATCAAATTGAGAAATTGCTTAATTGATGTTGGCCACCTGCACTCCTGAGGTTCCCTGCACGCCTTTTGTTTCTCTTGCCTATACAATTTTTTGCCATGCTGAGATCTTACTGTATCTCTACTTCATCTTTCCATCAGTATCATTAACAACAGGTTTTCCTACAGAGCCCTGAGGAATACTATTATTGACTTCTGCAGTGGTGAAGGTGACTGTTTAGTCCTGTTCTTGCTTTCTGTCTTCTTGGTTTTTTAAATCCAAAATAGTGGTGTTTGGCTTTGTATGCTATTACTTTTTTTTTTTTTTTCTTTTTTAGTGGCATAGCTTTTGAAAATCTGAATAAGGTTTCCTGTATTCAGTGCTGCACTGGCATACTCAAGCTTTTCAGAAGGTTTGGAATATCTAATTCCAATATCTGCTGAAAGTGTTTGATTTCAGATTAGTAATATTCAGCTTCAGCCATTTCAGTTTTAAATGTAAAGAAATACTGTACTTCATGTTTCTTAACCAGACTTTTGGGAACTGATGCACAAATGCATCTGGAAATCCACGTGCCACACCTACAGCATTTGAAACATAGAAAAGCATTGTTCACTCATCTCCAGTTTCAGAAGCAATGTGTCTTTTCAGTGAGGGAATCCATGGTGTTGGTTGCAAATGATCTACATCACCCCAAGACTTCAGATTGTTTCATTACCTCATGCTTTCATTGTTTTAACAGTTTTATTTTTTTTATCAGTGTTGCTTACTTTGTTGGAGGTTATAAAACCAGGTGACCCTTGTTTTTAAGAGCTGCTGTAGGTAGGCATCAATCCAATTGTGAATCACCAGAACTGATAAGTGCAACTGTTAAATGTTAGTGTTAGTCAAGAAATTCACTCAGTGCTAAATTTGCTCTGAAATTACAACTTCAGAAAAAAGGTTAATGCTTTGTTACTTATGAATAATTCTTCCCACTATCAAGCTTCTAAAACTCTGAGTTATGTTTTTAACATAAATTATCTGCACTTTAGAAGTTAATTCTTCAGAGTGAACATTCCAATCTGAGAGTGGGTTGAAAGAACACAATTTAAAAAATATCAATGTGTAATAAAAATGCCCATTTTTATCCAGTAAAACTTCAGTTAATCAGCATGAACAAGGTTCAGTTTAAGATGAGACACAGACATTGGCTGATTTAAACTAAGGCAAAATTAATGACAAAAAATTTTGAATTTTAAGTGATGCCCAAGGCTGTTTCTAGAGTAATTTCATTATTTCTGGATGAAAATAAATCCACTTTAAAATACATTGAATAATTTAAAAAGCTTCGTATTATTTTCTTTAATTGTCTGGGAATTGATTGGAGGGTAAATCAGGTAACTGGCTTTCAAGAAAGTGGGTGCATAATGTTTTAACCATGGGTAGTGAGCTTTGCTTCAGGAATAATTCAGGTCACAAAGTTTCTGAAAAATCTGTATTTCATTTTGTGTTGAAGGTAGATCTTGTGTGGTCAGTGAGACAGAGGATTACAGGTGAGAAATGGACATGACCTAGTGTGAGGGAGTTGATTGATTCTGAGAGAATTTCATTCTAATCATATTTCAAACAAAAAAGGTTCCTGAATGAAGTTTCTAAACATTTTTTTTTCTCCTTTCTTAAAAAGTCAAATCTTTCACTGAAAGTCTTTCAGTTCTTCATTTGTAAGACACTTGTCTTGAGTCTTAAAATTCATTTTTTATGTAGTAGATGTGATACGAATTTCAAAAGGCATTAAAGATCAAATCTGGAAAGGAATTTAGACAATTTTTTAGAACTTGTAGGAGATGAGCTGCTAAATATCTTAACAGAATGCTTTGAAGCATTGTAATAAAAGCCTCTAGTGTGTGTGTTTAGCGCAGAGTTTTAAAAATATAGAATTATAACATGGCCTACATTAAACTGAGGGATAAATGTAATTATCTGCTTGGTTAATATGGATTTTTGGCATTAAAGTCTTAATGATAAAATAGATAATATTAACACAGGTGAATCAATGTGAAGCGGAATGTGTTGTCCTAGCACATGTATTACCTGGCTTTTTTTGGTTGACTTTCTCACTAAAGTTCTTTTAATGAGATTTTAAATGCAATTTCATTATGGATAATAGGTATGACAGTGTCCGTAGTTCATAAAGCCTAGAGACTAAAAGAATATGGTGTCATGTAACACTTTTTCTTTGGTCATTATGAATCTTTGATAACACTTTTTTTCTGCCTACTGCAAATAAAACAAGAAACACATGTCATATGTATGTGTAAATATCACTGTTCTTCAAATGGTTGAAATTGTTTTTTGCTGTTCCACTGTTTTAATAAAGAACTCTTTTTTGAGTACTGAGCACATTCCTTTTGAAGCCTTCATAATTTTTTTCCCATTTCAGTTTTCATTTAGATGTTGATATGTAAAGCAAAATGGCAAAAATCAACACCCAGCACTCCTACCCTGGTGTACACAGCTTGTCTGTCAGAACTTCTGATGAAGATATTGAAAGGATTGAAAATGGCTATATCAGGTAATATTTTCCTTTCATCACAGTCAAGAGGACAGATTGCTGCATAGTTTGTGGAACTCCTGTAGCTCTGGGAATGGGAGCTAGAAATATGGGAATATTGTGTTGTGATATTGTTGGCCCAGTGCGCTTTACAGACTTTACTGCATCTATCTAAAGTACAGAGGAGACAGACACAGAGAGATTGTCATGGTTTGCACTTTTGGAAGCAGGAGCTGTAACACCTCAGGAAAAAAAGCCCTTTTTCACATCAGTGGGAATTACACTATCTCATTAAAGAGAAACCTCTTTCTCAAGTCACCACATAGCACGCAGGATCTGAGCTTCTGACAGGGTATGTAGGATTTGGTGAAGAAAAAGATACTTTGAGCACCATGCAGTGAGAAGCCTTGGAAATGTTTGGGTTTTTTTAAGCAGCCTCTGCAAATTGCCTAGTTCCTGTATTAGGAAAAATCTGTACTGTATAAAGAGTATCAGCTTTTTTGTACTGGATTTTCAGTGTGTTTCTCTGTAGAGAGGAAATGTAATAGAGGAAATTTACATTCATCTTTCTCTAGTTTTGATAGTTTTAAAGTGTCTGTTTGAAATGTGCCAGTGAGCTTGCACTTACCTATTGCACAATACCAGTCATTCCTCTAGACTGGGCAAAGCCTGCTGGGCCTGCAGAAAGATGCCTGATGATCCATAGCATCTTTGAAGGCTGGAAAATATCTTCTGCTTTTGGTTTGTTATGGCCAACCAGCTCCTCTGTGTGGATCTTGTCAGGCTGGCTCTTGCTGTTCAAATGCACACCCAGACTAGAGCACCCAGAATCTTAATGGGCTGATGGGACTCCCTGCATTATGGGGAGTTTTGGATTGCATGTCCCTAGCAGCTGCTATGGATGCTGTGTTTGAATTGGCCTTTTTTTCTTTTTGCTTTGCTTAATATGTTACCTTCTGTCACATAGATGTACCTACAGCAGTAAAAATGGATCTGATTTGTTCTGCACAGTAAGGCTTGCTCGCTGTTGTTGCACTACCCCATGGCCTCCTTAGGGAGATTTAAGAGCCCTGTCCCTTTCTCTCCATTAACAGTGATGTGTTAGAAAAAGTGAAAACACAGATTGGAATGAACCTCTTCCTTTCCTTTTTTTAATGTCCTATTTAGTGGATGTCAGTGATTGGCAGCTGACAAAATGGAATTGCTGGCTGGGATGTGAGAGTGGGGTTATAAAGGTTTAAATGTAGAATTAAATCTCTGCAGTCATCTGCAACTTCAGAGGCAATGACTTTGACAGCTAGAGGGACTGAAATATTAATTGCACTTCATCATCATGGTGATGGTCTTGGAAGACGCATTTTTTTAAAGGAAAGTTTGATATTAGCAGCATTAATTGCAGGACTTCATAGATGGGTAAGAAGATACAATCTTGTTCTATAAAAGAGATCTCGTAAGATTTTTGGATTTTTGAAATGAGTGCTGCTAAGTATATACAATATCTTTATAATGCCATTATTTTTTTTTAAATTCAGATTGGCTTTAGAATATGTCTGTACCAAAAGAGAGTAACTATCCAGGATTTTAGGTTTTCTGTACCTTGCATCAAAATACACAACTATAGATATTGGAAAAAAAGCACATTTGCTAGAGTAACAGCATTTATTCTTTGCCTTTAACCTTACTCCAGCTCCTATTTGCTATAGTTCAACATAGCAATTAAACACATTACTTAGTTCTTAATAAAGTCAGTGGGTGTTAAATTTATGCTTAATGCTAAGGAGGTGCTTAAGCACTTTTCTGATGTGAAATGAGGTGTTACCAAGAAAAAGCATTCACTGCAACAGTTAAAAGAAAGCTGCTACTGATCTTTAAAATGCTCTGCTCATTTATGCTGCAGTGATTCATGTACCCATATTCTTACACTGTAGTGTGTTATAAAGTTGGTTCATTTTGTTAAAACAAAAATAAAGAAACCCCAAAAAATAACAAATAAATCTCTATTTTTAAAACCCAGCCTCTGTATAGAAACAACTCAAATAGGAGAGGCAGAATATTCGCTTATAGACACACAGGCTGGCCATTTAAAGTTGAAAGTAGGATTCAGCTGTGTCCTGTAGACATCTGGATTTCAGTGTCTTTGTGTGAGCTGTTGCCTACATTCCTGCTGTCCTGAGTGGAGATGTCATCAGTACTGATGGTCAGCAGCACCCAGGGAACTGCTCAGCTTACCCTCAAATTCAGTAACTCTTCAGGCTCCTTTGGCTCTCTTGATTATGAGAGGTATTTAGTTGCCTGAAATAGACATCTAATGCTATTTGAGATACTATAGAGTATTTGAAGTGTTTAGCTGGTGCTAGCAGATGTGAGGAGGGGCCTGTGTGCTCTGGAGAAGTCCAATAAAGTATTCTGAAGTGTTACAAATTGTACCAGACTCTATTCTGAAACAGCTGAATCAAGCCCTGAGATGGCCATTGGCTATAATGGGAATTTAGATACTTCTTAGGTACTGCCATTAAAAATATTAGAATTTATTAAAAGATCACACAAAATGTATATTACTCAGTAAATGGGAATAAAATACTTAAACCAGCCATGGTAGTGCAGTCTAAAACACTAACTAGTCCTGTATCCTTTCTTCAGCAGGTCTGTAGGCAGTTTCTCCAGGAAACACTAAAAAAGATTCTCTCAGCATTCAGCTGAAGAGAGTTCTTGGGCTGAATGTGGGCTCTGAACCTGGTAATCTGTGATGAATGTCTGTTCCATGAGTTTGTTCATTGTCCCTTAGAAGGATGTTAACTTTGACAACCACAATATTCTCAGCACTGGCAACATAAACTGGGTTCTAATTTTTTTTTTCAGTGCTACGTGGCTTGTTATTGGAAGAGAAGTAGAAAACAGTTAACAAGTTGAGAATTCTGGGATCATCAGGATCTATTTTAGCATTGTTCTTTGGGTAGAAATAATAAAGTTTTTATTCTTTGTTTGTTAGTTTCTCAGCTGTGTGTGCACATAAAATTGAGATGTTGATTATCCTTTTGTGGGCATTCAGAATGTTGCTGCCAGCTCCTATGAAGATACTGCAAGTATCATCTAAGTCAAGTGTTTTCTTGGCAATACAGATTAACAGACCCATGTGAGAGTTCTTGTTTCCATTGCAAAGGGGGGGAAAAGTTATTCTTAATGGATGTAGAAAAGTCTTGTAAAAGTGAATACTAAAGACTGAAAAACACAGAGAAGACCAAGGAGTACTATAAAAAAAATCTGGAGTGAACCTTCATAAAGTCCAGCTTCCAATGAACTCAATTTCAAAACTCTATTACTAGAAGACAAGGCTAAAATTTAATCTATTTTTCCTCAAATGTTAATTTTTTAAGTGCTAATAAGTTGTCCTTAGCTTCTGAGCTTGCTGGAATGTATGGCAGAACCTCCAGTGACTTCAGTTCATATTGGATGGTTTCAGAAGAATTAGAGCACAGGCTTAGCAATAAGGTTATCAAATATATGCTGTATTACTAGGGAGAGGACAATTTGCTGGATTGTTTCCTGATGCAGTGGTGGAGAGAGCCAGATGGGGGAATGTCTGGTGAAGGCTGCATGGAATTCCATTAAAAAAAAAATTTGTTTTTGCAGAACCCATTCACTGCGTGAGGATGCATCTTCAGAACTGCAGGGAGTCATTTCTGTGGAGGGAGGACATGTACCTGAGCCCCAGGCGAGCTCCTTCACTGGCAGGGGAGCAATGGCAAGGTAACATACTAACTAATAGAATTTCCAGTATTCAGTTCAATTTGCTGGAAGAGACTGGTTGCAATTTGGAGGCAAAGAAAGAAGAGCTATTGCTTTCCAAAGAAAATGGATGGAGTCTAGCTGAAGAATGTCTATAAGAAGTAACAGAAGTTGCATTTGACCTTGATTCATCACTTATTGCTAATAAAAGTCTCAGAATCTGAGAGAGGATGAATAAGCCTAAAGAAATTTTTCAAATAGAAAAAAATGAATTATTTTTACATAACTATTTGAAAATACACTGAATGCAAGGGAAGTGCATGAATTGAAGCCAGACTGTAAAATAAATGGGTAAGTGTTTGGCTCTGGATGATAGCTGATGCAGTATTTGTTTTCTATCAAATAAAACATGGTTGTCTCCTTTTGGTAGATCGCTCTGGAAAGGGAAGAGACAGGGAGTCTGTGTTTTAAGTGCAAGAATTTCTCTCAGTTTTTAGAATCCAGTTATGTTTATAACAGATTTGGAGCCCTAGTCAGCAAAATTGAAGCTGACCATTGTCTTAAGTTGTTTGTTAGTGAGACTTAAATATAAGCTGAAGTGGAGCTTCAAAACTTTATTTTGTCTGCTTTCTGTCTGAGACTACAGGGTTCTGCCTTCAGATACCATTGTTCCACACAACACAGACCACAGTCACTTTAAGCACAGTGTATTACTATTTAAATGACTAGGGTAATTTAAATAGTATTGTTCACACCTCATCATTTTGGATAGTGGAGAATAAACTCAGATTTTTGGTTTTCAGATAATGACACCACGAGATGTAGATGACAAAGTCTGCAAGAAGTTGAGTTTAGATGAGAAAAGATTATAGGTGTGTGTTTTGTGTAAACATTATGCACATGAATATATGAATTCGTACTGAGAACTTCCTTTTCAATCTTTGTTTATAATTTCTTTACCCTTTTTCAGGATAGATTGAATTACATTTGTGTGTAGCTACAGTTATGTATGCTCTGAATATACAGGGAAGTTTGTGATGTAATGTAAACATGAATGCCTAGCAATTTAAATATTAGGGTAACACAGCATGACTCTTAAATGGAAATTCCCAAGGATCTAAGACAGCTGTTTCTGATGTACTTCACTGAGTATCTCACTTTGAGATGTAAAGACTCAGCAAGAATATTCTGTTGCTCCTACAGTGGGGATACAGTAGAATAGGAACTGATGTGTGAGGTATTTTCCTGATCCACTGCAGAGGGTGATCTATTAAATTGTGGCGAGTGACTGGGTTCACACAGTTACTCCATCAGGTTTAATTTCATCACAGGTGGAGATGTGGAGAAAAATCCTGGGCTGGTGTTTGTGGGGATGTTTTAAGCCACCTCGTGTTTCTGTCTGGTTCAGTGCATTTTGTGTGTGTGTTCCATGCAGGCTGTCCCGGTTTGTCTTATCTGTAAGGTCATGGGCCACAAGACACTCGCAGCGTGAAGACCAAAGGCCTGACTCTTTCCTGGAACGGATCAGGGGCCCTGAGCTCGTAGAGGTGTCCACCAGGCAAAGCAACATCCGCTCCTTCCTGGGCGCCCGTGAGCGGCCCGGGGCAGATAACAGGTAAGAAGAGGTGTTTATACTTCAAGTGAAGATGACTGAGGTTATCATGCTTTCTTGGTAATTAGGATGTAAGTTGTATTTTAAGAAGAGAGTAAGGAGCTTAGCATGGGAGATAAACAGAGTATCTAATGTTGCCCAGGAATCTTCACATAACTGAAGTATTGCACTTTCAACAGACTTTCTCTTTCCTCAAACACAGTGTGATCAAGATCTTGAAGTAAAGGATTTTGATCATGCTGCTTCAGGCAAAATGATGTCTCAGAACTGGAATTTTATCATACATAACTTGATGTTGCTAAACTGCTCTCTACTGAGGAGAATGCAGTTTATATTTCAAGAATCTAAGGTGTTTCTACTTCTGGCTTTTCAGGATCTTAATGTGCATTATCTGCAAGTGTTAGGAAGCTCTAAAGAAGCAGTTGTGCAAAATGTGTAATTGCTTTGTTATATCTACTCAGAAGTCCATCTGATAACATTACAGAACATTTCTGATGCAGAAATGACAAAATCATTTGGATGCTGACTTCACTTATTAACATGTATGTGGTCTTTGGTATGGAAGGCAGATTCAGTCTTAATTTTTTTCCAGTACAATGAAAGAGAAACCTTTATGTGTTTATAGTTCTTTGACGTGATTAATTATTATTACGGTATAAATATATTATATGGTGTTTTAAATTTAACTCCAGCTAAAATGGGAAAATGAAATACCAAGACAAAAGCTGGCTTTCTGTTTGGCATTAGGCTTTGAAGCAGAGACTCTTCTTTTTTTTTTTTTTCATAATTAAAGACTGGTAGGTAAGCAAGTAATTAGTTTCAAAAATCTCAGCAAGCAATTAGATTAAAGCAAAAACCTTTGAAGGTCTGTGCATTACACAGATTACTGTGATTTGTTGTAGTCCCAGCACAGTCTTATTATCTTCACTTGATCTGCTTCTTAGAAATTCATCTTAAGAGCACATTTTATTGAATTAGGCAGACTATTGCCTGATTTCTCAGGTGCCTGGATCAGTAGCAACTGCAGATGGGAAGTAATTAGAGAGAACAACATTGATCATGGGCCAACAAACCTCTGCATAAGGCTATTTGAAATTAATTTAAGGGCACCTATTAATTTAATGGCACTGCCTTCTCAGTTTTATGCTGTTGCTGGTTGACAGTAACTCTCAGTTGTTGGATCATGAAGGCTTAATTCTGCAGCAGTGGATAGGTATGCTCATTACTTATCCACAAGCCTTGACACTGCATCTGTGAAGAGGACTTGAAAGGATTGAAGAAAGCTTAAATTAGTAGCCCAATGAGTACAGGCCTAAAAATAGTGAGGTGCATCTTGCCATGCACTAATACGCCTAAGAACAGGGTTCAGACATCAGATGTGGTCACAAATGTGTATGCCAGGCACATGACAGAAAGGAGCTGGTGCCTGGAAGCAGTTATGCAAAGGGGCTTATCACAACAGTCAAAATTGACCTTGCTAATCTTATCAGTGCATATGTGAGAAGCCCGTGAGTCCGTCTGTCATGTAGGTAGACACGTGTGTGAAATGCCAGCAGCCTTTACTTGCACTCTTTAATGTGTTTTATTTAACTTGCTTGCAGTCACTGGCCCTTGGCCAGGTTCAATGTCAACTTTAGCAACAACACCAATGAAGAGTAAGTACTGTTAACTTCCAAAGACCTTTCTACTACCATCACCTTCTCTTTTTCCCTATCCAGCCTAGTTACACTTGTAGTATGAACTTGTTAGTTCTTGCTAAGCCTTTCCTAAGAGTATCGTTTTATTATAGAGAAAGGTCTCATTTTATTGGTATGAAAAGCATCCTTTGTGCTCCCTGTGAACTTCTTTTTGTCTGAAATTACCCCTTCCTCTCGAGGAGTGAATTTGACTAAGCATTTAGTCCCTACCTTCTGTAGTTCAGCTGGCTGATTGTACTGCATTACCAATTAATGCATTCATTTTTCAGTTTTTAAATGAGATTCATGTGTAAATTTTCTAATAGTGGTTTTCCTCTTTTAACACACTGGTCCCTTTTTGCAAATCAAGTGCCCCAAAAATTCTAGGTTGTCAAATGAAAAGTAGATACAGAAGAGGTTACCAAAATCCATTTATATATCCACCTTTTAAAAATGTGTTTCAGTTCAGCAGGTACTGTTGTTTTAGAGAGAGTGACAGGCACCATAATAAGACGGGTATTGCCACAGAATGTTGGAAAGAAGTTGTCCTTTTGAATTTATTTTATATAATTGATAAGCTATTTCACAGTGTTACACCAAAGAGAAATTTATTAAACAATGTGAAGAGCTCCTCTAATTTAAAATCACCCAACATCAATGTTTGTTGCTTGTCTTAGACCACAGCAATCTGAAGACATATCTGCTCTTTAGTATCTAGCAGCAGATCTGTTTTCATGCATAATAGTTAGTTTCTTTTCATTGCTTTCCAGATGAAACCAAAAAATATAAAAGTAATCAGTACACCTTCTGATTGTATCAGAAATACTTCTAGAAAACTCTTGGCGATTTTTTTCCCCTTCAAATAATTCTATCATAGGATAGTTTAAACTGTACTTTATTATATGATGCTGCAAAACCTTTGTGCATATAGCTGAACAAGAGATCTTCCTGCCCCTAAAGCAACTTTTCAGTTTGGTTTGTGTAACTTTTATTCAAAAGGAAAATCTGTGTGCAGTGGGCAGTGACAGAAATATGCAGACTTTTATTTAGACTGATATAAAAGAAGTGCTATAAGCTTGGAGCCAAGCCTGCTAGATGGAGCCCAAAGGACTGGTTAGGACAGAAATACTTCTGCCTTACTGTGTTTCTGACAATGACTCAGGTACCTTGGGCAAAACTTTCATCCTTTCACTGTTTCATTATTTTTAAATGAAGACAAGACCTGTCTGTCTACCTGCCCGACAGTCTGAAACATACTTGATCTGCAAAGTACTTGACAGATGAGAAATGCAAATATTTGAGTCAAAGACTCAAAGATTGATTCAAAGACTATGACAGTGTTTTTGTAAAGGCTGATGAAGTAGATTTCTAAGCCTACAGCTGCACACAGCTTAGAAACAGCATGGATGCTGCTGCGTTGGGGTCAAAGAGGACAGACACAAACTGTTTTATTAGTTACTGGATTCCAATTTACTCAATGTTACTGGTAAAGAAAAAGAAATGTGGACTTTTCATTATGTTAGAGCCCTAAGTGTGCCATGTCTTGAGGAACTGTACATGATGCTTTCAAGTCTTTGATTATGGCAAACCTTTTCCTCTGAGCGACTTCCAATCAGACTGCAAGTAGATGTGAGTATGATAAATTGGGAGTTACCACAACAGAAAAATAAACAGAGGCAACATGAATGGAAGAAACTCATTTACAAAAGGTACCTGTAGTTGACACATGAGTTTGTAGGAGATCTCAGGTCAGAGAAAAATAAGTGCTGGCATTAGACACTCTGTGAAATAAAATTTTTTCACTTTTTAACAAATAAAACACAAACATAGAAGGGAGTTGGAATTGTCAAAATATTCCCTCCAAAGTTCACCACCACTGAGACCTTTTGACTGATTTTCGATCTCAGCCTACTTTTCCCTGCATAATAAGATTCACAAATGTACATGTGGCCCTGCCCTTTGAAAATTCTGCTTACTGGTAGCTCTTCCATTCTGGTAAGAATGCCAGGCATTTGAAGTATTGAGGAGCTACATTAATGCTAACAACAGCAACTGTGCATTTGCCTTTAGAGTAGACACCAGGCATTGTAATCTGAAATGAAATCTTGACATGTTTTTTAAACAAGAAGGATTTTTGGGGGCAGATTGGAAAATGAAGCAGAAGTTCTGGATAGTCAGTCCAGAGAAATAAATTCTTGAGAAGCAGTTCCCACTGCTATGTAGGAATCAACCTTGGTAAATTAAAATCTGTTTCTTGCATTTGAGATGCAGGTAAAAATAGAAGATCAGTCAAGCCAAAGGTTTTTTTTCTCCTCCAGTTCTCCTCCCTTGTACTGTGTAATTTTGAAGGTGTCAGTAGCGTTGGTCAGTTCGGTAAATATTTCCTTGGATGTGGCAAAGTGTGGGATCTCAGCATTTTTTAGCAAATGAGTCTTGGCTTTTCCAAAGTGCACTGTGATGGTGCATCACTGTAGAAATGTCTAAGTGTAAGAACTGGAATAGGTGCTCATTGCTGATTGGTGAAAGCTGCTACTATTGTAAATTGGTGGCTGTCATCTCTTTGGAGTGCTTCTTTATCCTTGTATCAAGCACTTCCTAGATGTGACTGCCATTCACAGCACAGCCCTTTCTGGCCTGAGCAATATGAGCAGGCGTGCATGGGAAGCACAAGTCCTGTAAGCAGCACTATTACATACTCTGTCCTTGCTGTGGGATGTTGCTGTCATTAAACTCATTTGTCCTTTCCTGACACCAGTGCAAAGGAAGACTCAGACCCAGTCTCAGCAGTTCAGAGGCGAAAACAGAGCTCCCATGGGAGCAGGAATCCATGGATTTCATTCAAACCAGACGTTATGTGTGGGGTGTGTTTTTATCCACATGCTGTAGTGTAAGGAGCACTTAGGCTTTTCTGTCCGAGGGGGACATTTTCTGCTTCAGGGATTAGAAATGTTCAAATAAAAAAGAAGGAGATCTCAGATGATGGATTTTCTCCTTGTGCAAGTGAGCACCATTCTTCACAACACATTATATTATTCTTGACCAAGCATGTAGAAAATCTAGCTTTAAGATTAATTATTGTCAGAATTTCAAGAAAGCTGTTAACTTCCTATAGGTTTGAAAAGTATTTGTGGGCCTGTCTGCCTAAGTGAATGTATTTCAAGACTCCTCTTTTCAGACAAACTGAACAATGGGGCAATTCAGATCCAGAGGTGATTAATTAATTAAAATTTTGCTAGTTTTAAAGAACCATGAGTGGAGATTCATCCTTATTTTTATAATTACTATGAAAGCTTCAGACAGTCATGTTGAGGTTTTGGCTGTGCAAAGAATGTTGACAGTTTGTTAAGCCATTTCATATTCTGTAATCATTTGATAGGTTTCTTTTTAAGTGACTGGTTCTTAAGAGTCAATCAAACTGAAAGCATTTACTTAAAATCAGCCTGGTACGCTGATGTCTGAAAAATGGTCAAGAAGGTATGGGTGACTAATGCAGAGAATCAGCCAGCTGGTTACCTGATGTGATAGTGTGGTGGTGTCAGGGTGAGAGGTCTCAGCCTGAGAATCCTTTTTTCCAGTTGGATCCCTGTCCTACTCTGTCCGGAGTTCAGAATAGTTTCCCAAACCTCCACCCTCTCCCTTAACTGCTCAGTATTGGTAATACTGCTAAGCCTTGTATTATGTTGTACAGCAAAAAGGAAGAAAAGAAAGAGGTTAAAGAGGAGAAAAAAGAGGAAAAGAAAGAGGAAAAGAAAGAGGAAAAGAAAGAGGAAAAGAAAGATGACAAAAAAGATGACAAAAAAGATGATAAAAAAAAGGAAGAGTAAGTATAAAGAATGAATGTGTGATTGTAACGTCTCCTACACTACAAAACATGGTATAACATTTCATTGTAACATTTTACAGTTGTTCTGTAGACTGCATATTCTTAGCCTGTCAAATCTTTGAGAAGTTTTCACCTGCTCAGCAAAGTTCTTGTTTCTTGAAGACCTTTGTGTAGATCTTTCAGAAAAAGCTTCCTATGTCAGTAAAAGGAAATTGAGTTACCTCTGGTCACTTTGAGTTGAAGATCACTTTTCAATTATGACAACACTTTAGGACAGCAGCCTTCTTTGCAGAGCTGCACAGACTTCATTGTTTCAGAATTTCCATAACAATTCAGAGCAGATGAACCAAAAGTTTGGTTCATCTTACCACGTAGAAATGTCTTGCATGAAGAAAATTAAGTTTGCTAATAAGCTTACTTATTTCACTGACTAGTTATTTAATTACTTAATATGGTGCAGTTCATTGCTAGTGATCACTAAAATTTGCTTCTGTTGGTTAGGGGATGGTGTATTTCTCCATCAAAATGAGGTAATTTGAATGCTTTTGACAGAAATGGGTCCCATTCTTGCTTCGTTCCCCTAAAGCTGACCCAAATATAGCATAATTTACTATTACCAGTGATTCAAAGTAACAATGATGGTAGACAAAAAGAGAATGCATTTCACAGTTAAAGAATATGTTACAGTAAATACTGTAGGTTATATATATGTATATGATGGCACCTGCTATATAGACATGAGGGCATTCCAAATGGAATCTGATTGATCTCAAGATCTTTATTAATGCTTTTAATTTTTTTTTCCAATTAACAAAGCCTTTGTTCTAAACACTGTCTTGGCTTTAATTACTAGGTAGTAAAAGCGTGAGCTTTGGAGTAGCCTAGAGTGTTTTAAAACATCTTGTCAAAGAAAATTACTGTTTTAATGTCTACAAGGTAGTATAGTCTGACATATAATGACCATATTTCATGGTCACCAGTTTTGAGGTGGTGACCAGTTTTCTAGAAGAAATAGTTTAAAACCAGTAGTGAACATGGAAAAGTAAATACTTTTTAGATTAAAGCTGCTTCCTTTACTCACATTGCCTGGATGTTCAGCTGACAGCAATGGCAATGCCAGAAATACACACAGATTTGAAATAAATTATTATTACATTTTAATATATTTGCTTTCTTGGAGATTAGGAAAAGCCCCACAAATACATATTCAGGAATTGCCTGGTCACATATTCTGCACACTATTATACAGTCCACAGATCACAGTTTTACTGTTGAAATAATTTTGCAGCTGTGGACCTCAAATCCATTGGTGTATATTTCCTCTGATTACAAACCTAATTGCTCTCTATTCCATATCAACCTTTCTTATGCTGGAGGTGGGCATTTCTGAGCATACCCTGTGCCATTAGCCGTACTGTTGTTCAAATCTTTACATTTCAGGCCTGTATGCTTCCTTTAACATCACTTCCTTGTTGTGAGGCCTAAGGAGCCAGGGCTGTGGATGTGTGAAATTTGCCTTTGACAAAGACATGTTTCAGCTCTAGTCACACACACAGTATGTGCATATGCACACAGAGTTTCTTACTTGTACAGACATGCTTTACTTGTTCAAATGCATGCTTATACAGTCATTTTCATAATAGACTTTTCTAAAAATCAATAAGTAGCCTGCAAAAGAAGGCTCTTTCTCTAGCAATGAAATGTAACCTTCTAATTGGAGCAATAATGAGAAACATTTAACAAGTAAATTTTTTTCAGTGTGGGGCTTAATACAGAAGGCTGTGGGTTTCAGTCTGGGAGATATGAATGTCTGTGTTTTTCTTTCCATGTTTACTTACTTTTTGCAAAGTTGGGTGAACAAAGAAATAGAGCTTGTCAGATGGGATGCCTGGTATCTCATCTGCACTGTCTGTGTGGATACTTTCCCTTCTCAGGCAGCTGCAAGTTCATGGTGAAGTGAGCAGTCTCAAGAAGAGGGAAATCCAGCAGGTTGCTTGCTTACATTTCCAATGTAAATCTGCATGTTTTACTTTCCAGGCAGAAAAAGGAGGTCTTTGTGATAGATCCTTCAAGCAATCTGTACTACAACTGGCTGACTGTAATTGCAGCACCCGTGTTCTATAACTGGTGTATGCTAGTGTGCAGGTATGGATTTAAGTTAATAACACTTTCACATTTCAATCATTATGTTTCCTATGTAAATCACCCTCTTATCTCCATGCAGTATCTTTTGAGTGACTTACCTAGGAGGTTTACAGTTCATAGGCCCTTAGGGGTGTATGATATGTGTACCACTAGGAATAGATTGCCGGTGTTTCTTTTTTTCTCTTTTTGTCTAAAAGCAGGTGGATGTAACTTGCAGTAAGTGTCCTCATGAGCACTGGTGTGGCCTTTGTGTGCCACCTGCCGGCTGGCAGCTGAGCTGTGTCCTGGCCACTGCATCTCTAAGCACTGTCAGGGATGAGGGCTTCTCAGCACCCAAGGGAGAACAGGAAGGAAGGTTGTGGGCAGTGGTGGGGCCTCTTAAATTCATGTAATGCTTTCGGATGCTCGAAGGACAGAAAGATATAACCCAAGTTTTTATTTTCCACGGCAGAATATAGAAATCAGTTTCAGTGAAAGTGATGGAGAGCTGTAGAAATGGTTTCCTTACACTGTGTAAGATGGTAGGGAGAGATGAGGTTGGCTTGCCACTGAGAAACACATCTTTTATTTGGGAATTATCTACATGGGGATGTGTATCCTATGAAATCTGATGCACTTTCAATTGTAGGGATATGTGTAATCCTCCACAAGTGCACTTGTGCGGCATTTATTTGTTTGAGTTTTATTCCTGTCTAGAACACTTTTGAATTCTGAAAGATCCTGGAGTCTGTTTGGACATAACTCTAGTGTGCAGATGTCTGGACATGGAGATATGTTGTAATATTTCTGTTACAGAAATGTGCACTAACATGCTGCTAGGGCATGTAATGCAAGTACTCTGCTTATGCAGTTGGCCTAATTTATTTTTTTTTAAAACTTTCTTTCTTTAGAGCCTGCTTTGATGAGCTACAAATGGACCACATTAAAATGTGGCTGTTCTTGGATTATCTCTCTGATGTTATCTATGTTATTGATATGTTTGTCAGGTTCAGAACAGGTGAGTCTTTCTGGGATTTTACAGTCTTTCAAATACTGCATGTATATAAAGGATGGAAACAAAAATTCCTCTGTGGGGTATGACCACTGTAATATCCTGTGAGACTGCAACAGTGGGGGCTTTCGGAAGATGAAGTGTCTGATCAGCTTGGATTTTTTAAGACCATACATTCCAACACTTGCTCTTCACTTGTCTCTAAATTCAGTTCTGTCAGTAATAGGTGTGCCAGATGCTGAGTGCACAGCCAAGCCACTGTAACAGACTGTGTGGGGAAGGACAATAGGGCACTTGGGGCAGGAAACCAGATGCACCCCACAAGTGCTGCTTTTGTAACCAAGCTGTTCAGCATCCTGGTCAGAAGTGGTTATTGAGTTGGTCAAGTGCTAGACCTGGCACCTGTCTCAGCCTTCAGTCTGTGGTCCTGTGCCTGGAACGGCAGTGTGGCCCCTCTGCCACCATCTGTATTTCCTGCAGCCTCTACGAGGTCCTGGCAGGGTTTCCCACTGCCTGGTGGTGGGATAGGGTTAACCCAGGAACCTCTGCTTAGCTCCTGCTTTCCTAGACAGAAATGTGAGCCCAGAGGATCTGTGAGGGCTGTGCCATGCTATGTATGAAGTGGTTCTCTTCAGCTTCTTGTCCCTGTTTCTGTAATCCAGGCAGGCTGAGATTCCAGCCTTAAAAGTGGTATCTATTTTAAACTGAGCAAGGTCATAATATAGGCCTAAGCAATGACATACAGTGATCTGTGTCACCAAGTTACTGAATAGTCCTCGATGCACTTTGGTGCTTGCACTTTGGTCCATGCCAGAGAGCCCCCAGTGTCTGGGGACAGCTAGGAGGACAGCAGAGGTTGGGTGTTGTTCATGGTGGTGTTTTTGGGGGGGACTGGAAGAGCTTATATGTGAATAGAAGCTGTCACGGTAGCTGGTCTTAGGCCACAAAACATCTTCTGTCTCATTCTCTTCACTGGTATAGACACAGCTTCAATATGTCCCTTGAAAGGGTCCAAAACAACATTGATTTTAAAAATGAGAGTAATTTTAGATCTTTCATTTTAACATCTTATCCATTTTTACCTATTTATTTATTTAAAGTTGTGTTGACAGCTTGATGTTAATTATGACCTATGACAAGTTGTAAACATAATTACAAGATGGGCTAAAAATGCTGTCATGTGGGAAGCACACAACCCATGGCAAGCCAAGTTCTTAAACTTAGCAAGTACCTTGTTCAACAGGAAAGTCAGTTTCAGGTACCAGCCGAAATTACAAGAGTGCTGTGTTTGGGGCAAGATGGGGAGAGGTGTTCATCCTCTTTGTGTAGTTAAAATGTCAATTGTGCCAGCTAAATTTACCTCCTGCAGTTACATCTGTTAATGTAATGGGAAAGAACAGAGCAGAAATTAGGCATGTCTAGGCAAAGCAAATTATAAATTTCCATGGGCTGTCCTGATAATGATTATATGGCTGTTAAAGCCTGACTGGAATTTGAATTTTCAGGCCTGGCTTGCAGCTGCAGAATTGCTGGAGCTGTCTCCCAAATGCTTCAGTAAGGTGTCTGCTGTAGTTCCAGGCACTCTAAGAAAGAAGTTGCTTCTTTTAGGTGGCAAAATCTTTGTCAACTCTCTTAACAGTTCCTCCTGGCACTGCCTTTGCCTGCTGCCTTCTCATGTGAGTCTGCAAGGCCCATCTGTCCTGGGGACAGAGGTCCTGGAAGCCTGTGGGGAAGAGTGAGACTTTCTGCTGTCTGAGGGCAGGGTCTGCCTTTGAACTGAGATCTAAGTAGTCCCACGACTACTCTGATCAGCAGCTTCTCCATGGTGCATTTCTGTCTAGCTGCAGGGCCAGTTGGACTGCACTTCACCTATTTGATGACTGTGCACTGTGAAACAGAAAATATTCTTGTTTAGCATACCCTGTGTTCTAATGCTTTCAAAAGATTTTACTCTAAGACTTTAGTTCCATAAGGGAACAAAAAGCCAAGAGATTTTATCTCCTTTCAGGGGGAAGGTGTTTTCAAAGTTGTTTTTCATAACTGTATATCAGAAATTGATCAGTCTGGCCAGCTTTTCTGTTTAGTTGTAAAACTAGAGGGCATATGTGACCAGCTTTATCAGCAGTGTTCTGGGAGGCAACACTTGTGTGGCAGAGGAACTACTTCCATTTGTAGTCACGTCAGTTTGCAGATCCAAAGCCAGATACACACAAATAGATATGGCATTTACAGATGAACCACACGTTCAGAAATACCATGCTTTGTAGGGCACAAAGAAATGCAGCTTGGTGTTCCTCAGCAGAGGCTTCCCTGAGAAAGCTAAGGGGCTTTGTAGGTTGCTAAGGGGTTACTAAAATGTGATAATCCATGATTCACTGGGAATGTTTTGGTTTTTTCTCAGGGGACATTTTCTCCTGAGTGGCCCAATGGGCTGACAGTTGGATATTTCCATTGCAATTGCAGCAAATATTTTGCAGTGCATAAGTTGTTCCTTGTGGAACATTTTTTATGCCCTCAGAGGCACAAAAGAGTACTGTGGCTGTACTCTGCAGCAAAACTCTCATGGCAGTTTATAGCTATTTGTAAATTTTTAAAATCTAATACTTTTCAAAGTCTTTGGAATGAAGAACTATTGATGTGTGAAAGGCTGCTTAGCAGCTCTCTCACTGGAAACACAAAGTGCAAACCAAGGAAAATCATGTCATTTTTAACATTGGACACAAGAGGAAAAATGGGGTGGGGGTAACTGCATTTCTTTATCTTAAGGATATCTATATTGTCTGGGAAAAGCTTCCAACAATCTATTATACCTACTTATTCTTAGTATTTATTTTAAAATATTCCACTCCTATTTTATACACACTTGCTTAACTTTAGTTATGACTCATGCCAGTGATTCATGAAAAATTAGACACTTGAATATCCCTCTTTTTTTCCCGAAGATACTTAAAAAAGATACAGCTGTCGCAGAAAAGAGTGGAAAGCCTCAGGTAGCACTGTGGTGATAATAGAGTCATTGTTCTTAGTCATTATACATCAGCTTTGAAACTTGATTGAAATATTTAAATATGCCATTAAATGACCTCAATATCTGTAAGCATAACAGTACAATTTTAACATTCTTAGGCCTGAAATGTAAGTTACTCACTACTGTTGATGGTATTTTTATTCTAACAAGTAAAATCTTTTTATTCTCTGAAGGCTTCCTTGAACAAGGCTTGCTAGTTCAGGATGAGAAGAAATTACGAGAACATTACACCAAAACTGTGCAGTTCAAACTAGACGTGCTGTCTCTTGTGCCAACAGACCTGGCATATTTCAAGCTTGGTTTGAACTACCCTGAGCTCCGATTTAACCGCTTGCTGAGGATCGCTCGGCTCTTTGAGTTTTTTGACCGTACCGAGACCAGGACAAATTATCCAAACATGTTCCGTATTGGCAATCTGGTGTTATACATCCTTATCATCATCCACTGGAACGCGTGCATATACTTCGCGATATCGAAGGTGATCGGGTTTGGGACCGACACCTGGGTGTATCCCAACGTGTCTGTTCCGGAGTACGCGCGCCTGTCCAGGAAGTACATTTACAGTCTGTACTGGTCGACGCTCACGCTGACGACCATTGGAGAAACGCCGCCCCCGGTGAAGGACGAGGAGTATCTCTTCGTCGTCATCGACTTCCTGGTGGGCGTGCTCATCTTTGCCACCATTGTTGGTAACGTCGGCTCCATGATTTCCAACATGAATGCTTCCAGGGCAGAGTTCCAGGCCAAAGTGGATTCCATTAAACAGTACATGCAATTTCGAAAAGTGACTAAGGATTTGGAAGCCAGGGTTATTAAGTGGTTTGATTACCTCTGGACCAACAAGAAAACAGTAGATGAGAAGGAAGTTCTCAAAAATCTGCCTGACAAGTTGAAGGCTGAAATTGCCATCAATGTCCATTTGGACACGCTGAGGAAAGTGCGTATATTCCAGGATTGTGAAGCTGGACTTCTCATTGAGCTGGTGCTGAAACTGAAACCTACGGTCTTCAGTCCTGGTGACTACATTTGCAAAAAAGGAGATATTGGAAGAGAAATGTACATTATTAAAGAGGGAAAATTGGCTGTGGTGGCAGATGATGGCATAACCCAATTTGTAGTCCTAAGCGATGGCAGCTACTTTGGTGAAATCAGCATCCTAAACATCAAAGGTAGCAAATCTGGCAACAGGAGGACAGCCAACATTAGGAGTATTGGTTATTCTGATTTGTTCTGCTTGTCTAAGGATGATTTAATGGAAGCCCTCACAGAATATCCAGAAGCCAAAAAGGCTCTGGAAGAGAAAGGACGTCAAATTCTGATGAAAGACAATTTAATAGACGAGGAGGCAGCAAAAGCGGGAGCTGACCCAAAAGACTTGGAAGAAAAAATAGGACGACTTGAAGTAGCTCTGGATACGCTGCAGACTAGGTTTGCGAGGCTCATGGCAGAATACACTGCATCTCAACAAAAGGTGAAACAGAGACTTGCCAGAGTAGAAACCCGAGTGAAAAAATATGGTAGTGGCAGCTTATCAGTTGCAGAAGCAGAGGCTGAAAAACCTGAGGAGAAAAAGCAGTAATGGAGTACTTATATTTCCTCATTTATTGGAGAAAGTTGAAGCACTGAAAGCCATAAATGTATGTAAATATGTGTGTGCATACATAGACATAATTATTTTTATATGAACTCAAGAGAATGGTTTTTAGCATTTTTAACTGAAGCAGTATTTTCTTGTAAATAGAACACTGTCACCTTTTTCTTGGGGGGAGATTTGGTCCAGAACTTGGTATTTTTTTGTACTGAGAGTGGGTTTCTTACAAGTCATGCTCAGAATGTCTGTTGTGTTTGGTACCTGTAGGTCTTGACACATTGTCTCTTCCTGCCCATTGTGCGTTAAGAAGGCATTGTACTTGAAGTAGAATATATTAATTTTTCTCCTTTTTAAGAGCTTAAAAAATGTTTATAGGGTACCCTGCTCTAACTTGCTACTTTAGTAGCTGATTAAATGCTTGGATGGATGTCTGGGTTTCTCAAAATTCTTGTTCTTTCACAGTCTGTGCAAACAGCTGGACGACAGCTAAGCAGTGTCAGGCACCTGGCCATTGCAGTGCACCCTGCATGTGTCTGAAATAGCTGTGTGTTTGGATCCTTTAGTCTGATTCTCTCTAATGAGCTGGGCTCTGCACAAAGGACCGTGCTGACAGAGTAGCAGTGCTCATTCACGTCCCTTCTGGCAGGCTCTGTGACAGCCTTTGGTGCTCTGCAACTGCTTCACCAAGGCAGAGAGTGTGGTATCCTCCTTTCTTGTTTTTTTGGCCCAGTTTCAGCTGCACTGGTAAAACCCTCACTTGGAAGGGAGTCCCCCTGAAGCTCACTGGTGGAAGGGTAATAAGGTTTCACTGAACCTGGGAGGCGAAAAGTGGGTCTTAGTGTGTGCAGCTCCCCTATGTAGTGTGCTGAGTGAACTCCCTGGCAAGTGGGCAGTCCTGAGGGAGGCTACTGAGAAATCCCATGGGCTGGCAGGGCAGGCTGGCACTGCCTGCCAGGCAGCTTGCTCCCACAACAGGTTTTCTGCAAGGCGGGGATAACAAGCCCTGTGTTCCAAAGCCATTCTGGTCACTTACGCCTATGTTTTCTTCCTTTTTATTTCTTCTGAGGATGTCTACTCCGTCCCCTTTGCTGTTTACAGCCATCTTTTCTCCAAAGTAGTTGTCACACTACCATGTTTCTATTAGGGACAATGCAGAAGATGTTAGCTTTCATTTTTTACCATACAGTATTTTGCTGTCATGAAATTTTCCCTATGTTACTTTCATCCTCCTGTATCTCACTGGCTTTTGAAAGGTATGGAGTAGCAGAGGCTGTTCAGCATGTATGGCATGGGATCCTCCAGTGGCATTAGGCATTACTATGGGCAGTGTTCTGACTTTAGTTGTTTTCAGGCCTGACTTATGATAGCATCTGTGACTGATGTCTTGTTGGAAAATTGGTGAGAAACCCACTGAGAAGATGGTGGTTTGACTGGGTGACAGTGGATTGAAAAGAGACAGTTTTGCTAAATGAGTACAACTGCTAAGAGTAAGTCCTTGTCTCCAGGCAAGCAGCTGTTCCCTTCTATTGACACTTCTGAGCCTGGTGAGGGAGACAAATCTGTCAATGATGAAGGAATGAAGCTTTGCCAGCAATACTGGCAAAGGGACAACTGGGTAGTAATGGCCACACTTGGCCCTTGTCTAAACTCCTGTTATGGTTAGTATAAAAGCCAACTGTCCTTACGGATCTTCCCTAGATTGGGCTTAACCTCTATTATCAAAGTATCCACTGATTGTAATAAGTGGTTTGGAAAGTAGTCAAGATCTGTTTGTGGCCAGTGGCACTCAGGAGTTGCTCCATCAGCTGAATCTTGTCCTTATTTTCTTTAAGGGCTTGAGAGAAATGGGGGAGCTCCGAGAGGCTGGTTTTGGCAGGGGTGTAGTGCCCTTGGTCCCACCCAGAGGCAGGCACGGCTGAGGTGCAGCTGGGCTCACTGCAGGGTACCCCTGTGAGCACAGACTGTACCATCACAGGCTGCTCAACTTGCAACTTCCACCTTGTGACAGAGCCGGGTACCACACTCACCTTGGCTGACATTCACTGCTATGTGACTCAAACCCACTGTATCTGGTAGGGGTTTCATGCATATTGACATGTTCTCCATCAATCATCATTCTCTGTAAATACCTAACTGTCTACCTAAATAGCACAGTTGTTCCAGCCCACTAGGTATATGTGAGTAAAACTGTTTAAAGTACTCTTTATACCAAATTTATACCTGTTTAAAAACCCTAAAAAACACAGGACTGCATCTTTACCTGATGGATCAGAACAGCCTAATCTATCAGTTAAATACATGTTTGCTCTTCCCTTTCCATGCCTCTTGAATTGGTTTTCATACACCAGAAAAGAGTATTTTGATGCTATTGGCTTCAGTCACTTTGAAACATATGGCTTCTGGCATGATGAAATCACATCCTTTGGTGTCTTTGATCTCTGTAAGATTTTTTTCTTCTTCTTTAATGTGGCTACAGGATGTACATTAAAATATTTTGAGTAATGTTCAAGCAACTCTGTGTTTTCTCTTACCCATATCGTTCTAGATTTTAGTGTTTCATGACAGACTTTGATCATGTCACCATTACAAGGCCTGGAAAATTGTTAACTGGAGCAGAGATCTGACTAAGTGGGAATGGTGGTCTCCCCTCACAGCAGGGCAGCTGGCACACAGCTTTGGTCCTGGGCCCAGTTTTGACATCATCCTTGTGTTTGCAGATACCACACAGGCACGAGAGTCTGACCATTATGGCACTGCCCAAGGGGTGCCGGGTCCCATGGGGCACAGAGCCTGCCAGGCTCTTCATGGTGCTGCTACCTGTCTCCTGTCTGCCCCTTCCCAGCTCCAGGCAGGGTGGCACAGCAGGGACAGTGGCCTGTCTAGCAGAAATAAACGTGTGCAGCTTTCTGCTACTCGCACGCAGTCACCTTCCAAAAATTGCCTGGCACAGGCGGGGCTGGGCTTGTTCTTCAACCCTGCCACAAGAGAAAGCAGAGCACAGGGCAATGTTTGCAGAGCGTTTGACCACAGGCCCTGACTCTAGAAATAGGTTTAATGGCCACAGCGCTCACTTCACATGGGCCTAAGCAGGTAGCCAGTGGCTGGCACTGCTGCTCCAAACTGCCTGTGCTGAGTGAGACACCAGATGGGCAAAGTCTGAGGTTTGAACATCTCCACATGCAGGAGAGGAGAGGTGGTGGAGTGGCACACCATGCTCTAGCTGCTGCTCAGAGTGAGCTTTTCCAGGGAAAGCGCCTCAAGCCTTCTCAGACCCTGTACCCTGACAGCAAATGATTTCAGCCTTGCTCCTCTCAAGTTCTGTCAGTGCTCTCCCCATCCTTTTACCATCATCCCCTATTATTTTACTTTACAGATTTACAGCAGAAAACTTCCCTGGCAAATTCAATGAACTGGACTTCAGAAGCAGCATTGACAGCAAAACAGCTCATGTATTTGTACAGCTGAGGGTTTGGGTTTCCTTTACAGTGCAGCTTTTTCTTCAGAAACAGCCCAGGGAAGGTACAGTCATGCTTTTAATACTCTTTTCTCCAAGGCGTCGGCTTTAGAGTTTCCTGCCAAATATTTATTAATGTACAATATGAGGGCTTTACTTTACGTTAGAAACCAAAGTGTTCATTGTCCTTGCCCCTGCAAAAGCATTAGTGCTTTCTCTGAGTTGGTTCGTGTGTTGGTGGTTTTGGAAGACACTCTTGTGTCTGTATCACTGCTGACACCAAGGAGGAGACATTCACAGGCCAAACCTAGGCCAGGCTGTCCAGTGAGGTGACACACGTGGACTAAAGGAGAGCTACTCTTCACCTTCAAGATTTGCAAGATGACAGCATTTGCACTTGGCTTCAAGATCCCCCTGCTCTTCTGCTGTTTCCAACCTGGAACAAAAAGAATGGATCAAACCCTGTTCTACATAATTCAGCATTTCCAAAAACACCTTGTGTATCCCTCAAAGCAAAACAAATTATAATCACTAAATGCATCTGGCAAGTGTACAGACAGTTAAAGTGCAAGGTTTCAGTTGTGGCAGCTTTCCTGAGGGAAGCCATCCATCTGGGATTCCCCTCTACTCCCCAGTCCCATTCATAGCCCAGAGTATGAGAAGGGTGCCTGAGGGGGGAAAACCACACAAGCTCTAAGGAACAAGCTCTAGGGCTGAAGATGGTCAGGCCTTTTGTTTCTGAAATGCAGGTTTTGCAATCATTTCCAGCTCACGAGGGCTGAGGCTTGCTGCTGCCAGCTGCTCTTGCAGCTTCACTGCGGCAAATACAGTTCTGCTGTTCTGTGTTCACAATCCTCCCTCTTCCTTCCACACCCTCGGAGCAAAGGGAGGAGGAAAAGCTTGCACTCTTCAAGCAGTTATTTAAGGATGAACACAAGCATTAGCTTTATTCCAGAAGCAGCAGCAGGTCTCACAGATCTCCTTCAGCAGAAGCTGGGAGGTCCCCTGGGTTCCTGCAAGGAGAGTGCAGGTTGCAGTGCCAATGGCTCAGCTTCCATGGGCCGCCTTCCCAAGAGGCTGAGGACACTGGTCAGCTCTAACAGAGATCTCTTATTTGTACAGGTAAATCAGGGGTAGAGTACTAAAACCAGAAGTGTAGAAGCATGGAAGGAATTTACTAATGGATGCTATTCCATTTTTATTTCCTTAGCATTTGTGGTGCCTGGTACCAGCCTTTCTGTAAGAGGGCAACTGAAGAACACTAACAGAAAATCAAGGAAAGCGTGGCTGGTTGTATTGTAGAGCGATGGGCAGCTTGATGAATTTCTTAGCTTTTTGTTTGTTTAGTATGTAATTTCTTTAGCTGTCTAACAAGGAAAAAACCCCACACCATTCTGTTCTTACTGTCAACAGTTACATCCCCTCATTGCCCTGGAAGGGGAACCAGCCCAAAGCAGTCACACCCAAGCAGCCCCTTCAGGTGAGTAGCATGGCAAGAACTCATGGGCACTACTTGCCTTTCCAGATGAGACAGAGAAGCACAAAAACATTTTTTTTTTTTTCTTTTGTGTAGCATGCTGCCAGGTCTGAGAAATCAAACCAACTGTGCTGTAAAGATCTACTCTTTTTAGGAGAACCAATTGGCAGTTCCTCATCAAAGTACAAATACTTTACTTGCAGACTAGTGCAGATAATTAATCCAACTTCCTGCAGTGGGATTCCCAATGTTTTCAGATTACTTGTAGATTTAGGCTGTTTAAAGCAAGTCATCAGAGGTCCATTGCTTGGCACAGGAAAGCCTCTCACAGCAGCAGCTTTGGGTATAATCAGTGAAGAAATGATCCAGAGGTGGGAATTTTAAGTTCTGACTCTTGAAAACCCAAAGCCTCATCTCCTTGCAGTAAAAGCTGCCTCTAACCACACTTGCATCAAGGTTAGGAAAAAGGCTCATGTCTAGCAGGACAAAGCTACAGAGCTTTTCCAGCAAAGCAGCTCATGCCTTTCCAAACACAGTGGTGGCCTCCACAGTTCATTTAGCCTGTCAGCCACAGCCAGGCTTCTCATGCATAGTTCAGCCTGAGCACTGACAGCACAGGAGAGGCTCGTGGCTTAAGGCAGATTGACAAAGGAGCTGTCCCAGGCATAAACACTTTCAATTCAGGGCTTCAAGGCTGGCAGTTTCATTGCCATAACCTGACTGCACCAACTGTGAGCACTGACAGCCCAAGAAGGGTAAATGTGGTGAGGAAGAAGAGCAGCAAAAGAGCTATGCAGCACCTCCAGGCAGCTGGTGGCAGTTCAAAACCACAGCCACCCCGGAGCAGGGGTGACAGATGTGCTGGGCAAGGGAGACACCCCAAGCTGCTCAGTTTCTTGCCACCAGGAAAGGGAGGTTGGTACAGAAGGGATGCTGCAATCTGGAGCCAGAGAGAAAAAGCAGACAGGGGAGCCCCTGTAGAGTTTTCTAAACTGATTTACGCTTTGGCGGGCAGAAGGGGCCCAAGCCAGACCAATGGGTGACAGGAATGACTCCAGAAGGGCATGTTCCCCCTCCCCAGCCACGGCCAGTGCTGAGGGCAAACCTGTTGTGCAGCATAGCAGAGCTGCCTACTCCATACAGGGTTTAGTCCTACACAGCTTCACTCTCACTTGGGCAGGGCAAAGGGAAAATTTCAGAGCAAACTCAGGAGGTGCTGAGACCAATTGATGCTGCCATCAGCCACTAGAGTGTAATCATTCTCAGGATCCAAGATTCCCAGAGGAAAGGTAAAAAAAAACAGAGTATGGCTGCTGGAGGCTTCCACCTTGCAGATGTTGGGAAGAAACTGCTGTTTTTACCACCCACAGCTCTGCAGTAGTGATGGATCTTAGGCTGAGACAGCAGGCAAATCATTGCCACCAACTGCCCCAAGGGTCACTGCTGGGCTGCAGCAGTGTCCAAAAGCACTGGCTCCACACCAGCCCTTGTTCTGCAGAAGCCAAGAGCACAAAAGAGAAACCAAGGACTAATCCATCCTCTGAAGGTGGCAACAGAGGGCAGGGGTGGTCCCAGAAAGAGCGTCCCAAACTCAGGAAACCTTTCCTAAGGCTTAAACACTGAGAAATCCTCTTCTCCAAAATCAAAGCTAGCATGCAAACTGTTTGGGATGACAAAACTTCTTGTCCAAGTTGCTGCAGGTCTGGAGCAGGATTGCTTCTGAAAAGCCTGAGGATGTTGTCTGGAACAACTCCTGGCACAGGAGCAATGCTCTTACCCAGGCTGGCTGCTGGCTACTACGGCTTGGGCAGAAAGCTGAGGCTGGGCTCCAGCCCTTACACCAAATGAGCCAGACAAGAATTTTGTTAGAAAGGATATATTCTTGGGGATTTCAGTTTGGGAATAAGACACTCTCCACAGAGATTAAAGTTGTAAAAACACTAGTGCAAGAGGAACCCTTATCAGATGCTCACAAAGAGGTCTGTGTTGTGCTTTTAAAGGAAAGCATCCATTTTTGAGAAATAATGTCATTTGTTTTATTTCAGGTGGCTTGATACAAAATTCATAGTATTCTTCATGCATAGATAAAAATTAAAAATCAGTGTGCATGGCACAAGGGAGATTTTTCTTTTGAGGGTGTTTTGAGAACACCCTTTCATCTAGAAAACATTATTTTGCCAAGTTCCCAATTTTTATTAAAATCAGTTATATTAGGAAACAAAACCCCTTCAATTGTAACAAATTGGCTTACCTGATCTTTATCTCTTGCTGCTCAAACACAGAGCACTTGCAAAGGGAAATATTAAAGCAAAGGTAGCAAGACATGATGTATGGCAGTTCAACCTGGGACAGGGAAGTTCAGCTAGTTGCCATTTCATGGACACTTGAGCACTGTTACTCTCTCTGCTGTCCCATACAGGTCTGGAAGCAGAAGGTTGCAGTGGGAAGACAGTTTTAGAAGATTTTCTCTGTACATGATCCCAGTGGCACAGCAGATCCACCAGAGCCTTTGGTGATTTTAAGAAAGGCTTCATGTCAGCTTTGCAAGTAGCAGTTGAGCCACAAATCTCTGCAGTTTTTATCTTCACTTGACATTAGTCAGTCCAAGCTGTGAGCCAAGGCCACAGGATCAGCAGGATCCCTGCACTTGCAGTTGTATGCAGTTGAGCTGTACTGCCTGTCCTTTGAAGGGCAGAAGTTTAACTCCAGCAACTGGCTGACTTTCACAGTCAGCTCTGGTCTCAGTTTTTAAGTCTCAAAACTATGCACCCAACAAAATAATGTAGGAGTTCCTAATGCAATCTTTTGTCCTAAAATAGAATAATGATTCCCACCCTCCACTTGTATCTCCAGTGCCTTTGTCTCTTAAGACATTTCCCCTCACAGAAATCCCAGCAGGATCTATATTGAGCAAGACATCCATAAACACAAGCACACTAGGCAAACTTCAGCTATTTATCAGAATCACTCCATGATATATCCTACAAATACAGCAGAGCAGAAAAAAACCTACACTTGTATATCTGCAATTAAAACCACTTCCCACACACTTTTTAATTGATTAATGAATAACAACAATACAACTAACAGTTGAAGACATCTTCAGATGGAGCACTAGAGAAAAATACTGTGACATTTCATGGGTTTTCCAAATGAATTCATCTGGGTGAGAAATTACCTAAAGACTAATGCCAGTATCAACTCTTACTTCCAAAGCAGCATCCCTTCCATGATTCAGTATAAATATGAATTTTTAAAAACTAATTTTATTAAGTCCCCAGTGGTCTTAGGAATTTTATGACAATTTAATTGAACTTTCAACTATGAACAAGAACTGTAAGTAACTTAGCACAAACCCTTGTGACTGAGACTAAGCATAATAAACTCAGCTCTTGTTAGGAAAAGCTTGATTTTGAATAGCTTAACTTGAAAGGAATTCCTGCTCCATCTTGCATGCTGATATTATTTTCTGCATAGTAAATAAAGCACAGGTCACACATTCCACCAAATTAATATTCATCATAAAAACTCTTGAGGCAACCAGGAAATTCTTAATCCTCTTGTGAGAATAAAAATTTACGTGGAAGTAAATGGTTACAACAGTGCAACGGAAACACCTTAAAGCTGATGATGTGGGGATTGTCTTCTTCCAGAACATGAGCAGCATGGAAACCTGTGTCCAATTCCCTGCTTCACAGAGCAGAAGCCCAGGCAGGCACCTGGGCAGCTCAAACTGCAGCTTCCTGGAGGCTAAGCCCACTAGGTCCATCCCACCTCTGTGGTGTCAGATGGGACAGGAAGCTCCTGCTTCAGCAGTGAAGCCACTGTTAGATGAGAGGCATGGACTGACTACTGCAACACAGAATTCCTTGGAGCCCTGGGCTCATTTCAGCATTAGCTTTCCTCAGAATGCAGGGTTGGAGGGGGTCCCCTTGGCTGCCACCATCCTGTCTCACGCTGCTGCCTGCCAAATGGAAAACAAGCCCAGTGAGAAGCACAGAACACTATTCCTTAGTTAACCGAACTAGGCTCACTGCTGACAGTTGTTCCTGAAATCTTTTTAGCATGAAGCAAAAGCTTTGATCTTTTCAAAGGTGATGCTGTTTAGGCAGCATTACGTGCTAACATACCCCCAGAGCTAAACAAAACCATTTCTCCCTGCTAATTAAATCTGAAACAGTGCCACATTAAGATGATTCTTTTCAGGGCATTACTTCTCTTGCACTACCACCATTTTTGAAGCATGTGACAGTACAATACACAGAAGCCTGATGGCCTCTTTGCACTGAGGTTGGAAACATTCAGGCAGTCTGTTAGGGTTCAAAAGGAGATACTTGAAGAGGTATGTTTCATTTGTCAAATAAGGCAATGCTGAGATGTCCGAAATATTTTCTTGTCAACATACTGAAGACACCCTGTGAAGAGAACACCACCACACTGGCATCAGACTACTACCTTGGAAGAGGAATTGTCTGTCTCATTGAAGAGAGGTATTTCCATGCCACATAAGTACACTTAAGTCTCCAAGTTTTGTAGACCTTAACTTTGCTAGATACTGTGAAAGACATTCCAGGTGTGCCAGGAGCCCAGAAAAAACCTCCAAACCAAACCCAACTTAAAATAGCATTTTCCCCTTCAAACAGAACAACTTCTGTAGGACAGGAATGCAGCCTGAAGCTATTAGACTTCAAGATTTATTTATTTTAAACCTTATCAACTGGTGCTACTGAACAACTAGTGCACTTACACCAGCCCTAAGAAGATAAGGTTTCAATACAGTGGTATCTGGGGGGAGGCAGTATATATTTACATGACAAATCAGTCAAATATTAAGTACTTATATCTTACCTGAAAATGATTCCTTGAAAAACAACATAGGCTTTTGAAAGCCAATGCCATTATGCATTATGTTAATCTTAATGCTAAAGGAAAACAGAAAGCATATTTACAATGTCAACAATTGAATTAAGAGAACTTTGCATTGCTATTCAGTTATGCTGTCTGCACAGCTTTTAGACCTATATAAAAAACGCCAACATGAATCACATATATCTGTTGTCTGGGGGCAACCACAAACCAACAGCTGAATTAGTGTAAGAAGAGTTACAGGGATAGAGCTTAACACATTAGACTGTGAACATAGTACATACCACACAGCAGCATCATGATGTGTTTGTGCTCGTAGTGAATAACCTTAAGGCACTCAGCAAATGTTCTTACCACCTACAGTAAGAGCTGCTCCAAACTTGAAGGGCTCAGCAGGCACTGTTGTCAACCACTACACTGAGAGGTAGGGTATCTTGTGTTTTCCTCCTTTGGGACATACAAAAAGGTGGACATACAAGAGGGCAGGCCTTAAGGGCCACCTCAGAGATCAAAGGCCAGAAGACAGACAGCATCTTTCCCTCCCCAGCACGTTTCAGTCCCACGTGTCCAGGCCACCTGGCATTGGCTTGGATTTGAGAGGGGAACATCACTACAGTTCACTTGTGGAGACCTTTCTGTACCTGTAACCCTCAAATTATGCAGTACTACAACAATGTCTAATCAAACCATTTAATATCTAATTTATCAAAGTAAGAAACTTCTCTTCTTTTTCACTGAACCATGGTGAAAAAAGGTCATTGTTTTATTCAGCATCATAGTTACATAACAGTTGTCTGTTTCTATTACTAGAAAGAATTTATTAAAATAGTCCTGAAAGACATCTTTTCTTTTTCCAATGATTTCAAAACTAAGCCTTTTAATGCCAATTCCACAGTCACGGGTTTGATCGGTAGTAGCCAGTAATAACAATTGTCAAGGCACAAGCTCAGCTCTGCACACCTGCTGCAGCTTGTATTGGAAAAGAGATATGCCAGTTACATCTGCACTTACAAAATGCAGAATCCCTTCATTGTATATTGCAACAGGAGAAATTAACATTAAACACAGACTAAGAAAGGTAAAGGATTTATTTCTGATATGATTTGTAGAGTTAAATTAAAAACCTACTGAATACTTTATGCAGTAGATTAACATAACCTTAGTACTTACTTTCTAAAAGTTTATTTAATGGTTGGAAGTGTACAACATGAAGTAGGCCTCACGTTTAATATTGTTCAATTTTGCTTATTGTTAGATGAGATTAAAACACAGTAGCCATCCCTTTAGACTATGGTGCAACACTGATCATGTGCCTTGATAGGTAGGAAAAATGATTCATTAAATAAATGATGATGACATAACATATAGGGAAGACTTTGGATTGTCTATTTTAAATGTCAACATAATAGGCAATTAAGAATAGAACTTCATTTTAAGTGCACTTCCACATGCTTTGTTTATAATATAGCAAAAACTTCCTATCTTTTTTCCAGACACTTCACTCCCTATTCTAAAGCTGTTCAGTTGAAAATGCACTTTCCCCAGTAAACTTCTTTTTTTTAAAAAGTAACTAAAATTTCTACCCTTTCATATGCTAAGAAATGTTTCCTAATTAAAAACACAGTTTATTACAAGACATGTGAAGACAACATATAGTGAAATGAATTTTAATTGTTGTGCTGTGACTAAAGTAAAGTTCTCAAGGCTGCAATTTAACATTCCAAGTTCTCCCTTCCATCTTTATTGATTCTTAAGATTTTGCACAGAAACTCTTTGGGGGCTAGAACAGCAGTAATTGCATCACACTGTTTTTCAAGACTTCAAGTTTCAAAAGCAAACTCTTCAAAAAGTACAGTTCTTGATTTGATTAGATACAGGGACAAAAATATAGCACATACTTGAAGGTTACATGGTCTACAAATGATGGCAATATTTTCCTTGGGAGAGTACAGTTTGTTTTCTTGTAAATACTCAAAAAGGCTCAACTTCAAGCAGTAATAAACACAAGCAAAAGTGATTTAACCCTTAAAATAAATATTCAGGAAAACCTCTCTGTACATACAAGTGAAAGAATATGTAACACTTTCACGCTAAAAGAAAAAATAAAGATTTTGTTCATATAAGCAGCTGAAATCTGCTGTTCCAGCCCAATGTCCCCAGTAAAGAAGGGAGGCACAAACACAGGTGACTACTGTAGCTCACTATCTTATGGCCTTTTTGGACAGGGACATCATCACCATCATTTTTTAATCCCTTTTGTTATACTTATTACAGCATGCCAAATCCTTTGGCATATGTGATGGCCTTCAATAATCTTTCTTTAAGCTTTTCTTTGCTTGAGTATTCCGGAAGCAAAAGTACATTAAAGCATGTGTGAGATGTAGGTAACCTGTGGGAGAAAAAAATACAAGAATTCAGATCTTGAAACAGGCAAAAGAAATACATCTCTATTTTACAAGTCCAAAAATAATGAATCTGAAGAAAGTAAAATTTTCTTATAGATTCAGCTTTCAGATTTAACTAGGTTAATAATTTAAAAGCACAGAATTAACTTCCAAGCAAAATGTAGATTTTTTTTTTTTTTTTTTTTACCTCTCTGTATCTGGGCCATTTTTGGCTATGATCATCTTTAACTTTCCAAGTCCTCCCACAGGGGCTCTGTCTGTGCCTGTTGTAAACTGTAAGAATAGTCTTTTCTGTTCATCTGTAAATGAATGGACAATTTCCCAGAATTCCCTATCAAAGAAGAAATTAAAAAGTAAATAAACTGTAAATTTTATTTGGTATAAATAAGAATTTCAAAAGTAATTGAGCTTTGAAGGTGTAATAATTCTAATCAGTCTTAACATCAAATTTACAAGTTGCATTCATAAACCAAAACTCTCAGAATGTATTTACCAATAAATGAGATTCAGAAATAGAAATCAGAAATATTACTGAACACTGCAGCTTAACTGTCTTTAAACATTAAATTGGCTGGGTTCTGCAGCTATTTTATTATTCCTATTTCCTAAGGAAATATACTTACTCAACAATGCTTATACCATATCCTCTTCTCTAATGACAATACTTAAGGAAAGTGAAATTACACATAAGACATTTGCATCTCTAGTACTACAAAAATAATAAATCTTACAATATTAAAATCATTAGGAAGAAACAAGTGGATGAAGTGCTTTTTATCTTTACAGAATTAGAAAAAATTACCTAATAATAAGAGAGTCTCTTGTATAGCCACCATCATATTCTGTAGTTTCTTCTAGTGCTTGAAAATCTAAATTCTGTAAGAAGATGATATTTTTAAAGATGACCACTAATTATATACTCAGGATCAAACAAAACTCCACTGTCTAGTGTATATTCAAAATTCTTACCCTACTTCCACAAATAAGTAATTCAATTTCCTCCGGTCTAAATAAATATTTCAAAGGAGATTCATTGGTCACCATGTGGAATCCTCTCCGAAAGGCCTTGAACTGCTTTTCTACTGATTTATTGAGTATATAGTCAGCATACAGATTGACAAATTCCTGCAAGGAAATAAACCCCAAAAAGCTTAGTGCTTCAACACATGCACTTGAAGTACCTCCCCAAAACGTAAGACCCCAAAATACATATAATTCTGTATCTATGCAAATTATCTGAGCTCAGATTTTATTCAGCAACACAAAAGAACAAGTCTCAAATACTGCTCAAACAGATCTAACATCCCACCCAGAAGCTACATGTCCACGCATCAATGCTTTCTTTAAGAGAAGCCTTTTCTGTTCACAACCACACTGTGTGCTATGGAAATTTTAAAAGCCTTTTAAACTTAAAAATTGTGAGACCAAACCTTTGTAGGGTTCTACATAATTCTAAATACAGTATATCAAAGAACTCCAGATTCTCTTTAAAAAGCTGAGTGTACCTTTCTGTTTTCATTTGTAATAGGAATTTTATCACCGTTTTCCTTTAAATCATGCATCATCGGATTGCCAAAGAGGTCCGTGTGAGATATTTGAAACGTTATCATCATATCATCTTCCACACTTCCTTCATACTCCAGTAAGTCTCTCAAACTCTGATACAGAACCTAACAGAATAAGAAATACATGTCTGTCAAAAATAAGCTTTGATAGATTCCACTGACTAATACAAGAAGACATGAAACCACCAGCCTCAAAAAAGGGTTGTTATATTCTATGACACAAGACATCTAAAAATCTCCCATAGCAGTCCAAATAATTATTTATTAAGCTCAGTATCTGTAAAGAGAACCAACAGAAGATATTAAGATAAAAAAGAAACATGGCAATCAGTGATAACTCCCTTAGAAGAGCCTTTTAGTACCTACCAGTCTTCCAAAATGCAATGGTCAAACCTGCAGTTTAAGAGCTTTTAATAGCATCTTCTTAAGTTTTTTGAATCTGTTTTTACTTTAGGCATCCAAAATATGTTATGCTAGTAAGGGGAACATTTATGAGTTAAAAATCAAAGAAACCCCTGTATTTTATGTCAGATAAAATTCAGAAAGTAGGCTTTTATCTTATACTTCTTACTTAAAACTGAAGCCAACTAGGAATTAATCCTGAAGCAACACAGATGGGGCAGTCTTTAACATAAGAAGACGTTTATAAAGAAAAAAAAAAAATCACAAGTTTGATCAGAATTTACCAAGTGGAATCTGAAATTATCTGTACGAGTTTGCTCTATTCAAAGAGGCAACCAGCTTTCCTTTCTGCTATGCCTTAGAAAAAGCCCAAGACTCTCCTGGAAACCAAAGCCTATGCAGCAAAGGTATAATTATTTGGCTGCAATAGAGGCATAGAGGCAAAAGAACATAAAGTGAAGGTGGAAGTGAAAACTGTGTGCAACTGTACTTTCATAGTGAAGTAGAAAAAATAAATTTCACCCCAATGTTTAAGCTGAAACATGAAAGTTAACATGTAAGCCTCAACCTCTCACTGTGTGTGAATTTGTGTTTTTGATTCTTCCACAGAACCTTTAAAATAGACCTTGCACTGAAAAATCACTGGACTTGGAACCATTGATGGTGAGGGCTGGTGAACATCCTATTCTCCATGCTCTACAGCATTAGAAAAAGCATTGGGAGGCTTGACTACTGTGAATTTCGTCTGGGGTTTGAAAAGCTCTGAAGTGTTTAAATCATATGAGAATACAAAGGGTTAAAAAAGGATTACTTAAAAATAAATCAGCATAGGTGTTAGAGGAGAAACGTAAGAGAAGGGGAGAAAAATTAGGAAATGCCCTGACTGCCCTGTTCCATAGAAATACATTCACATTTTTTTAGTCACAAGAAGTTCTGAGTATGTAATAAAAATTAGAGGAAACTCAGGGCACTATTTCTCACCATTATACACAGAAACTGGTCGAATCTGGCATGCTGTTGTACATAGCCATCGAAACCAGACCAGATAATGTATTTTTTGATTAAAAATGCCTCATTTTCAAATATGAAAGCCAAATTCTTTCTAGACAGTATCATTTCACTAATCTTTATTGAAAAGATGAAGATTTTGTACAACTGCTTATAAAAGAGAAATGTCCCATTGTTTGAAACAAAATGAAGCTTGCTAACAACTCTGACCAGCAACATGAGGCGAAGCCACTGGTGATCTCTGATTGCAGGTGGAGCAGGGCCAAGACATCCTGCACACACACCTGTGTGCTCTACCTAATAAAGTACATGTACAGCTCAGTGCTTGTACAGCCACGGGCTGGGAATGGGTGTGTGTAGATGGACAATTCATTAACTATAGGGATATTCATAAATTGCCTCATCTGTCTCTTGCTTTTAGACAAAAGCCAGGAAGAACATCACACCTTTGCACGTTTACTCTTTCTTGCACTTGTTTTTGGTAGAAATCTACTTCTACTAAAAGCTATGAGCAGCCCAATTTTACAAGTCTCTTTGGGAAGAGACAGGCTTGTTCATGCTTCATAATTCTTAGTAACATTTGGGAGTTTATGTAGCAAAAAAATTAAAGCTTTAGTGATACTGAGCCCTATTCATTGATGTTACAATTTTGCCTCCTCCAAACCAAATGTAGCAAGAAGTTTTCTCGCTTATGAATTTATTTTAACAAGCACAGACTCTTAACACAAATCACTGGTTATTTCACTTTCATTTCTGACAGTGGTCTTGTGTTTATTTGAAATATAGATTAACTTATTGCATGGAAAATGCACTGTTTAACTTGAAGAACAAGAAACTTACAGGATGAGAGTCTGCCAGATCACGGAAAGTTCCTTTTTTGCCCATTAGCTTCCTGTAGACAACCATGGGGAAATGTACATCCAGTATACAGTTGTTGTAGATAGCCAGTCCCAGTACTATGCCGATCAGGGTAAATTGACCCTCAGTTTCGAAAGAGGACGGATTAAACCAAAACAGTTTTGTAGACTCATCATATGTGAACATCCCTGTTATCAAAAAAAAAAACCAAAAAAAAAGAGTTGAATTATGGTTACAGTTGAATAAAAATGGCACATAAAACATACCATTATAAACCCATTTGCACTAGCCTTTAAGACACATTAAACTTAACATTATACTGAATTGAATAGCAAAGAGAAACTACTTCGGGTGACTGGAGCTGCTCTAAACACTGTTACTCACATAACCACTAAAGGTGTGCAAGAGAACTGTGATACAATATCCTGCAACACTCAATGAAGCTGCATGTACACAAGCTTTCATTCCTTCCTCTACTGAGGAAGCAGCAGCACACTGATAGCAGTGATGGTGACTGAGAAATACAGCAGTACAAGAAAAGAACACAGCCAAAAACATGTAGATGAAACAATCCTGAAGAACTCTAATTACCAAAAACTGACAGCCTTTCCTCAAAGGCCAGTTCCAGCAAAGGAACAGGACTAGATGACATCCTACTACATAAATAGAAGCTGTGATGATGGAGCAGGGATTGACCATTGCCCATGATTTTAGAGTTTGATGCCCAACAGATTTGTTTGCTTGTTTCAAGGACCATTGTTACTGCAGCTATTAAACACATCTTAACTTGAGAGAAAAATAGACCATGGCCTCAAAGAAGGGGTTGAATTTTAAATGCTTGTCACTGTCTAAAGGGAGTGGTTTTGCTTCTTTCATTCAGTTCACTATTTCAGGAGACCAATTTCCTGCCCAGCTCATGAGCTGAGCAATGAAGACTTCAACAAACAGCTGAACTGGCACATGCCAGAAGCTGCAGGGAGAAAATGTGAAGACATATGACAGGCAGAACTCCTTATCCTTTTGGCTGTAGCAAGACATGAGATAGCTCTTGTTTATGAAACTGGGGTGTACAGGCTATAAATTATTTATATATTATTTATAATATTATTTATATATAAACTAAATCCACACTAAAATCCATTCCTTACCTGACTAGATACTGAAGCAAGATAAATGCAAACCCCATAGACTTAAGGTGAGAGAGAGATCACCCTGGACAGGTACAGTCCCAATCACCTGTTGCTTGTACAGGTGTCACGATTTTCTGGCAGAGCCTAAGAAAAACTGCCGCAGTCTCCTTCTTCTCAACATACTATGTCAGATCCATGTGAAGAATATAACTACATTTGCCACAAGGATTTATCTTGTCAGCTCTTAAAAAATATGCTTGTTTACAACCTATGCAGATGTACAAACTGATTTCAAAGCCACGTGAACACAAAATTACTCTAAAGACTGAAAATACCATCTTCAGCCAAGAGATAAAAACTCTTTCCTCATTCCATGTAAGGCAATAAACTGCAAGCTCATTCAGACTCTGGCTATTCCCCAGAATGGATTATGTATCTAAGTAAGTGACTAGGGATGGGTCAGCCATTAGGGGAGTACACAAATAACAGGCTGACCCATTAGATAAGGCACATGGAAATCAGAAATGGATGAGCAACTCAGGCATATATAGGCCAAACATATAGAATCCTGTATGCCATTTTCTGAACTGACTGAAGTAACTTCTGGATTACTGGTATGTAAAGCAGTGACTTGGGCTTTTTGGAATATGATGGAAAAGTAAACTGTCAAAACAAACAACTCCAGCAAATGTCTAATAATGAACCATCAACAGTTTACTCAGATACACTTCTGGAAACACTTTAAGGTGTATACAGTATTTTACTCCCTTACCAAAATTAAGATTACAGTACATTAAAATCATAATGAAACACCGGAAAAAAGTGGAATCTGCAAGAAGGGGAAACAATTGCACTTCAAGTTACATGAAGTTATCATTTCTTCCCCTTTACCATGGAATACCTTTGCCAGTATTTCTTCTGAGTTATTCCCTCCTTTGAGTAAAACTTTAAGGCAGTTTAATATCGAAATACTCAAAAAGTCAAAGAAACTATAATAACAATATACAGCTCTTGAAATATACCTATTGAAGAACAGACATTTTAAATTCCACTTAAAGGATCTCCTTTGTTTTCTCGGGTAAAGAAAGCATTTATAAATCAACAAAAGTCATATGTAGTATATCTAGTGCATACATGAACTGCTATAATGCAATGCATATATATACATATATGCATATGCACATACACATATATATACATATATTACACACACACACACTGAATGCAAGCTACATTTTCTGCTTTTACACATTTATGCCAAAAGCCACTAAAAAGCTTTCTCCCCCTCCAGAGTTACTATGAATACAAAATATGTACATACTTTTTAACATTTTTAATACAGAAGTAAAACTTAAAACATGCCTGTACATCTAATATACTACTATCTTTAAATGCAGGAAGTAGATACACACTGCTTGGATCTTAGCTTAAGCACACTTTAGTATTACTAAAAGAGTATTTCAATACACCCACACAACTTCTGTTTAAATAAACTCAAGTTGAAAATGTATTTACTTTGCATTGAAAATAAAATTTCATCAATCGAAGTATTAGGAGTTATTTATTTTGCCATACTTCAAAGTAAGTTAACTCAGATTCCAAATCTCTCTAAGTTAATAGCATTTTTCAGAGTGAGTAAGACTTATCTATGGTTCTGTACCACTTGTTATAAGAACTGGCTTGCATATGGTGAAGAGCAAGTGCCAAGGTTCAGATTATTGTTACTGATTCTGGGTACTTGATACTGATACCCCCTTTCTAATCCAGTCAAAATAGATTTCTGTGTATTTTCATCAATTTTCTAAGCTACAAAACTAAGAACAACAGCTTTATCTTTTAAGATAGTCCAGTGAAACCAAATTAACAGCCATGAGCCATTAGGCTTCTTTAATGGAAGCCATTACAGGAAATACAATGTAACATCATACTTCACATAAAATGAAAAATTAGTATAGGAACCTGGCAAGTCTCATTTCTAGTCTAAAAGTATTCTTATAATTTTATAACATTTTCATATTTTCAGAGTAGCAGAAAAGCTGCACACTAAAAGAACCATGTCCTTGCATACATGATTGGTGCAGGGAGCAAAGGAAAAAAGAATATGATGGAAGTATGACTGCTGAAACACAAATGTAAAGTTTTGGCTATAATATATCAAATTACTTTTGGTTTTTTAACTACAATCAAATTTGACACTGCTGTGACACTTTGGATCTGCAGAACTGAGACTATCAGATTTATTAAGCTGGAGGAAGTGGAGGAAGTAACTAAAAAACTCCCATAGTCCTACTCTTGCTTTATTGCAGAAGCTCCTCCTCTTTGGTTTGATTATCAATTCCAGAAGCTAATCACAAAGCAAAGTGAGGAGAAATGTGAGAGAACAAACAAAGGAACCCTGCAAAGAAACCCTGTACTACTGATTTGTATCCAAACAAGTACGGGTGGTTCTCATTCATGAACTATACACACTTACTCCTTCCATCATTTCTCCTTTGGGAGGATGACTGCTGACAACATAGTGAGCCTCAATGTGCAGCAAATACTCTCCTGACCACCAGTGAATCTGGAAAGCTTCAGAGAGAAGCAGCAGTGGATTTAGAAAGCATAAAAATAGAACAATCCAGTCTGGAAGATCATCCAGGCCAACCTTTTGTGTGAAAAATCTGTTAATCAGTAAATTATTAGAACACATACCAATATCTGGATTGAAGATTTCTTCCACAACCAGTTGAAAAAATTCTTTGGAAACACCTCCTTCATCTACCCCTTGCTCTCCTTCAAATTCAACATACAATTGCTTCTTCAAGTCTGCAGGATTTTCCATGGCAATCATCTCTAGCTATTGAGTGAAGAGATAGAAATATTTCATTAGTAAATCTGTTTACTAGCATAGTTTAGTATCAAATAATTAAACTAAAAGCATTCTCCAAATTTAAGAAGAAAGCAAGCACAAATCACAACAGTAAAATAAGAGAAATCAATAGTAACTCTAAACCACTCTAAACATGTTTTACAATCTGGGGATTAACAGCAAGAAACTTACCACAGAACTGATCTGTCAGCCCATTAAAGCTCACTGGCTGTTAGCATTCTCCATTTCTATTCTTTTAAGCACTTATTTAAAACAAGTTATCATTGTGTTGCACCCAATTCAGAGAAAAAGGAAGAAAACAAGATGTATTACTGGGATAATTAAATTCATCTGACAATGAAGATTTTGCAATATGATCTACATGTTTGACAATAAACAGCTTTGTGAAGGGATACACAGCTTTTCAGAGGGGGAGACAGAAAACAAGCCTTTGATGAGTAGTTGCATCTCTCAAACAAAGAGCTGAGGAAAAAAACCTAAAAACAAAAAAGACACTAGTATTACAGTCAACTCCCTCTTCTTGATCCTAACGAAGTCTCAAAACTCTCTTGCTCTTATTTCTTCAGTGCCTTTAAACAGATCTACTGCACTACTGATATGAAAATGAAAATTCAGTTAAGACCAAATAAAAGTCTGACATTTTACAAGGGTTTCAAGTCTATATAAAGGCCATTAGAGGCCACAGAATCACAAAATAGTTTGGATTGGAAGGGACCTGGAAAGATCATCTAGTTCCAACCCTTCTTCTATGGGCTGGGACACATTCCAGTAAACCATCTTACTCAAAGCTCCATCTAGCATGGCCTTAAATAGTTCCAGGGATGGGACATTACCAACTTTCCTGGGCAACCTGCTGCAGTGCCTTACCAGCTTCACAGCAAAGACGCTCTTCTGAATATCTAATCTAAACCTCTCCTCTATCATATCAGGTTATTTGCCATTGTCCCATCACTACATGCCCTTGCTGGAAGTTTCTAGAAGGTCTCCCAGGAGCCTTCTCTTTGGCTGAGCAACCCCAGCTCTCTCAGCCTGTCTTTATAGGTGAGTTGCTCCAGCCCTCTGATCATTTTTGCATCCCTTCTCTGGACTCAACCCAACAGGTCCACATCCTTCTTATGCTGGGGACCTAGAGCTGGATGCAGCACTCCAGGGGGGAGTCTCACAAGGGCAGAGTAGAAGGGGACAGTCACCTCCCTTGACCTGCTGGCCATGCTGCTTTTGATGCAGCCCAGGGTATGGTTGGATTTCTGGGCTGAGAGTGCACATTGCCAGGTCCTTCACTTGCTTACACCAAAAATTTTCTGTAAATCAAAAGTTAAGCAAGGATATTTTGCAGCTGATAAGAAATATGCTACTTAAGAGCATAAACACACTGGTTACACATATGCAGCACAATTAGACTAAACATACCTATGCAGGAAAGAAAACTCAGCAGCAGTAAATTAAGGCACAGGTGGACCTGTATACTCCTCTACCAAGACCATATTACTTGTAAGATTTGCCTCTGATGTGGGTTAGTGCAGATTGTACTTACCAGCAGGTGTCTTTTACATGCTAAACCTTTTTATTTCACTTCCCTACCTTATCCACACTCTTTACAGCCCAGACTTTTACTACAGAAGTGTAAAGTAAAAAAGGAACAGAACAGAGAAGGTAAATGCAGCAGCAATGACACTATCAAGTCACAAAATCACACCACTGGCAAGACACATTTTCTTCTGCTGACTGCCAAGCCAGCCAGACATGAGCCAAGCAGTGCAGCAGGGCAGGATGTGACAGAGTTAGGGGGTTATCATAATGGGTTTGAACACTTTGAAGCACCCCATACAAAAGGAGCATGTGGAGAAAAAAATTGCACTAACTGCTATTGAAAACTAAATTTGGAAAGAGAGGGAGTGTAACTTCATAGCATATCAATCTTAGTTAAAAAACACAAAGGCAAGCCATGAAGACCCCCATAATGACATCAAGAGATTAGTCTATATTTCAATCAGCAAGCCAGAACATTTTCAGAAAAACTTAGGTATGTACCACCTAAGCCACCTGTACAAAAAATTAATTTCCTAGGACAACAATGGAACTTAATCCATGTTCTAAGTAAAATTTCCAACTTTTGAAAAACAGAGAAATAGCATTTATTTTAAAACTGTAAATACAAGTTAAATGTTCAAGCTGGACAGACAGAAATTCTCTTATTTGGATCCCTTCCCCGTATAACTGACAGCAAGAAAGCTGTGGGTTTTTCCTCCCCAGTCATGACTTTATTTGCTTTGTAGTCTTTACCATCAGTAATTTATTATATTGCATAATTTATGAATTTTCATGAGTTCTGAGAAAGCATATGTTGTGTCTGCATTTCTTCTGGGACAGCAACCCTATGTAATAGTGTGAAGACTATTGTGTCATGGAAATGCACTAAGGGAAGTGTTCATATTTATACATATAGAGCAGTTAAAGAAATTTCAAAATTTTTTTTTTGGCTGACAAAAATAACCTTAAAAAAAAAAGGAAGGAAACAGTCTTAGCTGAGCAATGCTGGCTAGACCGATTAGAATAGTGCACTGGATGTCTGCAAGGGAGTCAGATAAAGGATTACCCAAAATCCAGTATTTTGAGCAAAGCCTGATGCTCCTTGAAGTAGATTCTATAAGCAGGAAAATGCTGCTAAGCTGCTCAACTCAAAGTTGTGAGTTTAGCTGCTCCTCTGAATATCTGTGTCAACACTGATGCTTCACAATAAAAACTGAATGCAGTGGGCAACAGCAGCAAACACAGCTGTAAGGAGGCACTGAAATTAAGCAGAACTGCAGTAGCTTTTCTATAGCAGGGAAGTATGAACTTCAGTTATGCTGTCTGGTTCTTGGGTTTTTTTGGGCCTTTCTTTGTTTTTAATAATCATAGCTACCTCAATTGTGTCAACATAGATGCTGCTAGACAAACACAACCCAGCTGTGTGAATTACCAAAGTTTTACAAGTTGTTTTCTGTCATGATGGCTTGACTGGCCATATAATTGAAATAATCATTGCGTTTTCCAGGGACTTCCTAAAAAGCAAGGACTTCCTAAAATTCCTAAAAATGCCTAAAGCAGCAGAAGAATGCATGAATTGAAAAGCTCAAAGCTGAGTGAGAACGTCATAAAGAATATCTGTATTTTGCTTGCTGAAACACACCAATGTACCACAACTTAAGACACTGGGTGATTTTACTTTGTTTACAGAATAACACTGCTTTCCTGAAAGACAGGAATGTTCACTGAATGACAGAAATAAGACAACATTGAAAAGCTTAACGTAACACCAGAGTTTGGTGTCCTGCTTAAAATTGATAGCAACTGAACTAATTTCTATTCAGTTAAAAACAATCACAAACCACCTTAAGTTTTATCATAATGCAGAAGTTCTCTTTAAGGCAGAGGCAGGAATACTTTTCCATACTAGATAGCAAAAATGATAGAACACAACTAATTCAAGCTTGAAAGTACCAGTGACATATCATGACATAAGTTAGTCAACACATTTTTCTAAAAACCAGCATGGAAAGTAATAGTTACAGTGACAAAGCAGCCTTTGCTCCAGCTGTACTTTACAGTTTATGCACACATCAACAGTCACATGCCCTGCATCCAACCAATGCATATCAGGACATTTTCACCTGAACACACAAAACTTGGTCTGAAACAACAAAAAAATCTTGTGAAGTACTTTGCTGCTAATACAGGAGAGAATTTGCCTACTGAGTTCAGGTGTCACAGAAGAGTTTTGGTCATCAATACACTCAGCAGAGACATTAACAAGCAAGAAGGAGGTGCTGCCACTAGCTGTCTGCATTCCATGTGAAATTTGTCAGTGAGCTTCTAATCTGCAAGCCAAGTACAAGACTATTCTGCTGAAGGAATCAACCATGTTTTCACTTGAACAAGTTGTGTGTCATAATTTACACCCTTTAAATTACTGCTACCTGAGAAGAAAGCCACATTTAACCTGGGCCATGGGGGTGGGGGAAGAGTAAATTCAGAAGAAGGGGATGAAAGAAATAGCTCTTAGGGAATGAAAAGGCAGAAGAGAGGATTACTACCACACTCACACAACATGACTCAGCAGTACAGCTAACTTATTAACCTGCTACACAGAAAAAAGCATGTTAACTGCCTTCAGGAACTGCAAACTGAGCTGCCAACTCCAAAATACAAGAATTCCTTAAAAAAAGTGGAGACTATAGCGTTAAAAATTCTAACATTCCACCCTTGTACCCAGGTGACTTTTCAGACTAACATACATACAGATAAGTATACAATAAATATATACTACAAAGAAAGATGTTTCATTAAATAATTTTCAATAAAAAAGGAAAAAAAGTCTCTGAGGCAAATTTCATACATGCAAAGAAACTGAACAAGGAATTTGTAAATAAAATTTTTCCTTAGATGTATGCGTTTTAGGGAACCAAGATTCTCTCAATAAGCAACTTTAAACAAGATAACGCCTTAAAGGTATTCAAAAAGTACTGCCTCAAATTCTTAATAAAAGGAAAAAAAGTCCTATGTTGTTAATAGTAACAAAAACAAATAATTACCAGTGTTCATATTTGCTTTATTGAAGTCCAAAAAGCAAGAATATATACATATTGAATAATAAAAGCTAAAATATTAAGTACTGATAGGAGATAAACAGCTTGGTAATGACTTTATCAGCTCAACTGATTAGCAACAAGACAGTATTTAGTGTGTTTGCAAGAAATTGCAAAGGATGATCAATATATTTGTTTGAAAAATATTCAATATCAATAAGGAAAATATGAGTAAGACTATCTCAACCTCATTTTAGTCAATATTCTTGAAAATGCTTCTATCAGGAAGTTATCAGTTATTCCATAGATACTCAAAAAAGTCTTCACTGACTTTTCAGTGAAGACAGAGGTCTAATGACATAAGTAGTAGCTAAAATTTTTAAAAGTCTGAAAATATTCAAACCTCTGATGTAAAAAAAATATGAAATTCGAGGGTAAATATGTTGGTACTCATAATTAAATTCCTGTATATTAAGCATGTTCAGAAACATTTTGTCATTGAACAGATCTAAGAACATGCTTTCACTAATGAAGATTATTATCTTTGAAAGATCTTTTCAGTATTTTTCAGTGAGACTCTTCCTAAGTTCAATACTGTACATCCAAATCTGCAGCCATCCCTGATGCAAAGTCATCCAGTGCAGCTTTCACTTAGATTTCATGCTGTCAGTACTGCTACAGAAGCTCATGATACCCATCTTAGATTCCCATCAGAGACAGAGCAAACTGTTTTAAGGCTTAGGACATGAGACTGAAGAGCTTCCTCCAGAGCTATTTCAGATCAAGTAGGAAATAATTGTGAAAATCACTAAAATTGCTTCCCAGCCAGTTACAAAGAGTACCAGCAACAACAGCATGCAATTCTTGAACAGATCAGGCACTCTTTGACAAAAGACAACAGTGTGGAACAGTATCTCCCCTAACTTCCCAGCTACCAGCACAATTGCAGCTTAGAGATTTCCTGAAGTCTGCGTGTGGCTCACACCAAAATGCCTGTAATGTCCATTAGCTTTTGATAGATCTTTCTTTCAATAAGAGTTCTACATCCTGGGCAAAGACACCCACCATTTTAAAGTACACAGTATGGAAAACAAAATGTTACTTTGCACATGTTAAGTCTGATTCCTGATAATAAAACTAGGGGTTACCAGTTGTATTTCTCATTCAGCTTCTCCATCCATCTTTTATGTCCTCTCCATCATTGTTTTTACCCTTAAGGGGATTTTACAGTTTCTTTGAAGAAACTCAGAGCTTTTCAAATGTATTTCTATTTGATCCTTTCTGATATTAAAACTAGAAGGGACACATGAAAGAGAATAGGCATACTGTGGCCAATGGCAACATTAGAGCATTCTGATCACTAACGCTTCCCGGGGAATATTTAAAATATATTCACTGAGCAATGACACTTTGTACCATCAGTTAAGACACACCAGTAGTTAAAAGGTGGATTCTGCTCCCACTTGATACAGTACAACAAAATTTTCTCTAAGTCCACATCATCCCACAACAGCTGCCTTGTAATGTGTCTTTGAAATAGCACATACTTCCTTCCTCCACTTTGGATGGCACGTCTGAGTTCATCTCCATTTCACTGAATATAATCTATTTTCCACTTCTGAAAAATGCCTGGGCTGCACTTGTTCTTTTTGGCTACTACTACAGTTTAGTTTTAGAACAATTTTATCTTTTCCCTTTATTTTCTGTCCCAAATAAACAGCTTAAAATCCTTACTTTCCTTGTGGCTCTGACAGTCAGGTCACCATAATTTAGTATGCTCTGACAGCTTAAATTAACAGCCATAGAAGGATCCATGGCAACTGCCCAGGCATGTAACTGAGGCTGCTAGGCTGACCAAGTGCATAATAATTTAGATTAGTATATTTGAGCTTAATCTCATTTAAATTTCCTAAACTTCCTACAGGCCAAGAATGGGCACAGCAGTGACTGCTGTGGCCCTGCTGCAACTTGATGTTGCCCACAAGCTTTTTAACTTAAACATAATTTTTTTGTCCTCAAAGATTTCAACTTCTACAACAAGCAGTATGTAAAATAATGCCTTTTCTCATATTTATGGATTTTCTCTCTTATCAGATAAAGAGGAAGGTTTGCTTTTGCTCTGCTGGAATTGACATTGATAAGAACATCTAAAATTAGCTTTTATGCTCTTTTACCTCTTCCTTTCCTAAGGGAAAGAATTATCCCTCCCTTTTTTCCAGTATTGATGTGTCCAAAGCTGAACATTCAAGGAATAAACTCCATTAACAGTAATATGGCAAAATGTAACTGGACACTACCATAAGTCTGTAGATAGTGAAATCTCAAAGAGTATTCTAAATAATAAAAAAAAGGTACACAATATTTTTACATTTATTTGCCTAATACAAAACACACAAAAGCCATTTCTGCACTGCAATTTCATTTTTTCTTTTGGTACTGAAGGCAAATGTTTCCCTGACAAGTAATAATATCAGCAATTCCCATGAAACAGCTAACCGAGCTGGAAATTCCTAGGCATACAGAAAAATCAAGGTAGGAGGTAATTTAGGGTTTTCACAATTGACTTTCACTGACAGTTAGTCATCAAATTTAACTAGAAGTAACAGCTGGGCTGAGAGGCAAAAAATTTCCCCAAAACCTCTCTAGCTCTTCAGTGACAAGTTTTAAAGTCATGGGTATATTTAAAAATTTACAAACCTTGTGCTTTAATAACAGAACACAGGAAAATGAGTGTTTGAAAATTACCAGCCTTAACAGCAACAACAAAAAAGTCCTAAAATTAAAGAACATATTAAGGTTCCTATACAGACCTATTTACCATAGAATACTTTATATCATGTATGATTCCCTTCTTCCAAAAATGCATGAAGAAATGGCATTAAGTTTTAATTAAAGACAGCATATTCAGAAACAGGCTGCTCTCACACTTCTCTGCTATTAACAGGTCTGTCTTCCTTTCTCAGTCATATTAGTATTTGCACCAAATTAAAATAATGCTTTATTTCTAGAAAGTTGTATGTCCACAAGAAGAGTACACAACTAAAATGTCTTAAATTCTAACTTCCATCTGAAAATCCCTACCCTCAGAAGACGATCCAGAACAGTGCAGAGGACAAAGAAACAGAAATTGATTACACTCTCACCATCAAGATCTGTGCAGGATCTGATAATGGGGAGTAAGAGCTATCTGACACTTCAAAACATCTAAATCTGCAACCACTCTGAGCAGAAATAATTCTGCTGAACATAGAAATCTTCAGCATCATGCTTAGAACTCAAACAATAAAGCTATTTGAGATTCTTCTAAAGGACATGTAGTATATGTGCACTCACACAGAGTCCTTTTCAGTATTCCAAGCCCAAGTAGTTTGCACGAGTCAGAGCCAACAAACCCACGGGCCATGTTGCTGCGGGACTTACCCGGACAAGCGCATCATCGATGATGTGATCACGCCTCACTTTCAGCCGCAAGTAGGGGTTGAGCTGCTGCCCTTGAACTAAGCTGTAGAGCACAGTTATGCGTCTTTCACTGTACATCCGGATCCTATTGTCATAATACAATCCCAGGTTCTTGGTAACAGCATTCAATATGAAGGGACAGGTCATAAATGAGAATTTATTCTCTGTTTCTACTTTGAAGAATGTGTAGTCTTTGTCCATTTCTAAAACATCATTCAGTGGTTCATTAATAAATTCTTCAAAAGGGATAAGTGGTTTTCTGCAATCTATAGTTTTAACACCAAGTTCAGTTTCCAGTGGGTCTACTCGAGGACCTTTCTTATTTCTTCTTTCCTCACCCAACAGCTCTTGAAGAGTTAGTTCACTTGATTCTGGGATGGGTTCTTCATCTTCCTCTTCGTTATGATCTGTATCCACATCCCCCCCTACTACATTTGCATAGTAAACCATTTTCAAGCACTTTGAAGCAGCAACAACAGCATCATCATCATTCACTAGGTTACGACTATTGAACTCGTTGCTTATGACTTTGTAAGTAATAAGCTGCTGAAATGTTTCCATCATTCTCCGAATTTGATCTGCTCTGTACTTAGACCACAATCTGACCAGTTTTGCTTGAGCTGCAAGGGGTAGTTTGCTCATTGCTTTGCAAAACAATGGTAGGGCCATTTCCAGATATTCTGGGCTATGAAGATTGCCGTTCTCCATAACGATAATAAACAAATTCAGATAGTTAGGATCCCGAGAGTACACATTATGGTAAGTCAAGTCACATTCCACATTAGGTGACAAGTACACAAGTGCATTTAAAAAGGCAGTTTCTATTTTTTCATTAGAAAGTAACCTATCATAGACCCGTCTGACTGCTTCAATATCTACAGACACTTCATCTGGGCCTAGTTTTTGGAGGTTATTATCTCCCTGTGTGTTATCGCCTATTCTTGATGATGAAGATGATGATGCACCAGAATCCTCTTCCATAGCAGCAGCCGAACAGGCAGCTTTTTCCTTTTCATCTTCATCTTTGTCTTCATCCTTTCCTTGAAGAGACTTGAGCTCCTCCTTGGTGTGCTGCTTGGTTTTTCGGAAACTCTGCACTAGTGCTTCAGCACTTGAAAACACTCTCCCAATCACCCGGATTAAAGGGGAATAATCTTCTTTTTCTCGACATAGTTCAAGAATTTCATATATCTTGTCTTCTGTTAGGAAAGTCACATCTATAAAAAGATAAATATATTAGTTTTATTAAGATAGAAATTAAAAAGATAATATGCATCTGGTTTGCCCTACCTAAGAAACCTGTGTGTCATATCATCATTAAAACTGCAAAAAAACAGTGTCAGTGCTGGATAAATTCAAGATATACTTTATAATTTCATTAGCATGAAAAATCACAATTTAATTCACTGCCTTAGTAAAATATTTTCTTAATGGATGTCAGTCAGAGAACATGCACAATACTGAAACTGTTTTGCAGTCGATTAACTACATTAGGTAGTTAACAGTACTGTATTGTCTAAACAAGTGCCATCAGTAAGAGGTTTAAACTTTAAAAGACTCAATGAATAAGGCTGTGACAATACAGTCTTCTGGTAAATCTGCATAGTTAGTGTGCAAGTCATTAAACTAAACAAACTAGACTGTATCAACCTCTTTTTTTCAAACCAGATCTTGAAGAAAAGACTCAATCACTTGTTTTATTGCATGTTAATGGGAATATAAGATTTCTTATTTCTCTTTTTAATGCTTTCTGCAACTGTTTTTAAACTAAATTGATGCCTGAAAACCCTCTCAAACCCCTCAATATATGATCTGAAATTTATGCTGCCTTCTAAATTACACATACAGAGAGGCATGTAGATTATCTCTTTGTACATTAGGCCTCAGTAAGATAAGCAACTTGGGTACACTAATCAACATGTTATTCAGAGGAACAAGATGGTTTACACACATCATCTGCTCCAAATACCTGTCTGTTCTCCCTCTCCCCAAACTCCTGACAAAATAAGTCATTCGAAGGGTCTTTTTGTTATTTGAAATCTTCCTTTCTCTTTAAAAAAAAAAAGAAAGAAAACATTATTTATAGCTTTCTGTGTTACTTCTCAAACAGAACCCACAGATACTTTCATATCAGGTGATGATTTACAGTAGGATTACTGTAAACATGATCAGATTCTGAAAAGATATTCTAGTTTAAGCAGATTCTTCTGAACTGACACATAATTTAGAACTAAAACAGAATCTGTTTAATAGCATCTCTAGAGAAAACATCTCAAAACTATATTCACCAACCATGCTAGAACTACCCACCTCTGCAGAAAGAAGTGTATAATTTTAATAAAACATTTAATAAAGATGTTGTACATGAAAATATTTTGAAAGGTGATTACCTACACGGATACTCATACCAAGAAGTTATTAAATTAAAAATACATACTAGATGATGCAAAGACAGACAACGTATTGACTTTTACAGAACTCCAAGCCACTCTTAGAGCACATTTAACACAGGAAAGGTTAGGCTTGTATCTAAGCTTAGATTGAGTTCCAATCTGAAGATGCTGAAAAATCTCAAAACTAAATGTTTTCAGCTCTACTGAAAACATTCTGAAAAGATTCAAGCTTAGCACAATATCTATTTTTATCTGCTGCAGTGCATGCACAGGAAGTAAAACTTGTCTTAAAAGAAGTCCTCAAAATGAGGACCACTGTCTCAAGTTCATTGACTCTGGACCACAGACATTATTCATAGTATAAAAATTATCAGCACACATCGACAATTTAACAATATAAAGAATTATGGATTTCCATACTTAAACAGGAATTCTTCATTCACAATTTTAAAGGTTTTAGTATTTCAGGAACTCCAGAAAAGTAATTTAATTGTTTCTGAAGCATATTTCAGTTTATTTAGAACTTTCAATCTTATGCCAAGTGTACAAGCAAGCTACACATGCTTTTCCTTGGCTTTGCTAAACTTTGCTGCAGATTTTCCAGTAACTGTTGTAGCAGAGTGACCTTAAAAATTCAGAGTGATAGATTCCTTAGACATCACACAATTTCAAAGGTAACTAAACCTCAGATGAGCTTTAAGAATGCATTAAAGGCCTCTGTCTATACAGCTACACAGAAAGGTCAATATGTGTGATGCTCCAAGAGAGGAAGTCTGAGTCACTGATGTAGCCAACAGACCATCTCTGGAGGTAGGTTCAGAAGACTCTTAGGTACCTGCCTTGGGGAGAGGGGATGGTTAGACAGAATAAGGAAAACTCTGTATCTAAAAAGCTCCATTAATAATAAAAAAAACAAAACAAAACAAAACAAAAAAAACAACCAAGAGAAAAAACTCCTAACAGACTTAATGTGCCTCTTGTTCATCTAACACTCTATTTCCTTCCCTTTCCCCTTCCCCTTCCTAGTGTTTGCCTCTCTGCTTATTCAGATTGTAATTAATTTGGGTGCAAATTTATTCTTGCATCAGATAAAGAAGAAACTGATGCTGCTATTGAATGGAACATCTTGGGTTGCTTATAACACAGTACTATATTTTATTACTAATTCTGTAGGGTTTTTTATATCTTTGCTGTAAGCAATTTCACCTTCTTTAGTTAAAATACATGAATCTGGACTTGTGTTTATACCACTTTTTGCCACAATAATTAAAGGTGGTCTACTCAAAGGCTAAATGGCTTTAAAAACCATTTGGCCTGGTTTCTGGATGTGTTCACATCATGGGTTAAGGTGACAACTAACATTATTCTATTAGTATGTATTTACTATTACAGATTGTTTGAAAAGCTAAACATAAGTTACAAAGCATATATACAGAGCAGTATTTCATTTTACACTTAAAAATGCTTAAAAATAACTGTGCTCAAACATTTTTTATGTATTAGTGAATGCCTATCACTCACTGTGTAATTTTTTATCTGTTAAGTTTCTTAACATAGAATGCGAAAATAGTTAAAGTATAATTTTTATAATTTATTAGCTGCAAAGTAATTTTGAAACTACCAAAACTAAAACAGTCATACAACAGCACTTAAAGCTTTTCCATATTTGCAAAAATCATTATTCTTGTAAGACAATAAATGCCTGTTAATTTTAACAGAGATGTGGTCAAAATCCAGATATGGAAAATCAGTGTTGAGCATTAATCCATCAGTTTTTCTGAATCCATAGTAAAATACTCAATTGTCTAATACTGTATTTTACTGAAGTCAGCAGAACACCACCAGAGTGAATTATGTTGGCTTGGACTCCTGCATATGAAATGTGTTTGATTTTAGAAAATTGTAAGAATCTTACCTTTAAAGTCATCTCTTGGGCCTTGCATTTCCTTCTTGTTCATTTTTCTGTCAGTGCAGGAATTGTTATGGGCACCTTTGGAATTGTTTTCTAGGTAAGCTGAGCTCGTTCCTTTCTTGGAGGGATGAGGATCACAGAGTTTTGCATTAATCTTATAAAGCTCGAGGGCCTTAATGGCTGCTGCATTGTTATCCATACGGAGAAAAGTTGGACAGGAAGCACAAAATTCATTCGTGCAGGCTTCATTTCCACAGCCCTCGGTTAACTGGTGGTAGTAGCGCTCTATTAGATGCTTTGCAGCTGCTCGCTTCCTGTAGCAAACATCCAAACAGTAAGTACAAGGATTAGTGGAGCTTTCATGTACAAAGCTCATTCAATAGCATCAGCAAGACAGAGATTAGTCAGGCACTGAAACACAAAATTTCTGTCAGAGAGAACACACCAGAAGATTTTTTTAAAATGCAGGATTCTCATCTTGACAAATGCAAATATATTTAACACACAATTTAATTTGTGGGTCCTATGTAAGTAAAAGATAAATCCTGTTTATGCAGTTTTCAGCTTTATGTGGTAGTGCTACAGTGGAGACAATCTTGTACAGTTCTGAACAATCTCCACTGTTGCTAAAAAAAGAGAGCAGTTTGGATGCAAATCAAGGCTGCAACTGAAACAAAACTGGATGTTGTACAGGTGTTGAATCTAATATATAGTACTGAGGCATGGTTACCATTGACAGATGAAAGAGGCATGAAACACAAACAATTCAGACATTTACTTAGCAATACTATCAATACTATACTATTTTACCCATTTTAACAAGATTCCAGATGACTAAATTATCATAGTCAGTCTATTTAAATCTGTTCAAAATAATATTCCTTGGTTAATTTAACTGATGCTAAACCACAATTACAGATCAGCTCATGCTTGGATATATTTCTCCTCAGCCTAAATAAATTATATGGTTGTCTAAATAAAATTTAAAAATCACCCCCAAAAGTGCTATCTGCCAAATCCTTCTGTTTCTCCTGTCATTATAAGCGCCAAGTACGTATTCTGAAAAATCACAGATCAATCGCTGTACAAATCTAGAGCTCAGTACTATATATATATGCACAAAAGAAAATGTAACTGCCTTATTAATAAGGTCACAGGCTTCTACAGAAACATGCAAATAATAAAGAAATCACTGGAAAGCTGCAGGTAACCAGGACAGAAGCAGCTGCATGCAGCATCAAGAGCAACATGTTTGACCACATTTCAGGAAAAAATCCCCAAACCTTGACTGCATTTAAGATAATAAGTTATTAATGAAAATTATCAACTAAGAAAGATTTCAAACATTCTGACTAGGTTTAACATACAGGCTTTTTTCAGAACTTTAGTGATACAATATTACTAAGATTAGAACATCAAAAATTGTGATATTAACTTAAAATTGCCTTTCCTGATGTCAATGTATGCACAGCTTCTGCATAGAACAAGTACTTCAGAACTGAAGTGCTAGACCCACTGGTACTACTCAGCACTTGATGCACCTCACTGTTAATAATGGCTGGTTAAATAGCAGTTTCAATGAAGTTACTTCAAAAGGGAAAATGTTCTGAAAGTGACTACTGAGGTCTATATTACTCAGCAATAAGACCTCTGCTTCTTTCTTTTCACCTGTCAAGATCTCATCATCCTAGAGAAGAAAATACATCTTACAAGGAAAACAATTACTTTGATGTCTGCCTGAGCCCTCAAATGCCTGAGTATGTTTCAAGGAAAAGAAAACAAACAAAAAAGAAACTGAGGAGAAAGGTTTCTGTGGCACTTTGAGATGGATGTGGAAAGAAAAAGCAGCATGAGCAATACCATTAAAACCATTACTGTGTAACAGGGAAGAGCTCTATTCTAAGCTAAGGGAAGTGTTCTAGTCTCTCACATTTTTGCATGTAGACTTACAAAAATCTGCCTCTCTCCATGCACATCTAAAAATAAGTGGCTTTTTTTAATCTTGTCTTTCATACTTCAGCCATTAGTATAGAGGCATCAAGAAAAATCACCCAAATCCCCTCAAAAGCAACAGCGTTTTAATACAACTTGGAATAGTAAATTATTTCAGAGACAAATCCAAAAATTCATGTTTTGGCCATTCCTCACCTTCAAGCATTCCAGACCTTCAGATGTAGAGTGTGAAATATTGTAATTTGTAAGCAGGTTAAGTATTTATATATGTAAAAGCTGAATTTTTACACCTGAGCTGTGGCCATCAGCATACACACCTTTCCAGCTCACACATCTAGTTTGAATAAAGTTATATAATGTATAAACACTTATACATTAACAACACATTTTATCATCTTAAAAAAAACCCAAACTCCACTTTAATCAGGGCATGTCTGACATGCCAGTAGATAAAGCTGAGCTTAGACTTGCCTCTAACAGTTAACTTCTGACAGACTCAAATTTTTTTTGCTCTTAGTTTTTAGCTACCAATTACTTCTCAAACTTTGCCATGCCTACAATAAGTCTGTGTGTACAAACACTTATTTTGACTTGTGGGTGGAGACTCTGACTCAAGTCCTCTGAAACTCAATGAGAAACAGAAGGTCTGACTGAAGGTTGTGTTTTTAATTTTTTTTTAAACAAGTGTGGAAGCAAACAATATGATGTACAACAGCACTAGAATACAGCAGTATTAGAATTTCATAGAATATCCTTAGTTGGAAGTGACCCCCAATGATCATCCAAAGTTCAACTTCTGGCCCTGCACAGAATCATCACCAAGAAGCACACAATGTGCCTAACAAACACTTCTTGAACTCGGGCCTGGTGCTGTGACCATTTCCTTGGGGAGCCTGTTCCAGTGCCCAACTACCTTCTGAGTGAAGAACTTCCTAGTATCTAACCTAAACCTTCACTGACACAGTTTCTTGCCATTCCCTCAGATCCTGTCACCACAGAGAAGAGATCAGTGTCTGCCCCCTGCTTCCCCTCATCAGGAAGCTGCAGACCACGATGAGGTCTCCCCTCAGTGTCCCTCTCCAGGCTGAACAGCCCAAGTGGACTCAGCCACTCCCCATATGGCTTCTCCTCAAGGCCCCTTCACCATTTCTGTAGCCCTTTCTTCAGATGCTCTCTAACAGCTTTGTATCTTTCTCATATTGCAATATCCAAAACTGCACACAATATTCAAGGTGAGGCTGCCCCAGTGCAGAACAGAGTAGGACAATCCTCTCCCTTGCCCAGGTGGTGATGCTGTGCCTGATGCACTCCAGAGCATGGCTGGCCCTCCTGCCTGGCAGGGCACTGCTGGCTCATGTTCAATTTGCCACTGACCAGGACCCCCTGGGGGTCTTTCTGTGATGCAGGTCCCAGGAACACTTGTATTTGTTGAACTTCATGTCATTGGTGGTTTAAGTCTCTAATTTGATGAGGTCTCTCTGCACAACCAGGCTACCTTCCAGGGAGTCAAAACACCTCTCACTTAGTATCACTAGCAAACCTACTCAGTATACCTTCGAGACCTGCGTCCAAGTAATTTATGAAGATGTTGAGGAGGGGCAAGGCTGGAGCCCTGTTGATCTCCACTAGTGACAGGTCACCAGTCTGATGTCATCCCATTTACTGAAAACCTGTGTGCCTGGCCTGTGAGCCAGTTGTCCACCCCTCACATGATGTATTTATCCACCTGTGTTCTGGACATTTTATTCAGAAGGATACTGTGAGAGACAGTATTGAAAGCTTTATGGAAATCCAAAAAGATTCCATCAACTGGCTTCCCTTGCTCAATTAGATGGGTTACCTTGTCATAAAAAGAAAATAGGTTTGACATGAACCAACTGGCTATGACTGATGTCTGTGGCATCCTTCAGGTGTTTTTCAGTAGCTCCCAGAATAATCTTGTCTGTAATTTTACCAGGCACTGATGTGAGACTGACAGTCCTGTAGTTTTCAGGGTCATTCTTCCTCCCCTTCTTGAATATTTGACCGACGTTGGCCAGTGTCCAGTTGACTGAGATGGCTCCAGATTCCCAAGATCATTGAAAAATCTTTGAGAGAGGCCTTGCAGTGACATCAGCTATCTCTTTGAGTATTCTTATAAGAGTTCCATAAGTCCCCATAAACTTACAGGGATCCAGCTGAATCCTCCCCCCTCTCCCTGGCTGCTACTCTACAGACTTTTCACATTACCTCAGACAAAAGATTTAGGTAAGTAAATAAAATACATAAATTTATGTATGTAAGTGAGGATACAGACCTCAGAAGGTAGAATAGAATTTACCAAGCCTTCACAAGAGCTACCCTTACTGAGGTTCATCAATAAAAGGACTTACAACAGAAAATGCTGTCCTGAGTAAGTCATTATGTGATTTTTAGACACTCCATACCATATTCCCGCTGGTGTACTTCAGGTATTATCACTGTTCATTGCCAAAAGCTCATGTTTCCTATTTCAACATTATTCATCAAAAGAACTTGCATTCTCTGTACTGTCCAAAAGTGAAACTCTTTCTACATTCCCCTGCTCATGTAGTATGCTGAAAACTGAAGCTCTTGGCCTGAGGCATTAAAATGGGTTCATCAAGCAAAGAAACATAAAACCACTCTCTATTCTTAGCTCATGCTATACTCATGAAGACCGCAGCTCTTTTTAAGTTCTATAAAGGGATCTGGTCAAGAGCAACTAGTCCCTTAGAAAACTCAAGGCCTAGTTCACGTCCATGAGCTGTGTGTACAGTTACTACTGTAGCTCGGGCTGTAGTGACTGACTTGCATATACATTTTCAAATACTCATTATTGTTGCACATCCAACTGTGAAACTGTACCGGTGTGGCTGAAGTTGTAAACATTTCACAGGCATATTCTTATGACTGAAGGATAACTTCCCACTCAGTGGGCCTTGTATAACCTCCTCAAGCAATATGCACTGCTTCAGTGAGGAAGAGAGGCACCTAAAATAGACACCCAATTTCTTTCGTTGAAGTCCAACAATTTCACAAGCACAGCTTTCTGTTCAAAATGAAATTAGCATTCACTGACTTAGTTTGTAGTAGCTACAGAAAAAAATAATTGCTTTTAGGCTTTCTCTATGTTCTTTAGCTAATAAAAAGTCAGATAATAAGTACTTTGCATTTGTAGTTTAAATGGTGCTAAAATTGTGGAGTATCACAAGAAACATGAACAACCAAGCCAAAGGTGAACTGGGCTGCATTTTCTGTAGTAATTTTTGAATGCCTAAAACTTGTAAAAAACAGGGATTGAGTGTATGGGTTCAAAAGTTCCTATGAAACAGAACGTAATTTGCATTTCTCAAATACCTTAAACTAAATACAGGAGAAATACCATGTAAAGGATTCTCTTGCAACAGAGAAAATCAGAAGTATAAACATTAAAGGAATTTTTAAAATATTTGAAGTGTGTAATAATTTAAAGTTCACCTACAAAACATTTACATTCAAGTTTACATTTACATTCAAAATGTGCCTGAAATTTAAAATATCTGCATAACTGCATCATTTTTGCTTGTAAGTTTACATAAATTTTAGAAATACACATGGATGTTTCATACTTGTCTGGAAATGCCAGCACGAAATAACACATTTCTGAATGGTTTTTGCTTAGGACACAATAACTGTTATATTATTATTTCAAATAAATCTCACGTCGGACAGGAGTGTTGATCTGCTGGAGGGCAGAAAGGGATCTGGATAGGATCTGGATAGGCCAAGGCCAACAGCATGAAGTTCAACAAGGTGAAGTGTCAGTACAACAACCTTGTGCAGTGCTACAGGCTAGAGCAGAATGGCTGGATAGCTGCCCAGTGGAAAAGGACCTGGGTGTGTTGGTCCACAGCTGCTGAACATGAGCCAGTGTGTGCCCAGGCAGCCAAGAAGGCCAATGGTGACCTGGCCTGTATCAGAAATAGTGTGGCCAGCAGGATAAGGCTGTGATCTCCTTGTTCTTGGACCTTGAATCCCATCTCCGGTTTTGGGCCACTCACTGCAAGGAAGACATTGAGATGCTGGAGTGTGTTCAGAATAGCATAATGAAGCTGGTGAAGAGTCTGGAGCACAAGTCTCAGGAAGACCAGTTGAGGGAGCTAGAGGTGTTCAGTCAGGACAAAAGGAGCATGAAAAGTGACCCAATCACTTTCTACAACCACCTGAAAGGAGGGCGCAGCCAGGTGAGGGTTGGTCTCTTTTCCCAGGCAACCAGTGAGAGAACAAGAGGAAAATGGCATCAAGCTCTACCAGGGGAAGTTCAGGCTGGACATCAGAAAAAAATTCTTCACTGAAAGGGCTGTCAAGCTTTGGAATGGGCAGCCCATAGAGATGGTGGAGTCACCATCCCTGCCTGGAATTGTTCAAGAAACAAGTGGACATGGTGCTTAGTGCAATGGTCTAGTTGATAAGGTGGTAATTGGTCAAGGGTTGGACTCCATAATCTTGAAGTTCTTTTCCAGCCTTGATGATTCGATGATTGCTCCAAGATAGCTGGTTTTATTAAATGGAAATCTACAACAGCTATAATGGCTACTAGGAACTTAGAAGTGCCTAAATGTTCATAAGCATTTTTTTAACAGAAAAAAAAAAAAAAAAAGCAAGCATTAATATGTTTTGAAACCCAGGAAACAGCTTTTTTAGTACTAATTGCAAAACAACTTTCAACAGATGTGTTTACAGAGGCATAAAGAGATACACCTGTAGCAGTTATAATACTACACTATGGAAGTGTATGGAAGATAACCAGCATATCAAAAACCGTTAAAGAAGGTGTTGCAGATGGTCATCTTTGTGAAGTTAAATGTTGCTTTGTGCAAGTTTCAGCTTCAAACCTTGCACACTGGTTTTCCTGCTTCTGTTTAGTTAAGAGTCAGATGAGCAGTGCTAGAAAAGACAGGCTTCCAGTAATAGCACTGCCCACACAGAGCCTTTTCAAGAGCCCTGCACACCAAACTGCCAAACAGTCCACCCACAGCTGGAGCCCAGCCCTTTGTTCCAGCAGTGCTGTAACACCTTTTGCCTGCCTCAGCCTCTGGCATCACAGCAAATGTGCATCTGGCAAATGTGCATGTGTATGGAGCTCACACTTTCCAAACTCCATTCTTTCCAGTGTGGTGGACCCCAATAGCAAGGGTGGATTGTGAGCTCTGCTTGGACCATACTTAACCCAAGGGACCTCCCTTCCCACTGTATTCTAGATCCAGAATGCCTCTGGGAACATCATGTGCTGACAAAAGCATGGCACTTCCTCAGAAAGGGCCACTCTGAGAACCCTGTCCTGGCTATATGGAGCAACACAGGAAGACAGAAAGGGAGCAAAGAACACAGTCAGCAACTATCTGGCAATTTTGTCTTGGAAAAACTGCCTTGCTACAGTCATATTAAAAAAAACAGAGAAGAGTTTCAAAATTGTCAAGAATCCCATCCTCAAAAGCAGAGAGAAGGAAAGATGAATGCACAGAAAGCCGTGTGAAGACAGCCATACCTTTGCCTTGATAAAAAAAGCTAAGAAAAACAGAGTGAAAACACATGAACATGTAAGAAGTTATTGTTAAACAATCAAGTTATGTGATTTAGTGCTAAAGAGGCTTTAGGAAAGCAATACTAATCAAAGCTGAAAGTCAATGGAGATGTGTGACAGGAGCAGTCAGAAAATGCTTACCTTATAAATTCTAAGATAAATGACTCCTAACTTTGAGCTAGCACCAAGATGTTCATCACATGGAGACCCAGAATTTGAAAAGGCTGGGATAAGCAAGACTTACATATAGAAGATTTTGCTGTGTAAGAATCTGAATATTTTCTTTAAATTTCTTTTTATTCACACAGGTGAAACATATGACTATGCTCTTAGATGAAGCTTTGCAATTCAAAACATGGAAATAAAGTAATTATATCAGTCAACCAGAGCAAAACCAACCATTCATTGTGCAAACAAAAAACCACTTGCTTTAGTCCCTGCATTTACTAACAAATTTTGGGCATGTAAATAACACAGTAACTATTTTAGCAACACAAGAGGCTTGTAGGTCACAACTCTACCACTTAACCTGCCATTCCACCTTATGTGGCAAGAGCTGCTATGCAGGATTGCAAAAATTCTCTGTAGTAGGTATAGTACACATCACATTGTGATACAGTTTAAAGAACATTTAGTTTTGCAAATATACTGTATAACTACTAGTCAAATATGTGAATTCCTACAGCTTGACTGGTTCACATTTATTTTAGACAGATAGCTAAAATTTATGAAGTCAGGGCCACTCTGATCACTGGTCTACATAAAAAATAAAATGTATTCAGCTATAACACATAAAGGCTTACTTCTGTAAATTTTTTAATGTTTGGTTGTAAGGAGAAGAATTGTCAAACTTCTAGAAGGATAAAAGCTTTACTGTCTTTTCCTTCTGATTTATGCTAGGTTCTTTAAGTCTTTGTTTCACACCAGTCTAGGTGAGTGCTGCTGATACATCTTTGCTTAAAATGCATAAAAACCAGTAATCTAAATGGTAACATCCAGAGTGGACTACAGCCAGCCTGCAGTATTATTTCCTCTGTTTGGCTAGGCCAGGGAACTAAAGGAACAATAAATCACAATGCAGCATAGACCACTACTGGACCAGGAATAAGAGACCATGGCAGGGCTTTTGCCCTGTGACCTCTAATGCAGCAACACTCAGAGTCCATGCACCAACAGAAGAGTCACCTTTCAGGCCAGGGTCCCTGCAACCTCCACTGCATTCCTAAGAAAGCAGCTGGACAGCACTTCTGTAGCAGATGGTATGAATGAGGGAAAAGAAATCTGTCATACCAAGAGAACTGCTTCTCCTAGTGCAAGAAAAGGCTTCACTCCAGTGAATTGCTAATAACACATCAGAAAAGCTCTGTTTCCTCCTCCTCATTTTTTAGGTTCACAGCCCAACGTACTGTGGAGCTCTCCACAGTTTTGCTCCTCCTTAAGTCGTGCAGCTACAGCAGAAAAGTCCTTGAGCAATTCACACTATGTCACTAGCCTGCAAAACATCCTGAAAATGGCACCCAGCCCATGGCATGTACAACACTAGACCGCTTGGGGGGAAGGCGTGAAGTAGACAGTTTAAGGTCAGAAGAGAAGTTTGTGGCAGAAGAGAAATGAACCCAGATCATTTGAAGCTTCAGACAACATACCAATTACTGGGCTACATTCCCTCTATTATTTTGGAACTTGTGCTGTTATCCAGAAGAGCAGTTTGTGGTTTCCCTGTTTGAGTACTATGACAGGACAGTTTGAATAGCTAGAAAAGAATTTTGTTTGCTAACTCACAGAAGAATAAAGTCTCAAAAAACATTTTTGTTTTCAAATGGTCCTCCAAATTCCTGCAACCCCTTTGAATATTGAATTGAAATTAATGTTTCAGTCCACCACAATCTTGATTTTAGTTTATCTTGGCTTCTAACCTAATGAAGACAGACAAAAAGTTTCAGACCTGTCACCAAGATGTTCTGTGAATACTGTTTAGTGAAAGAGAGCTAGCTTTCTGTTTCTAGAAGTAACTGGCATATAAATTTACCAAATCAAGTCAAAATTTCTTTTTCTTAGTTCAACAATCTATCTGCCACAAGATATACCAGCAGGTATTGTGCCTTAGTACTGAAATGTCTTCAAACGCATGTAAGATGTTAGTGAATGACAGGTAGAAATTATATCCCTTCTGTCAAGTCTGAATGTAGGCTATAAGCTTTCTGACACTGTATTATGCTACCATCTACTGGTTCACGTTAAATTAAACCTCCGAACCTTCCCTCCAACTCATTCACACCCTACGAAAAAAACCCCAAAAAACCAAAAACCAAAAAAAAACAGTTTCTGCAGAGACTTAAAATTGCAAAGTATTAATTTGAAATTTTTTAAGGTAATATCACAGTTCTACTCAGCTTTTGTCTTCTTTTCACTAAGCAGATGCAAGAGTGACTGTTATATATGTTCAGAACATTTTTAATCAAGATAAACCAAACTCATTCAGTCATTTACTTACATTCGGCTAGTTTCAATGTTCTCAGAGTGCGGTTCTCCTGGTGATCTGCAAAACCAGACAGAAAACCTTAAGCACTGCTTGTTCTTTTTAGTCATTACAATATGAAGTTATGAAAGATAGAATGTGATAAGTGTATTATTGCCACTAAAAGCATCAACTTTTTGATACTTGCAGATTTAATTTATCAAACTCTAGAATACAGTTTATTACATAAAACATGATAGTATAACAAAGCCAAATTTCCCTAAGAAGGAGAGCACTTTTTCCCCACGCTTACGCAACAGGAGCCATTAGGGAAGAGATCTGCAGAAAGTACTTCCGCATTCAGGCTGCACAGTGCTCCAGTTCTGGGCTAATTCTTCATAACCACTTCTGTAACCAAAATGTGTACTCAAAGATTATCAGTGATCAACTGCAACCAACAAATTCTCTACAGAACTGGATTCTAAGAAGTAGCAGTGCAGAAACTGGGTCCAAAAGGATATCAAAACAAACCTTGCATCTCTCTCCACCTGAACTCAGGGAGCTAATCTCACAGACAGCTTTCTGTTTTCTTCAATCCAGCCAAGACATCAGCCAGCAATATTCAGAATTGTTATTGCCTAGCACAAGCAGCACCTGTGTTTAGCTTGGCAACTCCATTGACTTAATTTGCAGACTAATTCAAGGGGTATAGCTCCACACTAACTTAAAGTAGACTAAATTATAGTTATTTAGCTTCTCCTTATTTCTATCTTCCTTAAGAGAGCACTAATTCAACTGCTAACTTTTTTTCAGACAGCATTTAGTATTTTTTTTCTCTCTTTGAGGTAGAACTTCCCCCTAGCCAGTGAGTTTGTCTAGATAAACCAGAAGATAAAGCAGTACAAATGCAGCAGTTTTGATTCCCATCATCTTAGGATGCCTTGAAATCAGACCTTATGGAACCTTTGCTTGGGAACAACCTCTGGTACAGTTGACCAGAACTGCCATGCTGGAATACTTTGCAAGGAGTGGAAACAAAGCACAACCACTACAGTAAAACTCTGCAGCTTAGATGAACAAAAATGTCTTTCATGACAGCTCTCTAAAAACAGAAGTGAGCTAAAATCTGCAAACAGAACTAACTTTTTAGGTTTCACCAGAGTCTGCTGGGACACTTCAGTTAGGACAGCTAAGCAGACTTTCCCATAGCTTTACAGGGGAAAAAAAAAATCTTTATTTATAGGAATGCAATTTCTAAATTTCTCTATTTATTATATAGCTATCTATAATGTTCTAAATGCTATTGGAAATCTCTACATGTAACCTGATACATTCCTTTTTTCCTGTTTCATTGTGCAATTTTACTGAATGGTCTCTGCTATTAAAGCTTGGACTGCTTTCCAAACTCTCTACTAAAATTTTAGTTCCTTTTCTGAAACACCAGTTCTTAACTTTCTGGATTCTACTAAACAGACCCAGTGCCTAGAAGGCATTTCTGGAAGATAACTCATAATTCCAAGGTTAGATGGATACTGTGTGGTGACAGATGATGCAGAACAGGAAATTATTTGTTTGTACTTCACTAACTTATAAAATTTAACAGACACTAGGGACAGAATTCTGAACTTCCTATCCAATTAACATTATACTCATACTTAAAATGTAAACCTTTTAGCTGGAAAATAACAAAAACTGCCCAGTCTTAAAATTTGGCCTCTATTTATTACCTCCAAATTATGCTTCCTTTACTCATTAAATTCAGGATTGACAAGGCAGTTGCTGACAAAAATAATGCTCACAGTAAAACAAATAAGAATTTCCCTTTAACTTCAGTGACCAAAGCAAGCCTCTAAATGCTTAGTGAGAAGAATCTCAATTTTTTTTCCCCACTCATTCACCTGAGCACATAACTGTTAGAAGCTGGAATAGTAGAAAGACACATGTTTATATTCATACTGGTTAGCTCCTCTATTTACTTCCATGACTTCAAAAAATGGTAGCAAAATGTCTGGACATTTAGGGCTTTGCTTTCTTAATTCTAGTATTGGGGCATACAACACACTGAGGCTTTGGGAAATAGTAGTGCTTTTAGTTGCTATGAAAATGCAAAGGAAATAGTGGTGTTAAAAGAAAAACATCAAGAATACTGAAAGCCTTTCAGCCCTTAAAATAAACAGCAGTATGAAGAATTATAGAAAAAGAGCAGACTGGCATCTAAACTCTGTGTTTAAGAAAAGCAGCCTGGTGATCTGCAGTACAGACATGAAAACAGCTAGCAGTATATCCAAAATCTTTTCCTATTCTCACTATTTGTGAGAATATTATTAGGGATATAAAGAGACAATACAGTTCAGTATATGTTACTTGGAAAAAAAAAAAGGTTGCATCTATAAGGTAAACAATGTAAGAAAAAAATACCATCTAGCTGGGTCAAAAAAGGTTGGGTCCTCTAAGGTAGGTGTTCTGCAGAACACAGGGTGAAAATTCCTTCAGCTTACTGTTTTCTAAAACATGAACAGACCTACTATAACTATGATTTGCAGAACTACTAATGGATGTATTAACTCGATTTTAAAAGGTTTCAAATGACAACATAAGCACCTAATAAAATGAGCTTTCAATACTCAGTAAAATGAAGTGGAAGATCAATCTAATTACAGGAATTGTATTTGTTTGCTGAGAAGATATTTATTTTGCAATACCCAATTCTTTACAAACAAGATACCTTGTTATTTCCTGTGAGCAGGCAACAGTATTGAAAAAGAACTATATAGTATGGCAAGACATCCTTTCATCATGCTTAAAATCTGAAACAAGAGTTCTGTTCAGAGAAAATCTCAGAGCAAATGCTCTTAAAAATTTCAGCTTTGAATTAGATTGTAGATACTGATCACAAGACACCAGCTAATCTGAATACTGCAGTATGAGCTCACAAATTCAAATGGTGGCTCATTTCCAGTATCACAGGGAGCAACTTCTCCATTCTACAAGCCACTCCTTTTACCTCCAGTGTACCTCTCTAGATGAGAAAAGTAATGGATGGTATGCAAGCTTACACACACTTTAACATCATCAAGTCTCCCAGATAAGTACTTCAAAACAAAAACTGAACACATGCTTGGATAAGTATGCTAAACAATTTACACAGAAATTCAGTATGACAGTAAAAACTACCAGGGACTTTTAAGTGATAGTATTGTTCTTAAGAAGGATATCATGGAGCACCACAGTGCTTGCTTGTATTTTAAAAAGCAGGCAAGGACAAACTAAGCGAGCTTTGAAATCAGTGTCAGCAATAGTGTAAGTCAACTTTGCCAGGTGACTTAAACAAACAATGTAACAATATTATTTATAAAACTAGCTTCAAGCCATAGAAATGAAATACCTTAAAATAAACATTATGGTACAAAAACTCCTGAGAAACAACCTGATATGCTTTATGCTTACCTTTTACAAGCTGTGGCCATTCGGTGACATCAGGGTGATCACAATTTTGAGTCACTGATATAAACTGAGTTGTCGCACCACTCCTGTATCACACGCTGGGCTAAGCATAAGCTTAACAATTCTAAACAAGTAAAAATAATGTAGTTAAAAGTTCTTAAAAATACTCAGCCAATTCTCTAAATAAAAAAAAAAAAAAGAAAAATATTGATGCTAAGCATTGTTTTATCAGCAAGATTAAGACTTACATTCATTTTTTGCATGGCATTTTAGTTTCTAGAGTAACTCGCTACAGTACAATCAACTGGTAAACTTGAAAATTCAGCGACTTATTTTTAGACTTTCTAAAATACCAAAAGCCATACACATCTCTTGGACCAGTGCAAAACACCCAATATCAAGACAAGCATTCAAGGATCTGGAAGCGTGTGCATAAATATGAACCATAATTTCTAACTACAATAAAATTCTAGTAGATGTGTTGCTGCTACAACTCGATTAACATTGTTTCTTAGCAAGGCTCTGTTCCCAGGGGAGCAACAAGTAACCAGAACTTTGTTGTGTGCCTCTCCCCAGAAAGAAGTAAGCTATAGCTTATATATACGTTAAAGTTTCAGAGGAGCAACCTTTGCCCTCTATGGCAAATCTTTTAGGTTCTTTGCTCCATTTGTATCATGTGTCCTCTCTCCTCTCCCTTAAATTTTCAAAAGTATATTTTACCTGTCAATTGTTTCCCGTGATCTGGCTCCACTGGTATAAATTGAAGGGTTGGTCCTTTACTTTGTCACGCAGGTGGCAGCCAATGATCACTCAGCAATACTCGTGCCCAGAGCGCCCTGGGACCACCCCAGCTGATTACTTCCATGGCTGAAAAGGAACCAGTTAGTCTCTTACCTACTGCTGTTATCTACTCTAAACTAAAGTTAACGGATAAAATATTTCCAAACATAATCCTCATCACTCAATTCATCCCATCTCTCTCCCGCCCAAGCTCCTAAGTGCCCTGGAGAAAGCCAGAAAAGAAAAAAGGCCTCTGAAGGAGAATCAGATGACAAATAGCATTTGCTTTCTGCTAATAAAAAGTTTTGATAAAAATTGCAATGTTAATGTTGTATTTAATAAATAAAAAGTCATCTAACTTTCTCTTAAAGCAGTAGCTATGGAGACAGACCTCTGTATAGTATCCTGAGAAGTTTATTCCTGTGATAACCCTGATGAAACCCCACATTTGCAAGTTTGCCATGCAGCAAAAGCCTCACACAGAATGAAGGTGCACAAAGCTATTGAGGGCACAACCGCAGCTCTCTGCAACACCTGCAGACATAACAATCTGGTGCAAATACTAAGAGAGCACATCAGACAGCTTTAAATATTTATTAAAAAACATTTATTTCTTTACTGCACCTTTTGTGCTTCAGCCCAACCTATTACAAGAGTATTGCAGTAAGATCTTAGCAAGGCTCAGGATTTTCTAAAGTTTGTCAGAAAAGCTGCCCAGTTTTGCCAGTCTGCTACAATTTGACATTCTGCCACAAACTCTGCACAGAACAAAATTTGTCTTACTTTCAGAATGATGCTCATTAGTTTTATCATTCATTGAGGTAGGTAAAATGCCATCTGTTGATTTTAACATCAGTAATACTTAAGTGTTCTCACTGTAGCACAAGTGCAGTTGACACAAGTAAAAAAGTAGGCTACCAAAAATCTCCAAAACAAAACAGAGGTTCCCCAGTACTTATGTTTCATAGGTGTAAATCGTCAAAGTTTAACTGAGTCAATGCTAGGAACACAGAACATTGATTAAAAGTCAGTTGGAAAGGTTCCTCATCTGTCAACATTACAGAACAGGGTAAAGACTTTCCATTAATGTTTGCTGACCATCAGCTGTACTAAAAGGCAACAACCCAAGATGTTGATGCAGAATGAAGAAGCTGTAAAACACTGCTCTGCTTATGACATTCTGTTTAAGACCTGAAAACGTCCACTTTCAGGCAAGCCTTAGTTTTGAGGAAACAGATGCCTTTTTTAACACTGCTTCTAGCACTTTGCCCAAGTAACTTTTAGTACTCTGGTCAGAGGATTGTGGTATCATCTCTAAATCCTCATTGGTTGGGAAATCTGCATTCTGACTATTGGAAGTATCAGCTCATGTTCTGGAGTGTGTCTGACCAATGACTCCCTACCTAGATTTGGTCCTATATCACCCAGACTGTTGACAAAAACTTATTACAGTAGTCTTTCATTCAAATGGAAGCATGCTGGAACACCAGGTTGCCATCAACCTTAGTAAAACAAATTTTCCTGAGGCTGTTTCATATGAGAAGTCATGAACACAACTGACAACAGTGAAGGAGCACATGAAGTGCTGGTGTTGGATTCAAACACCACTAGATTTTGGAATGTTAAAAGATATACTTTAAGTTGGCAGCAGCTCCACAGTCATAATCAAGACAAGCTTGTGCCAAGGCCTGATACAGAACCAGATCTGTTAGTCTCATTTACCACACTACCGAACATAGTATCTACAGCAGTTGATGGGAAGCAGTGTCTGAACTGCCACAAATCTCACTGAGCTGAAGTTAACTCATCTAAGTTTTGTTGTGTATCTACAAACTTGTATCTACAAATTGAATTTGTCATGGGTCAGAGCTTTGAGTCAGGTAGTTTCAGCATTTCTGATTTGTTGCACCATACCTTAAAACCAGACTTAATGTACTGTGGTCTAAAATTGTCATGCTTCTATTCAGCAGTCTAGATGCAAAAAACCTTAATGAATAATTTTTCTCTTTTATCTCCTTCTCATCCTACCTTCCCCACCTATCTTGCTGCCACTCCTGTGGGACAGAATATGACTGGCAAGGATTCCCTAACACAGATGAAGGAATTAATTTTTCTAAAACCTTACTCACTAATGCATCAGCAGAGTAGTGTCTGCTGGCAAAGTGACCAGTACATTGAAACACAAGGTGGGTGGTGAAGGAGACAGCCATCAAAGATTTATTCTGAATATATTTCAAAGGACATTCTGAGTGCTTGATACAAACAAGGCAAAATAACCTCCAACCTGGTTAAGAGTTGAAAGATACTACATGATTAGGAAAGGAAAACCATACTGATGAATACACTAAGATCCTCAAAAACAGTATTATGAACTGTGAATTGGTCTAATCAATCTGTCACAGGAGTTTCTCTACAAAAAAATCTCCTCTGTAACTACCTTAAAGAAGATAGAAAGAGTAATCTCAAAACAGATATTTATTCACATTACTCAAACAAGTTTCTCTGGTCCTCATGTTATGATCAGCATGGCCTATAGTTTAGGCTTTTACAGACACCCTGAGCAGCTGAAGATATGAAAGGAAATTTGTGCCTATGGAGTATGTCCAAAAAACCCAAGACGGCTGCCAGGCTCTTTGGGACCGGCAGGCTCCAGTACAGGCACATCTCTGTCTGCCTAGTGACTATTTAGTAGTAGTAGCGTCAACTAGGGCTGCAACTACACCTATTACAGTCAGCAAGACATTGAGACATGTCTTCAAACCATCTATCTGAAAAACATTGTGATTTGAACTAGCTCTCATCAAAAAAGAATGGGATAAATAATGTTTATGCAGTGATTTGGAATGATTTGGAACACCACCTATTTCTCCAAGATGGCACAGGTCAGTACTTTCTTAAAAGAATGTTCCTATCAACTCAAGGAGTTAAACAATGAATCAAAGAACAAGATGTCAGAAAGCAAGTTCAGAAGCATCAAAAGGGGCTAAAAGCAACTTTGTTGCATAGTTTGATCAAAGAACTCAGCACATTTCCTTAAACCCTTAAAGTCTACAAGCATGAGGCAAGAAGAGGTCTCCAGCTTCAACATACAAAACCTAAAGCCACAACCTGGAGATTGTAAATATTTATTTTTCAGCAACCAAAAAAAAAAAACAAAAAAAAGGCAAATAACTTCCAGCCAAAAATCAAAAATCACTTATTTGAACATTGTTACATACATAGATTCCCTAAACCTGCTATTTATTATCCCTGAGTTATTTGTTGGTCACTTTCTGTGAGAGCAATGCAATCTGTCAGTCAACACACATCTGAGGCCTGGAAGATCCCTCAGAGGATGAACACTTTCCTTATTTAAACTATAACTTCTGACTGACTTATTGAAAGAGTGGCACTTGTAAGAATTTAAGTTTCCTTTACAAAGGAATTTTAACTATCTATCCAAGTAATCTTAGATCCAAATTTAAGATTCTCTTTTTGATTTATGATGAAAGTAGGGGTGATTCACTGTACAATGAAGTGCCATGATCTACCTTTACCTTTCAATACCAGAATTTTAGTTGCTTAATTAAATATAACCATCTGTCTCAAGAATATACCTCTAAAGACAGTTTTTGAAGGTCTTCTGAAGAGTCCCTCTGAATGCCCCAAGAATGAATTTTAGATATTTCCAGAATGACTTTGAGTACTACAAGGAAACAATCTATACAGTAAAAACTGACACCTAATAGGAGAGTTGTCCTTTTATAACTTGAGATTGAGGCAAATGTCCTGGAGAATATTCACCAAATCCCTAAATTCAATCTTAATTGTCATATACAGGGAAAAAAAAAAAAAAAGGTAATGCAATAGGCATGTTTGAGCCTATATTTATTCATAAAGTTGGAACTACAAATTACTTTTTTTGCCTGTATGCTGCTTCCAATGCACAAAACATAAAAATAGAAGTTTTTTTCATCTAATTAGTAGGCAAAATTATTACTGATTCTACAGTAAAATAAAACAGCCACTAAAACAACCCGATCATATAAATCCTAAAGGAGCCCAAAAAAAAGCCCCAGCCAAACATTGATCTCTATATGATTTTCTTTCCCACTGCCTGGTAAACCAAGCAATTTGACTAGTAAAAGCAAATCCAGAATCATATTAGTTAGTAAACCAAAATAATTGGGTTCTATCCTGGAAAATGCCAACCTAAAGTGACTAAAGCAGTCACAACTAATGTACAAATCTACACATGCTCCCATGTATTACAAAAAGAATGACAGATATGGCTCATCAAGGGTCCCTGGAAGAGTGTCTGTTCATCTGCACAAAGTACTTCACACATCTTCCAAACTTAAACCCAGTTCTCCAATTATTCAATATTCTTCAAAAGTGTTCCAGAAGAGATAGAAAAGAACCACAAAGACATCACGAAAATAGAAGAAAATGCCTTGTGATTAGACAATGGAAAGAGTTCAAAGTTAATCAAGCCTATCAATATAGATACTGGAAGAAACTAAGTCTTATCACAGCACAAAAAGAATACATAAAAATCTTTGAACTGAAAGAATGTATATAAAATCCCTATTAATAGAAACTGAAGGCCCATAAATTCAAATTAGAGCACGAACACAAGCATGCAGGATAATGAGAACAATTAACACTAGAATAAATCATTTGGGATGGGAATCTGAATTTGTTACTATCTTCAAAATAAAGTTAGTGCTACTCCAGAATTTACATTTCAGTAAAATCACAAGTTACTGAGTTTCATAAAGGTAGAATTTTGTGTATCTCAATACAAAGAGATCAATCACAGATTTATCAATCCTGTAGTATCTGTACACTTACTTTTCCTTGATGTCAATACTCCCCACTGTACAGGTTTTGGCTGGAATAGAGTTAATTTTCTTCATAGGAGCTAGTGTGGGTTGTATTTTGAATTTGTGTTAACACAGGGATGTTTTTGTTATTGCTGTTTTTGTTACAGCTTTCATAGAGTCAAGGCCTTTTTTGCTCCTCACCCCACCAGGGAGGAGGTTGGGGGTGCACAGGGAGTGAGGAGGATTCACAGCTGGGACAGGTGACCCCAGCTGACCATAAAAGCATTCCATATTATAAGGCATCATGCTCAGCGTATAAAGCTGGGGAAAGAAGAAAAAAGGGGGAATGTTCGGAGTTACGACCTTTGTCTTCCCAAGTCACTGTTACATATATGGAGCTGGCTTTTCTGGAAAGGACAGAACATGTGCCTGTCCATGAGAAGTGGTGAATGAATTCCTTGTTTTGCTTTGCTTCATGCACAGCTTTTGCTTTACCTATTAAATTATCTTTATCTCAACCCACGAGTTTTCTCACTTTTACTCCTCCAATTCTCTTCCACATCCCACTGTGTGGGTAGGTGAGAGAGTAGCTGTTTGGTGTTTAGTTGCCAGCTGGGGTTAACTATGATATCCATAAATCACAGAGTAACAGAAAAATATCTAATGTTTCTTCCATTCCCTCCCCTCAGGCCAAAAGCTAGAGGCCTGCATATTATTCCCATTTTCTATAGCAACTCCTGCAACTTTGGATTTTGCCTTTGTATCTGGTTTTGGTTTAATATTTCAGTGAGATCATATACATATTTTGTTCACCTTTGTAAAAGCAGGAAAGATCCAAAATTATCTTTAGCTTTTGTGTTTTACACTTGGACCACAGTTGATTTTTTTCTTCCACTACACACACATCTAATTTTTTTTTTTTTTTTGCAGAACCATTTGTTTCTATTTGTGTTATATTATACCTGTTACTTCAGGCTCCCTCCAAAATGATACACAGCCATGAACAAAATGCCCTTTCTACATCAGCAGGTGAAATCCAATCACCTATTTAAATGTCTTTTACTAACTTTTTTATTGGCTATTCATCATTTAAGTTATTTTGCAGTCAGGTAAGTTTTACAGCTTCACTTCAGCTTAACTGCTTAAACTTTTATTCTGTCTGTCCTTTTGCTTATTCTCTCTTTTGATTTCTTTTGCCACCCATCTTTCTGTTCACCAAGTTCTTCAGCATGTTTGTTTAAATATAATTGATATTAAAACAAAGCAACCATGCAATTCTGTACTATGACATTCAGCTTTTCTGATGTTCCATTAGTATTTATTACTGGCAATTTGTGGGGGATTAGAGTGGAATTCTTCATCAATTTATGAAGCACATAGCATTACAAAGACTCTATGCATACATACAGTGGCAAGCAGTTAAACATCCAGAAGAAAAGCAGCCAGCAGGCATAATGGCAATAAAGAAACAATGGCTTAGGTTTGAAGAAGAGCCATCATACACAGAACTGGTATTGACACTGGAGAGCAAGAAGCAGGTGGGTGGTCCCAGTGGTGCTGTGGGTGCAAAAATGAATATACACTACCTTCCAGATGCCTGCTAGAGTAAAGGACCAATCTATACAATTCTCTCAGGAACATCTGGATTGTGACAATGTAACATTGTAGCTTTTTGAGAGACTTATAATTTTTAATTAGTACACACTACCGCTAAAGTTTCAGCTTAGAATTAACAGTTTTATCAGAGCCTGTCTACAGCTTCCTATGAAACAGAACTTAAAAAGACATCAAACAAGTGTTCTGCAAATTTGAGATTTCTAAATTTTAAGTATATTTCTAAGTTAATTATCTTGAAAATAAAAATTCAGACATAAACCCATGGCACAGAAAACTCAGATCAGCTTCCTCACAATTTAAGTGGTTAAAAGAGAAAGTACCACATGGCTTAGAAACTGTTATTGAAATAACTACATACAATCTTGTCTATGCATTAACAGACCTACTTAATATGGTAGAAAAATTAACTTAATTGTCGTTTTTCTCAATGTAGTGATGCTGAAAGTTTCAAAAATTCTCAATGTACCAAGTTGCAGAACTACAGAACTTAAAAAGACACTACAAAGTAGTGCAGTAATACCAGGTATTACTAGAGAACTACACCAGAATTAAGTTAGGAAATGGTAATCAAAATAACTACAAATTCAACTTCCAGCCCTGCCACAATACACGTACATACTTTTAAGCTGGCTGGACATTTAAGAGCCTAGACAAAAAAGAGATACCATGTGCCATGGGTTCATGTTAGTTCTAAACTAAAGATTGTATTTCTCTATTTCCCAGCATTCCTATTTGTAAACTTGACTTACAGTGATGATTGCATAAATTTTCTGCAAGTTCTGAGCTTACTTTTCAAGTTATAGCCTCACTATAAATATGCTCAGTAGTGAATTTAAAAAAACCATACAGCTTGCAGAAACACACCAGTTCTTATCCAGTCCATGGAGAAATAAATGGATGGTAGCAGGATGATGATGAGCTTGTTAAATCAAAAGGGAATTCACCAATGTTATATCATCAGTACTTATTTTCCCCAAGAAAAATCAAATAAGCTATTTTCTAGTATATTATGACTAAGTAATAGATATCATAGTTAAAAAAGGGAAAAATTGGTGTGTGTTTCTTCCTGAATTAATTTTCAACTTTTTAAATCTCTGTGAAGAAAAGTATAATTACTTGCTATTACAATTATTAGCATACAAACAATGTAAGTGGAAATATAAACATACCATATCTTTCCAGAGCTGCAGAATCTTGTTCTTTCAAATTCTAAAATGGACTTCTACAGTTCTTGTACCTATAATGCAAAACATTTGAATTCAGTTCTTGCACTATGCACTAATTTGAAGCTCAACACAACTCCAAAACAATACATTCAAAAGTGCCTATTTGATTAGTCACAAATCTGCAACTAAAGAAAACACAGAATCATAGAATACTTCTAGTCAGAAAGGACCTACAAGGACCATCATACCAAATTACCCAGTCTTCACAGGACTACCTAAAACTGAACCATATAAAACTAAATCACACCTCTCACAGAAAAGCACAAGAGAAAATAATTATTATGTTACATGAGCTGCAAAAGCATGAAGTTCATCACATAGTGGTCCCTATTCTTTCCCCTGTAGTGATGCAATAGAGTTTTACAATTCCATTCATCCAGTTCATTACAAATATCAATTTCCTTTCTCCTTCCTGCCCTTTATTTTGTCCTTTTTTTTTTTTTTTTTTTTTAATTTTTTTTTAGAACTGGCATTTCTACTAAGAAAAAAATAAACACACACTCAGGAGAAGTCACAGAACCAAATCTTTGTGCATAAAACTGCTGGAGTTCAGTATGCTTTTCTATAAATTCATTTTCAGAGAAGTCAAAATTAACAAGAGACTAAAACACACTTGAAATATTTTCAACAAACACCTAAAAGTACAACCAGCCTCGAGGGAAAAGATGACAGAAACAGACATATGCATATACCTAAAGAAAGACAGGGGTTGTGGATTCCCCATCACTGAAGGTGTTCAAAACCAAGCTGAATGGGGCTCTCAATAACCTAGTCTAGTGAAGGGTGTCTCTGCCCACGGATGAGGTTTGTAGTTAGATTTTTTTCTTTAAGGTTCCCTACCAACCCAAACTATTCCTTGATCCTATGAAATCTACTAATTATTTTCCAAAAAAGTTAGTAATTTGGCACAGAATATCACATTTTCAGCACTGTGAAGATTTAATATATAATTTCTTGGCTTAAAACTATTATGAACAAACAAATCCAATGCAGCTGATTTAGGCTGATCTCCAATATAGATCAGGGTTCCCACATAGGAAACCTCAATCTGGTTACCTTAGTAGTACATTCAGTTTTGTTTTAGAAGATGTCAAACCAGTGAGAAATCATTTGGTGTCAAGGGCCAAATTTGTTACCAGGGAACTGTAATGGGGTGATTCTGGACCAGTTTTGTCACTAAAGCTCCAAGCACTATCAATCTGAGCACATTCTTTTGCATTAAAAAAAAAAAAAAAAGTTTTATCGAGTAGCCTTTTTTGTGAAAAGAACTGCTATTTCAACAAACAAGTCTACCAATTATGTAGTTTTCTGTACACTTAGGATTACTGTGTTAATGATACGTAACTGTGTCAATAAAACTTTGCTACCATTCAGAAAAAAAAACAGAAGAAAAACTCATCTGAACAACATGAGAAAGTAACTGATGATTTTCCTATTTGCAAGTAGCACTTCCACTCCATAGCCACAGCAGAAATCCAAAATACCTTATATTTTACTAAAGAATAATTCTTCATTCACTGTGGTGTCATTAGACAAACTCAGAAGTATTCTGACAAATGCAACAAATATTTTCACACCTTGTGTTGCAGGACTTCCAGAGTCAATCTATACATTTGTACAGACATAGAGCACTGTCATCTGTATAAAATTCTCTCATTCTCCTCCAAGATACAGAAGCACAAATTTTCAGTATGCACAGAGTAGGAGGAGAGCACCAAGTACAGCTTGAAAAAGTATTGCAAATACATCTACCCGGGTTCTTATGATTATTGCCCAGCAACAGAGACAAAAAAAAAAAGGTTCCCAAAAGAACTGAAGCTATGGAGTAGCTTAGGACCATACAACTGATAGAGGAAACAAGACCACAACAGAGGAGATGTAGACAGGTTATTTGCATAATAATACACAGCAACAGAAGAGCACATTCAACAACACAAAACTGAAGTTCCTGGACTTCCAGTTCTTCTCCTTTAATCTCTTCCTAACAGCAGAACATAGTTCAGCAGTCAACTAAGTCTAAAGTCTACATTTGCTCAAAGACTACATAACACAAAAGGAAATAAGGCTCTGTGATACTTGTCTAAAAGGAATGAAAATTATTTTATGAAGTCAGATGTAATTCAACATTCACCTTCAGTATACTTAATTAGCACTAAGATACTTCTGCCTAAAAAAATGAAAATGACAATATAACTAAAAGCTTGGTCAACCTTACTGCTTCCACCCCACACTAAAAAAAAAAAAAAAACAAAACCCAAAAAAAACCCCTTGATTGATCATGTGACCAGAGCCAAAAAATCTGCTTGTTTACAACCACATCATACATTTTCAGTAAGGAGACTTCAAGGCACACTGAATTGTATTAACACAGACAGTAAAGCACTGAACTAACCGCCCTGTCACATAAGGAATTCCAAAATATTTAAGAAGTTAATTGTAAAGTACAAAAAATATTTTGCAACTCTTATGTCTGGCCCGATAAAAAATATAATGAAATTATCTCTATCAGGTGCTTAGATTATGTTTTCCATTTGTGGTTTTGAGTTGTTCTGTTTGTCTGGTTTTATCCAGTAACTGTAATACAACAGGAACAGAATAAAAAATTCTGAGAGCACTACCCTAAAGAAATAATACCCAGTATTACAGATTTTCTGACACAATTTCAAATATTCAAGTTAAATTGAGAACAATTTTCTTCCTCAACTAACATTCTTAAGAGTAACCAAAATCACATTCGCCAAGTAAAAAACGAGTATTCACAAACATCCTTCTTTCAATCAGATATTCAGGTTATAGGAATCATGCAAATGGAGTATTTTTCACAACCTTACTATGGAAAGGGCTCAACCTTTGCAAGCAAGAAATACCAATGTTTCACAGAAGTGATACACTCAGGAGCTCCCTTGTCCTTGAAATCTGATGGGCTTTGCAGGTTGTGCAGACTCTTAACTATGTATTTCTCTTGGCTACAATAAGCAAATTTTGCTACACGAGCTGAAACACAAGGTGTTGCTACTCAGCCCAGTGTATCCTAGTGTACCTTAGACTTTCTAAAAATAAACCTGGGTGTACACACATAGTAAAACACAATATTCATCACCAAGACTTTGGACATGAGATTTCACTATGAAAAAATAAGCAGTCATTACCTGAATATAACTATACAAATGAAAATGAAAGATTGTATTGGAAACAGAAAATTTGAGGTAGTAACAGACCTCTTTAGTATTATCTAGCTTTGCAGAAGTTTTTGATTCCTTTTAAGAAAATGGCAAATACCACATTGTAAAATAAAAATATTTAAAGTATTAGTTAGCTCAAATATACAACTAATCATAAAGCAAAACTCATCTACAACTATGATAGACATTCTTGAAGTATTTTGACCTATGTCCCATTTGAGAAGTTGAGTTCCTTTAAGAGCCACTCCACCAGCCGCTAACAGCCCAAGCTTGCTGAACTGCAGCTGCTCCAGCCTGGGTCCCAGGGAGCATACCAGAGCAGGAGTACACAAGTAGTGCCAGAGCCTGGCTGCCTGAACAAGCCTGGCATCTCTCAGTGCCTTGCAAGCTTGGCAACACAAGATAGATCACTCTTGTGCCTCCCTGGCACAAAGCTCCTAAGGGCAAGGAAGAGCGTGTCTGCCATCCAGGTCTCCTCATTTTATTGATTTCTTAGGTGTAATGATTATCAGGGAAGTATTAAAAAGTGCTAAAAGCAGTCTGCCAAAGGAAGCAAAGAGCATGGTCTTCTCTGTGGAGAGATGAATTAGCTTCACACCTAGAACTCTATCTTGGTCAGAAGTCCTGTCACAGTAATCAAACAACACCAGAATGAAATGCAAACTATGTGGACTAATCATTGCCAGACCATTATGCAACAAACCCAAACAGAGGTTCTGTGACTTTCTGCTTGTGATCCTACCAGGCCACCAAGATCAAATTTCCTTTGGGTTTCAAACCACTCTTTAGTTTTTGATACTTAAATTTTGTCTTTAGTTGTTTAGGCCACAGCTTTGACATTCTGTCACACAAGCAAGGAAAATGAAGGCACATGGAGGGCAGGGAGATCTGAGACCGCCAGCATGGCTTCACCAAGGGCAAGTCCTGTGGACCAACCTAATGAGCCAGCTGCAGTGAGCGTTGAGTGAGGGTCTGACTGTGTTGCCTAAAGGTTATCTCAACTTGCTTTTCCACAGGAGAGGCTTGTGGGGGACAGATTTTAGGCAGCAGCAACCACTACTCCAACACCCACATTTTTAGCCTCCTATGACAGAGCGACTGAATCAATGGGCATGGGAACAGCTACTGATGTCATCTATTTGAACTTCTGAGGCCTTTGAAATGGTCCCCCACAACACCCTTCAACCTAAATTGGAGAGATAATGGATGGACTCTTTGGTGGATGAGGAATTGGTTGAATGGTTGCATACAGAGGGTAATGGTCAATGACTTAATGTTCAGATAGACATCAATGACAAGAGGTGTCCCTCAGGGGTCCATACTGAGAGCAGTTCATCAGTGATAGACAGTGGGACCTAATGTACCCTCAGGAAACCTGCAAACAATACTAATCTATGTGGTGTGACTGATATGCCTGAGGAATGGAATGCCACCCAGAGGGACCTGGACAAAACTGACAGGTGGGCTCATGAGAACCTCACCCAGTGAGTCCAAGTGCAAGGTCCTGAACCTGGGCTAACAACACCTGGTATCAATACAGGTCAGGGAATGAGGAAATTGGCAACAGAAGTAATTACAGAAGAACTTGGAGATCCTGGCTGTTGGAAGGACAGTTCTGTCCCAACAATATGTGCCTGCAGTCCAGAATGTATCCTTGGCTGCATCAAGAGCAGCATGGCCAGCAGGCCAAGGGAGGCCAGTCTGCCGTTCTACTCCTCTGAGACCCCACCTGCAGTGCTGCATCCAGCTCTGGAGTCCTCAGCACATGACAGGCACAGACCTGTTGGAGAAAGTCCAGAGTAGGGCCACAAAAATTACCAGAGGGCTGAAGCAACCCTCCTATGAAGAAAGGCCAAGAGAGTTAGTGTTGTTCCATCTGGAGAAGAGAAGAATCTGAAGAGACCTGATTGCTTTTATTTAATACTGAAGAGGAGCTTACAAGACAGAGGACAAACTTTTTACCAAGGGCTTCCTTGAGAGGATAAGAGGTAATGGCTTTTAACTAAAAGAGAGTAGATTAAGACGATATCAGAAAGTAATTTTTACAATGAGGGTGATAAAACACTGGAACAGATTGCCCAGGGATAGGAGATGCCCCATCCCTGGAAATATACATGGTTAAGCTGGACAGGGCTCTGAGCAACCTGATCTATTTGAAAATGTCCCTGCTTATTGCAGAGGAATTTGGACTAGATGACATTTAAAGATCCTTTCCAACCCAAACTATTCCAAGCGTGTGGAAAAAAAAAGTAACGCACTCCATATCAAGCAGTCAAGTAGTACATCAAATAAACGTTGTCCTATATCCACCACCACCACTGTAATCCACCTCTGAGTGACAGTCCCACTTCCGTCATACTACATAAAAATATGACTCTCAGAAGCAAGTTATGTTAGTACACAGAGCATGTTTTTAGTGTTATTTGAATGGATGCAAACAGCAATGCTTTTCAATGAAAAGTACTGGGACAGCTACATAGTGTGAATGCCCTTTTCAAACCAATAGACCAAAAAAAAAAGAATTCAAAGCTCTGTTTTGCTAACTAGAAGTTTCTCTAAAAAAACCCATATATACTTCTGTTCCAAGGAAATGCAAGTAGCTTCAAAAGAAGCAGATCACCCCTCTTACCTAAGACAGTGAAGTGAGGGTCCAGAAGGAAGCCACCCATTTAGTTGCACTCAGCAGAACAACTGCAGCTTCTCCTAATTCTTCACCACTCTGTAAAACATGGGTAAAGAACCATGCAGGATGGTAACGGAAAGAGTATCGGTAAAGACTGACTTCCACCCCCTTCCTCCATTCAGCAGTTTGCATAATACAGGGAAGCAGGCTCAACCTATTAAAGTAAGTAAGAAGTAGTTAATGCTTCCTTTAAGAGATTCATTCATAAGAGTATTTGTTAGACAAAACTATGATAATATTTAATTCATAATGTAATTTTGCACCCAGCAAGTTATTGTCAATAAGCTCTATCCCTCCTAACCACAGGAAGGTGCAGCTATTCAAAAATAGCAATTTAAAGTGCTATTTAGTCAGATGTTACATTGCCAAACCTGAATCCTGAATCTCAACAATATTTGATTTTCATATTTTTCCTATGAGGTTACTTTCCTGAAGAAATGTGTCACCAGCTGCTGTAGTTACTGAAGTGTTGCTTCGTTGCAAAATGTTACCTTTAGACCGTATTGCTGACTTTCTGCTAACCAACCAGATATGTTACACACATTACTATTCCTATGAATCAGCTTTTTTTCAAACTTTAATTCATGGGCAACACAGCCTTATGAAGCTATCAGGCAGTGCCTGCTAATACAAGAAGTTAAAGAGTAAATGTTAAGGTCAAAGCATTTAAGGTGACAAAATTCACTTCAAACATGAGATTTGCTCACTGCTGTTGTCTCTGGGAACCAGCTATTTAGCACAGCTTATAGAACTTCTGTGAGGGGGTAATTTTTTTTATTTTTTTTTTAGAAAGTAAACAACATACTCTAGATTTTTTCATTACAGACCCTGATAGCAAATGTATTACTCCCCTCTTTCCAGGTACAAATCAGAATTTCATTAGTAACAGAAAACCTTTTAATACCACCTCTCTAAAAAATTCACAGGTGCCTTAAATACACAGGATACTTCAGAAAAATTGTAAAACACACACCTCCTTTGTTTAAAAATCAATATCAATTCATTAATTAGAGTGAAGACTTGGCCCACACTACCAGAAAGGAAGATTGATGCTGGAAATGAGATCTATGCCTACACACTTTATGAATTATATTCCTTTTTCCCTCAACTATATGTTCTATTTTTAAAAATTGGTGGCTTTCATCTTCAGGTGTATGAGTACACTGGTGTGGGGAGGGAGAAAGACATTTCCTGAGTTTAAAAGAAGATGAATTCTCTCTGGACAGCCACTAAGTAGACTAAAACAAAAAGTAAGAGGAGAAAAAAAAATCTTTCCCGCACAGCAAAAATTAGGAAGATGCATATTTACAGAAACATAAAAACTGAACTGATTCCAGGGTAAGTGCCATATCATGTACAATGCTAATTACTGTTTATAGAAAATGTTGTATGTTTAAACATGTTCACAATTAAACACATTTATAACTTAAAACTCAACTCTGGTTAAGCAGAGCCTGTGAATTCTGAGAACTAACGAAGAATATGTCAACAAAGGACATAATCATAGTGAAACAAGCATGATTTTATCCTGCGCATGCTGGGTCATGGTGGTACACATGACACTTTTAAATTTCAAAAGAGAAGTTAAATGATATGAAAAAGAACCAGGCTTATTTTCTCAAATTGATTAAAACAATTGGGGAAAATTTCCAGGTGCTCTAACATAGACTCCAACAAGCAGAACATCCCTATATGTATTCAAAATAAAATACAAAAAAAAAAAAATACAAATACAAAACAAAAATACAAAAAACACAGTTTTCAATCCCATTCACAAAAGAACCACCATTCCCATGTTTTTAAACAGCAGCAGCAATTTAAAAAAAAAGGAAAAGACCAGAAGTCTTGTTTGTTATTTAAAAAAAAGCATCAAACCCACACAACTTTAGAGTTCTTAAGAGGACTTGGACTGAGAAATCTCAGGCTTTAAAACACACAACTCTTCAAGCCTGACTTTTTTTGCTAAGTCACAGAACCATACCCTGAAATAAACCTGAACAAATCAAACACTCATTTTGGCATCTAACTTGGTGCTTTTGTTACTATATTCTTGGAAGATTCTCAGGACACTCCAATGAGGAGAAATAGCAAACACCTCTGATAAACAAAATGATCTTCTTAATTCCAGCAGAAAAGATGCTACATTAAATAGTAAACACTTAAGAGTGCAATGGAAGGTATTTGTAAAAGAGAGATAAAGCACCTGTAACATTGTACAGAAATAATTTCAATTAAAAGTATCAGCTCTGTAAATGTAACTAGTGGACTATGTTTTCTTTCACTATTTTTCTGTACTGAGTTGACAGAATGATACTATACTACAAGCTGCATCTGTTTTAAAAGACAAGCACATCTGATAGTTTTCTCTCACATCCATATCAATTTAGCAATACAGATTTCCTATTTTCAATTCAACACACTCAGTTAAACTGAGTTTTGCTGTATTTTCAAATTTCTAAAAAGTACCTTAAACTGTTTCCACAATGAAAGGGCACAGCTATTCAGAGCCAACATCTAAACCAAGCAGTTTGTGAGAACTGCAAGTCTATTTCCAACAGTTTTCATTCTTATCAAGTGGTACACCTCTCACTATCTCCAACACTTCCCTCTCCCCCCATCATAAGTGTCTAACACAGTACAACTCAGAGCGTGGCTTCTTCCTTAGCAGGTAATCTCTCTAACTGGATGCTATTTGCATGAATTAGGAACTTAATCTTATCTTTTAGACCTCTCCCTTTCAAACCAGTCAGCTAGTCAAAAGAAAAAGAGAAAGAAGATAAATTGACAGTACAATCATAAAGGTCTTACTTTGTCAAGAAATCAAAGCTAAAATCGGGTACAATTTTCTACTGAGAAACTTTCTGCTAGACATGCAAGAGGCATGGCAAAACCACTCTGAGAAGCAAAATTCTCACAGGGCTTCAAGTTTGCAGACTCTTACTGAAGCAGGTATCTTTTCATACAGACAGAGGGCCCATCCCTGAAGTGATGTGTAAGAAACATGCTTAGTCCCAGAATTAGACCAACACATTACATAGAAGGAAACATAAACATATATTTCATTAACTGGAGAAAAAAAGAAAAGGAATAACTACATGTGTATAAATTACAGGTTCTTGTCACTTAAAGGAGAATTGTGATACATGTTTCGTTTCTTAAGCAGTAGCAACTTCTGAATGACCATAACACATCACCTCAGACATCTGATTTACAAATCAATAGTCAAGTGTAACATCCCTTAACAGAAATACTGTAGATATGCTTAAAAACTGAAGCCCAGAAAGTGCTGCAGTCAGGAGCGACAGATCACATACATCAAGGCAGCCTGCTCACAGGTTCAGATCCAACTCTTCAGACTGGACAGAAGGCAACACGAGCAAAGTGATCAGACCCACTTTGTCAAGCAGGCCTTGGCCACTAGTTAAGAGACCCTCGCACTACTTGCCATTCCGGCGGCCAGCCGCGCCGACAGCACCGAGCAGTCCCATGCCCACAGCTGCCCCAGAGAGTAGTCACCGAACCGGGAAACTGAGGCAGCGGCAGGCTGGGTTCACCCAAGGTCGCCCAGCGAGCCCGGTCTCCCGGGGGGGCGGGAGAAGCTCGGAGCTCCCGGGGCGGCCCCGCACCCGTGTGTGTCACGGCGCGGAAGGACGGGACCCCGGGGCTGCCGCCTTCCCCTCCCGGCGCGGGGAAGCTGGCAGGGCCGCCTCCCTCCCCTTCAGGGCCAGCGTGCGCCGGGCGCCATTCCCGCTCCCGGCCCTGCGCAGCGCTCACACCGACCTGGCTACCTCGGCTGCTGCTCCCGGGCGCTCCCGCCGCCGCTGCCGCCCGGGCTCATGCGGGGGCCGCGCCGCACTCGGGGCCGGGCCGCGGACGAGAAGGAGGCGCCGCCGCTGCTGCTGCCGGGGCCGCCGGAGCCGCGGCCTGGCGGGGCGGGGAAGGCGAGGCGGGCGGACGGGCCGGGCCGGGCGGGCGCGGCTGCTGCTCCTGCTGCTCCTGCTGTTCCTGCTGCTGCCGTGCCGGCCGGGCCGCGCTCAGCGCGAGCCCCGCGCCTCCATCTTGGGACAGCGCGGATGTCGGCGCGGCGCAGGCTCGGGGCGCGCGGGGGGGCGCGCGGGAAGGAGGGAGGGAGAGAAGGAGGGAGGACCGGCCGTGTCCCGGCGTGCAGCGCGGGCGGGGGCGAGGCGCGGCGGCGGCGCGCTACCCACCGCGGGCAACCATAGAGAGCTGCCGGGCCGCGCCTTCCGGCCGTGTGCCCTCGCGGCGGCGCCTGCGCGCCCGCGTGCGCGAAGCGGGGGCCGCCATGTTGGAAGTGGGCAACGCGGAGCCGTGGGGTGGGGGCGCAGCCAGGCGAGCGCGCGGGGCGGGGCTCGGGGGTGCGCGTGCGCAGGGCGCGGGGCTGAGGCGCGGGTGGGGCGGTGTGAGGGAACGGGGGAGTGCGTGTCGGCTGCGGCTGTGCGCGCACATGTACGTACACACACACATACGTGTACGCAAACATCTGCAAATGCAAACACGTACACGCGGGTGCACACGCACTGACACAGGCACGCAGGCACACACAGGTGCCCAGCCGCACACACGGCCCTGGAGGCCGGCGGGCAGACCAGGGGCTGGTGGCACAGCAAGGGACCATCGCTGCCCTGGGCAGAGTGGCCGCCACCAGCTTTGAGTCCCTCGGCAGGTCCCCGCTGAGCTCCACCGGAGTCCCGCCTGTCCGGCAGGCCCCACGGCATCCCGGCCGGGGTTTATCGGGTTTAATCTGGGCAGGGAGCCGTGGCCGGCCGGCGGAGGGGAGCGGTGGAAGGGCCGGTGGGTGACCTCTGGAGGGGAACCCGTGCTGGAGCCGTGAGTCAGCCAAAGCACGAGAGGCCAGGCAGTGCCAGGCCTGGCCAGCCCTGCCGTGTCTGGCCCCTCCCAGCAAGGGAGGAAGGAGGGGGAGACCGAGAGCGGGGTGACCCATAGGCGGCAAAGCGTAGGGGCAGCCTTGCTGTCCCCGCCTGCCGCGCTGGGCAGAGAGCCACCGCGGTGTACGTTTAGGTCATCAAATGCCTGGTGGTGTTCAAAGCTAGCACCCTGCGGGGCACACAGGGCAGGGCTGGCTGGTGGGGCTGGAAGGGTCAGGGACCCGGCCCGGGGATGCAGCCTGAAGAGTGAGCAACACACCCCCGGTCCTGTGCAGCCCTGCCTGACAGCTGGCTCTCCCCTCTGCCCCAGGCATAATTTTTCCGCGTCCTTTTGGGTCTGTTTCCCCTACCTACACCCAGGCCTATGCGTTGAAAGTACACTTTTCAGTGTACTTTTCCAATGTCAAAAAGCACGAGTAAAAGCTATGTTTTGGCGGGTGAATGTTAAAAGCAGTTTGATAAAATAATTTTAAAACTGAGCAATGCATGCAAAATTTTACTTTTTTTGGGCATTGACTTTTTAAAGCTTTAAATATATGGAGCTACAAGCATAGAAGGGGGGAAGGAATAAGTAAAAAATAAAAGGAAAATTTACTCTTTTCTACATTATCCCTTAATAAAGGCAGTTAAATAGATGTGCTTCTATCCTGGTAGAGATTATGCTTTTTCATTTTCTTTTGTTTTGAAAAGCAAAGACTAGACATGTGAGTAGTTCTCAAATGTTAGAATAGGCTGTTAAAACCATAAACACAAATTCTCAAAAATATGATCCTAAAGCCATATTCCGGGCTAGGAAATAGGTGTTTAAGAGGACATGTCTTCTTGGGCACAATTTTGCAAGACATACTGTGTTTGTTGCAGGGTAATAGCTGGTAAGAGCAGTGCACTCAAATGGCATTATTACAAACCAGTGCAGAGAGTCCTGGTGCTTGCAGAGGACATGCTAGGCAGATGTATCATTGAAATATTAGGACTGAATGAAGTATTCTTATACTTCAGTGTGGTCTGAAAGCAGGGTACATTGCTGTGTTCAGATGGACATTGGTAATCATCTAAAAATAATCATTGGCATGAACACAGCTTTCTGCATCTGGAGGCTCCCTCCCACACAGTAGCAAAACCTGCCAACTTTCATATATTAAAATTTCAGACTCAGGTCAAAGTTTATTGTGCCATGATTTTTTCTGTTACCTCAGAAGCAGTAATATTGAAAAAACTGCATCTGAAAAATGCACTGTCTTGCTTCTTTTCCATTGCTCTGTTGCAGAGCCTATGTGTCCAGTCGTTATCTCCTGCTTAGCTGTAAGGATGCTGTAGGGCAGCATGTCACAACCTAAGTCCAAGTAAACGTCTGCTCTCTTTTTACCTACAGAACCTTCTCTTCTCAGCTCAGGCTGGTCAGGCATTATATGCTTTTGGTATATCTGCTGACTGTTCCCAGACTGGAAGTTCTTGATCTTACTGTGTCTGGAAATAATCTCCCAGACTTTCAGGTGAAGCTGCTCAGCTGTATCCTCCTTGATCTCCGTACCTCAGATCTCCTTGCCTGCAGCCCTTGGGGACCTCTCACAGACACTGTGATTATTGAGAGATGATAGAAGGTGGCCTCACAGTGACATTGGCCAGCTCTGTGTCATCACTTGCCATCTGATCCCATGAGCTTACATATGTTCAGTTTACCTAAGTAGTCTTTAACTTCATGCTCCTCATCCAAGAACAGCATCTCTCTTCCTTAAGCTTTGCTACTCTCCATAAGGATCTGGGAGCTCCAAGATTACAGCATGCCAGCAGTAATGGCACTGATATATACTTTTCTGTATACCATGCTGCTGGTGCTTTTTTCCATTTAGGAGCAGTACCATAATTTCCTTAGTCCTCTTTTTGCCGCTGACGTACCTACTGATGCTCTTACATGTCCATTACATCCCTCATCTGTTTCAACTCCAGTTTAACTCTGGCCTTCACAATTTTATTTCTGCATACTGAGATGATAGTCCTAAAGACCTTCCTGGAATTTATGGCAGTTGATCATTACATGGGAGCTGTCTCCATAACTTTTATCCAGACATTGGATCATCATCTTGTTTCCTTATGTATGTATATCCTTCAGTATGAAAGATAGGACACAATTAATTTATATAATGATGGTGTTTTTAAACCCTTAGTGTTTCCAAAGAGTAGCTTTGGTAGGTTGTTTGGATTTTTTGGCCATCAGAGACCTTCAGTTGCATTTTTTTTCCATGGATTGCAATCCTGAGAACTTGTCCCATGTTAGAAATGAGCAGTTCATAACTCATCTCTGTTTTGAGGTAATATAGTTTAGATGTGTCACGTTTTCTTCTGAAGAAACCAATGCAATTATGAGGAAGGGGCAGATGATAATGGATGGAGGAAATGTTCAGGACGGAATGAGCTGCTGTGGGTGCTGGTGGTTATTTATTGCACTGGCTAGATGCAGAGGTAGGGGAAGGAGACTTTTCTTGAAAGGATGCAAGTGTAGAAAGACTCACCTTCTGTTTTGAGATGTGGGAAAAATCACATTGGCAGTGAACAGGTGAAGAATGATACATTAAGGAATATACCCCAAATTAATTGCAGTATAGCAGTGTTGTACGGGTGGCCAAGCTGCATGACAGATTTTGTTTTGATTCTACCGGGGGCAAGTTGTCATTTTGGGGAAAATACTTTAGGTTTTGTAGCATGTACTTGGGGCTTCTTTTTTTTCTTTGAGATAGTGTGACTAGCAGTAGACTAATTGTGGCCATTGATGTACCTAAGTTGCTTGTGTTACAATGAGGATGATTGTACTTTCCTGCCTCATTTGTGTTACATATTCTGAAGTGGTGAGATACTAGGGTACAGAAATGCTTTTGGTGTCACAAGTGCTTTCGGCTACTTTACATTGGTATAGCCAGCTGCTGGAAAGCAACTGGATCTGCCCAGCTGAGCAGGCTCTGAATTTGTAAAAATGTGACTGGAACTCCCAGTGGAAAGGCCACCACTCCCTCCCTGTTCCTTGCTAATCCCTGCAACTCTAGGGCCTGGTATGGACTGCAGCTGAAGAGAACAAATGGTTTGACTTTTCTTTGCAGTGATCCCTTCACAGAGCAGGCTCTGTGAAGTAGGCTCTTCTTCAATTACATTATTGAAGTAATGCTTGGTAAAAAAGTAAAAATCAACTATTATGGCTAATAACTTGGTCATGAAGTGGAAGTCCTGCAGAAAATCTAGTTTTAACATCTGAATATTTGGAAACTAACAGTTTTTTTAACTGCTGAAGGGAACAAATACAACTTGTCTCATAGATAAGTTGTATGGAATAGGCAGTGGCTCCCAGCTAAAAATAGAATCCCAAGCCCCATCCACAATTTACTTATGATGTTGGAGGAATGCCATCATGAACCATGTCTGCTGCATATTATTACAGTAATGTTGATATCTCACTTCAGAACTTTGTAGCAAATTGTTTCCTGTCTTTGTAAACACACACAGAGTGCTGTGTGTGTTCTGTTCTCATTTAATTTGAAAACCTCAATATAAATGGTTTGATAATACTTTTTTTGGCATTCATTTCAAATAGCTATGTGAGTGAAAATTAGATAGTGAAGCTCTGTAAGTGTAACCCCTTAGGAGACAGGGGTGTGCTGAAGCATACAGAGACTTTGTGAGTCAAGCCAAATGCTTCAGCATCCCTTTGCAGATAAAAAGATAAGGGATGGGAAAAGGTCATCAGTGATGGAATGAAATACTGAAGTTTTGAGTTAGGGCTTAGTCCGGGCAACTGGAAAATTCAAGAAATCCCCTTTATGCAGGCATTTGTGAATGACTATGCATACTTCTGAGTCCTGAAAAGCATACTTGTTCTCCCTCTTCTCCACACAGATGATTTGGTTAAGCTGTGATGTGAAGGATCATGTCATCTCGAAGTGGCTCCTGTTTCTGAAGACTTGT